CAGATAATGAAGACGCAAGATAAGGATAGTAAATACTTTAGAAAGAGACACAGAATCTTGGAAAATCCTTATCCTGTTGGATCTACTGTGATGATAAAGAATATTGAGAACAAGAACAGAAAGACGGATCCAAATTATGAAGGTCCATTTTACGTTCATGGTCATACTAGAAATGGAAGCTATATTCTTACTGATAGAACAAACTCGTTCTTAGCTAGAGATGTACCTACGCAGCAAATCAAGTTGATTAGCACAAGTGATACTAGAGACAATCCTTCAAATGCGTATGTCGTCGAAGCTATTATCAATCACAAAGGTAGCGCACCCAATTACAAGTATTTGGTAAAATGGAAAGGTTATAGTGAAGATTGGAATTCATGGGAACCTCCCTCTATGTTTGATTCTCCTGATGTGGTCAAGCAGTATTGGGCGCGAGTAAATGCTAATAATAGCAAGACATCTAAGGGCAAGGCACCGAAAGCTCTGAGTACCCGAGAGATTGCTACGCGAGAGACTAAATCAAGAAATAAGCGCGAAAGGTTATTAGCTAAAGATGATGTATAATTGTTTGGTGAAAGGCTATACCTTTTCCTGTTCACAGTTCCTTTTGTCCCATCGGGTTTTGGATGTGTATAGGTTTTTAACGGTTGCCCTAATGATTAATTATCTATACCAATAATCTATACATAAGTTATATATGCAATTCATGTTTACTATACATAAGATTAATCAAGCAGTAACATGCACCAGATTGTCATATATTAATGATGGTTTTCTTTTTTTTTCTTTTTTTGTTATGTCGGCCTATTATATACTATATGAACTACTACAACTACAATCTACTACAACAATGGTTATGTCCAAGTTTCGCATGTGTCTTATGCTGGTGTGGGGTGGTGTTATATCAAATGTCATAGCAAGGTCTCACACTAAAGGTTTTAGGCTATTCTTAGGTCCTTTGGGTAAATCATGCTAATCATGATTTACAAATCAATTGTTGGGTAGATAGTAAACCTATTTGTATTATAGTTCATCATCATGCTGTAAACCCTAGCATAATGAAAAGTATATAAATGCATCCTTGGGATGCATTCTCAATAAAAGTGTAATTCTTTGGCAGATTCAATTTTACATTGTATTTTGACATAACACTTTTGTACTTCCAGAATCTTTGATATGAGGTAGAAGGTAGCAGCTAATAAAATGGAGGCACGTTGGAAATCAATGGCATAGGACAGATGTTTGGCAGAGCATTTGGTTATGGGAAGGCTTTGTATCTAGTGCACTGCCATGCCCATTAATGTATAACTTGTAATGATGAGAGTACAATGACCTTGTAGAGGGAAGGCAGAAGATGTACTAAGAATGAGCAGGTTGTTGGTGCAACTATTTGTAGATCCTTAGCTATCTTGAGCAATACTTACTATAAAATATATGTAAATATTATTGAATAAGTAGTATTAAGGTTAGTGGATTAAGTGTAATAAAAGTATAAGGAGTAATGATAAATATTTTGACTAACGTTTATTAATACCTGTCAAAAGGAAGGCTAATTATATACTACTATACTAATGTTTCAATCATGTGCATTGAAACATATCCAATGCGAATCATTATTACATTACTTTCCTTACGCAATAATGAATTTAAAAGACATCCCGTACATGGAACTGTCTCATGGATATTATATCAAATAATTGCATCATACACTATTAAGGAAATATTTCAATTGTGTCCATTTGGATAACCTTTTATGGCAAAGATGAATGGTAGAGCAATATGAAAACCACTAGTTATAACCCTTCGCCGTTTGGACCTCTCAGCCAATCAAATCGCTTGAAAACTCCGCTGACCTAAAAAAAATTTTGCGAGGGTTTCCCCTTGTTTTGATGTGAGGCAAAATTTTAAGCGCCGCTATAATAGCAATATAGCCGCTGCTATCATCAAACTTCCCCCAGGTGCTAGAGCATGCCTTACTTACACCACCTAGCTTTTAAATTCTGGCATTGAGACCCTCAATCATCACTAAAGTAAGTAGCGATAACCAAGTGGAGGCAGCCTATCTACCTCCTAGCCTCGGATAAAGTCTTGTTGAGCTTCAGGGATAGGCACATCCACACAACGTAAAAAAAAGGTATGCTTCAAAGAAACATAATAATAATAGAAAAGAAAATTACATGCTACGATACTATAGAAGTATAGTAGTATGTAAGCAAAAAAGGAACACTCACGCTAAGCGAGTCAAAGAAAAGTATAACATACACAACATCGAAGATGTTCAGAACAGCTCGTTGTTGTTGTAACAAAAATGCATACATGAACAACGTGCATGGCGGTAATAGTCGGATGTAAAGCAACACAAACACGCACAATTGCAGGAGCAACAGCAGTACTATAAATATGCAATACAACATAATGACTAATGCTGTTTCATGTAGAGCCACAGAGGAAACACCGCCAGTAAAAGAAAATAAAGAAGAAAGCGCAACAAGGCAAACGTCATGAATGCGTTATCACAAGAAAGGAAGCAATTATATAAGCGTTCAAAGAAGTTTTATATCATTGCGACCAGAAGAAATAAGATACTTACCACTTACCACTGACATAGATAAACCAGAAGAGTATAGGCAATTACCAGAGACAGACCAAAGAACGAGCATGCACCAAATACAGTAGACCAGAAAAGACCAGATTAGCAGCAGCAACACCAGCAACACCGGCACCATAGAAAAACTAAAGAACAAACGACATCAGTAGTGAGCAGGCAAAGACCAAAGAAGTTATCACTTGTCACCACCACAGATAGAGCAGAAAGGACCATATTAGCAGCAACAGCAGCAGCAGCAACACAGGCACCATAAAAGAACCAAAGAACGAACGCCACCAGCAGAGACCAGACAATGACTAAAAAAAGCAACCACTAGACACGATAAACCAAAGAAGCAAGCAGTAGAAATAGCAGAAGAGAAGTAATGGCAGCAGCACCCACGTCAAACAGGCAAAAAAAAATTGTCGAAACCTAATAAACAAATTCGATTAGTGCTGATTCTACATCTTCCGGTGCTAGTTATTGAATGGTACCTACTATATTTCACTTTAAAGAAGCAGTATAAAGCACTTGTAACAGTGCAAGGCCGTGTCATCAAAAGCTAGAGTGTTATTTTCAATCAAAAGGGTTCCAAAACCAATATGGTTTGATACTAAACGCGCTTTGCAAAAAGGGAAAAAAAACGGAGGTATGGAATAATGAAAGGACGCCGTATCCGAAGTCACGACCAGTAGATTCGGCCTCAGCCTTCTGCCGTGGTGGCAGCCGTAAATACTGCACTTTAATCTGAAACTGTGCAGTGGGTATTTTCGTGTTCAAATTTGACTTGGTCTTACATTTTTTAAACGTTTTTCCTAAATTTGACTATGAGATTGTCGTTGTTATACTTTACTTACTAATGCATTTAAAGAGAGTTATTAGAGGCGCATCAAATGATGCTGGTTACTATCAACTTTCAGACCGAAAATAATGAGCAATTTGCAAAAATATGAAAACAACATTTCTGTGAATATGTCAACATTTAGCATATAAAGGTTTCAAAGTAGTAGTTTCCGATGTTGCGTTTCATTCTTACGATCAATTTGATATAATATGTATTATAGAAAAAGTTTTCGCTTTTTGGGTGAAAAACGCGATCGTTTGATTTTCAAGAATTTTCCCTTGCTAGTACTCATCCAAAAGTGAGGATTTTCATGGATTTGCAATGGCCGAAAAAAATTGAGTTAAAGCGTCAGTAAGTAAGGAGTATCAAAGGAGAGACGTTTAGCTCTACTCCAAACGTCCAGAACGCTTTGTAGCATGAGTTATTCGTGCTTCAAAATAGCTATATTTGCACAGAATTTGGTTTAAAAATAAGTTGTAGTATGTTGTGCTGCCAGAAAAGTAAATGAATTACAGTTCTATCTAATGTCCCTGATGTTCTGCACTGTACGGAACTCAATCCCTAAGTTATAGACGCTTTTATTCTAATTCTGACGGTTAGATCTTTCTTTTTGAAATGCTCGATTCCAGTAGTTTTAAGACTTGAGCGTTAATGATATAATGCAAATTGAATCTAACGATTTTTTCGGGTTGAACGAGAAGCTTGTCAGGTCGGCAGGACGCTTTTGTTGTTTAAGATATAGATCATATCTCAGAGGCAAAGATGCTATGCAGCGTGCAATACATGAGAAGGATTGAGCAGGAGCAGAAATGCGTGGTATATTGAGATCGCTTTCTTCAGACAGTGCAAAGGAACAAGAGTGGTGCCATCAAATGGCTAATCTGTATCTTAGTTCCTGAAGTACGGTAGCGTATGATTTTTTGTCTCTGAAAGCGGGCTTCAATTCTGACAAATGTTCTTCCTTCAAATCTACTATATAGAACATTCTATTGTGGATCCTCATTGTTCTTCGCTGACCGGTGGTCTATAAGTTTTTACGCAGCACATCTTTGTTAACTGGTTCAAGGCTTATACAATTATCCCGTATACAAGATCAAAATCCTATCATTGCGGCACTGTCAAATAACTATAAACACCTTCGAAATTTACCCTAGTTTTAATCCTCATTCAATCTTGGAATAATATAATAAATATATTCAGTTCTAATTGTATTTTCTCTGTCTATATTTCGTTATTCTAAAAAATGCTATCCAGTGAAATAGTAAAAGTTTGTACGGGGAAAGGAAAACGGAACAAAGTGATCTCAGCCTATAGTAACAACCATTTGGTTTTATGGGAAAATATCAGATGAGACGGATGAGCCAAGATCAATACGGGCTTCTTTTGTAGATATGATACAATTACACCTGATATAATAATCGGTTAGTGCAAATATCTTTATTAAGCGAGCACAAGCATTCATCTCAAACTCTAGATCTCATGCATTATTCATTTAAAAGCCACTTTGAGCGCATATTATGTTATCATTGATCCCAACCTATTATGTCTATGATGATACAAGTCTCTGTTTCAGTGAAACAATGCATGTATGTCTTCTAATGACTTGCCCGATGTCTATGAGATAGCCTGATGAATATACAAGACGCTATATTCGCAACATGATGTTTTATACGTACCTCAGGTAACCATTTAACTATACCTATCCATAACAGAATGGATATACCAGCATACAGCCAGAACGTACCTGCAGCCGATAATGCATTTGTCATGGATAGAAATGTAGACGCCACTATCAAATTGCATACCCAGTTTGTAGCTGTAGCTATACCATTTGCTTTACCACGCAGCGACAGTGTGAACAGCTCGCTCTGAATAATCCATGGGATGTAACCAAGACCAGTAGCATATGAAGCAACATAGGCAGTCAATGAGAAGAGTAGCATGAAGGTAATGAGGCCATCAGATGCTTTCTCAGGGCAAGTAGCATTTAGAGAGGAGTACAGCATGGTAGTATTTGACATGGGTGCACATGTATTTCGATCTGCGGACCAGCCACAGCGATCATCCAAGATACAACGTGAACAATGGCTAGTGTATTCTACACATTCGTCTTGCTTTGGGATAAATCCTCCTTGTTGTACAGCAAAGGAACCACCCAATGCGAATAAACAGACAATCATAGAGAGCATGGTTATAACAAGAATACAGCGACGACCACGTTTATCAATCAATGTCACTGCAATCATGGTGAATACCATGTTGGTTACTGCTACAATAAGGGCCACCACTGTCGAGTTTTGATGATCTTGAAAGCCTGCCATTTGGAGAATGGTTGCTGCGTAATACATGGCTGTATTGAATCCTGAGAGCTGTTGAGCAGCTTGTAGCATACATGCTATGAAAAGTGCCATATACATTAACATGGTGTAACCTCGTCGTTCTATGTACATACCAATAAGCAGTGGTTTGAGGTTTTGGCGTAGTAGAAAGTCTCGATATGTTCCCAGACTGCTCTGAAGCATATCCTCTTGTATAGTCTCAATTTCCTGATCAATAAATCTGTCAGATACAGATGAGCCATAGATCCTTTGTAGTGTCTGCTTTGCTTCAGCGAGATTGTTTATGGCTACCATACGACGAGGGCTCTCAGGCATGAATGGCATGATGATGAGCTGAATAATAGCAGGAATAGCGCCTACTCCAAACATATATCTCCAGCCACTTGGTTTTTGTGCATAAGCAATGTTGACAACATAGGCCATGACTTGGCCAAATGTAATGACAAGCGTGTTCAATGTTGCTAGCTGACCACGAAAGCTCTTAGGGGCAACCTCACCTACATCAACATTTAGTCATTATGTAAAACTACGCATTCATCAGACTTACTGATATAGACGGGAATGATCATAGAAGCGCTGCCAACGCCAAGCCCAACAACTAGTCTTCCAGACAGTAATGCTGTATAGCTCATTGCAAATGTAAGCATCAAGGAACCCACGATGAAAATAGAAGCGGCACATAATACAAGCGGCTGTAAGTCATGATGCTGCATAAATGAGTTGAATTTTTGTAGTTATTCAGTCAAACAAACCTTTCTACCAAATCTATCAGACAGCTATCATTGAACATACATTTAATATCATCAATTCCAGATTCAATTAGAGAAGCATCCGTACCAGACCAGCAAAAAACCCACCAAAAATAGCTCCTAGGGTGGTTGCGCCAACTATCCATTCTTTTTGCCGTGTTGACATGATGAAATCAGTCTGTATTGGCTGCAATGCTCCAGATATCACTAACGTAGATAATCAGACACTCTTTGCTGTGCAATTGACACTATCGACTGTACCTCCAGTGTCGTAACCAAACAAAAATCCACCTATACAGACACAAAACACAAGCGCATATACAAATAAGGTTCTCTTCTCTACGTCTGCATCTATTATGACTTGGTCCACTTCAAAGCTGCTACTACCATCACCTACTGAAGGGATTCTCTCATAGTGTCGCTTGTTATTGTTCACAGTATCGTCTTTTGTCAGCATATTTTGTAGATAATATTTATCTAGATGGGAGAATGTGGACCGGAGCAAGCAGCTTTAAATTTGAATTCCATCCTCTGCTTTAAAACATGCTGTACTTGTTACACAGTTAGTTTTGGCTTTATTAAGTTGGTCAATATAGAATCTATCTCAAGGCATAAAATAGGCAAATGCATGCACAATCAAAAGAGAATGATTAAACGTACAACTTGTTGAATTGCTGTATTGTTGTCTTGTTCGACGCATCACGTTCAAGACACGGGAACTCATCGCTGGTGCTTGTATAGTTGTTCCGCCCAATGTTTGTCAGCTGCTTGATAATATCGAAAAATGCTTTTTGCTGAGGGTGTTACCTTCCGCGCCACTTGAGAAAGACCTTTTCAAACTTCATCAATCACGCAAGCCATGAGCACCTCGAGCAAGCATTGATAGATAACTTTCCGATAGGTTGGCTTTTACAGATATAAAGTGGCAGCGAAAGAAAAATTGGTTACTGAGCCAGCAGTAAACAGGGTATTTATATCATAGCAAACAATTCAGATTTCTTGCATCCAATCTACTGATAAATGAGACTGATAGCTTCTTGCTTGCTACGGATGCATATAATAACAAGACCAGGATATACAGTATACTCATGGTAGATTTTGTTTATGTGTGTCCAAACTAACTTTCCACAATGAAACGTGTCTTGTCAAACGAGCACGTTTTCCAGTCTAGATTTGGACAGGAAGATCAAGGTGAAAAGATCTGCAGGGAGGGCCAGAATATGCTGTATGGATTAGTGGGGATTGAGTTGTTTTTATTTTGTAAAGGATCTAAATCTATTCATTTAAAAAGATATAGACAAGAAATGATATATATAGAGAATAATAATTGTAAATGTCATATGCCCAAACTAAAGATACACAAAACGGGAAAGAAATATATAATATATAAAAAAGTTTTTAGAGGTTGTTAGAAACCATGAAATGATCCTTGCTGGTTATTTGGAGGCATGTTGGGTCTGGTATTCACATATTGACCTTGAGGGCCGCCCATTTGGCCTTGAGGATATTGCTGTTGATGTTGAGGATGTTGTTGAGGATGATGTTGTTGTTGATGCATTGGCGGACTCATTGGGCCTCTCTGCTGATTCATCGGAGGAGGAGATTGCTGGTGCATGTTAGGATGGGATTGCGCCGCTGATCCGTAGTTTTGCTGAGGGCCCCAAGGACCAGGAGCTGTAGGAGTAGGTTGTAATGGTATATTGTTCTTTGGCATTGGTTGCGGTGCCATTGACTGAGGTCTATAAGTGGGGTAGTATCCTGATCCAGCCTTTGCAGGTGCCTCTTTGGATGGATCAAAATAGTGAGCAGGAGTTGCAGCACTGTTGGACATGTCGGTTTGATAAGACATGTGGGAAACAGAGTCGTCTTCATCAGTGTTGCCGAGTAGTCCACGCTTTGATTCATCTTCTTCAGAAGGCATCATGGTATGCATCAAGTGAGTAGGACCCATCTCACGCATCTGTCTTTCCTTGCGCTCACGTCTCTTGTTGGCTCTCACACGCTTACGCTCATAATCCTCCCAGCGCTTCAATGGCACCTTGGATGGATCAAACACACCGTCCTTCTTTGAGTGGTCGTCCTTGGTTTCGCCTTCTACCTTACGAGTTTCACCCCAGGAGAAATCATCGAAATGCCAGAAAGAGTAGACTGGCAGCACAAAGTTCCAGATTGGCAAGGCAAACAGGTAGACAACCATCCACATCAGATAAACCCACTTGCGAGTTGTGATCAGAATCAAGAATGCTGGAGAGAACAGAACGATGATCAAGAGAATCAGGGGCAGTGCTGCACTGAGACTGTTGATTTCAGTTTGTGCCATGTTGACAATAAGGACGACGGTCAAGATGATAGCGACAGGCAGTGTTAAAGTACCCACCAGATCCATCATTACAACGAATTGCATGGAGAAGCAGAAGGTACCACAGAGATTACGGACGAGTACGAGTTCAAACAAGTTGTGAATGGTAGAGTTGATCCAACGACGACGCTGCGACAAGAGCACCTTGAATTCATCAGGGACAATGGTCTTACAGATAGCATGAGGCGTGAACACCATCTTACGGAAGGGGAAGTTACGGAGCATAAGCGTAGTCAAGAAACGATCTTCACCGAGAAGCAGCAAGTTCTTTTGATGCAGTGTGTCAATGGTGTTGGAGGAGTACTCTTGCACAATTTCAGGCTTTGTAATGATGGGCACCCAATCACCATCGCCCTTGCGAGCCTTGAGACGGTACATACAGAAACAACCAGGCAAACAGGTAACACCACCAAACACAGCTTCGAAGCCCTTGGCCAAGTGATGGGAGATAAAGTACTCGTACACTTGAATAGCAGTGACCCACGAATCTCTCTTGTTGGCAATCTTGGTTTCACCGCACAAGCCCATAATCATGTTGTCATTTACCATACAATTTACCAGCAATCGCATTGAGGTGGGATACACTTTGGTGTCAGCATCCACCATGAGCACCAATTCAAAGTAATCAGGTGTCACGCCCATCAAAAACTGGATCTTTCTAAACAAGTCATAATCAAGCGGCGTCATGCGGTCGTTGTAGGTCACTCTGCTGAAGAAGTTCATCAAGATGAGCTGAGAATCACGTTTACCACGGTTACCAGGCTTGGGCTTGCCTTGCTCGTCAGGATTACCGCACTTGACTACCAAAATCATGGGCACCTTATGACCTTTGCACACTATAGCAGCCGCTTTCGTTAGTATATCCAATTGAGGCTCATCTACGCATCAGTCTGTATTTACCATAATGACCAGCATATACCTTGGCGCAGTTGTGTTGCTTGGAGCCAACAGCCACAGCAATGTAAGGCATAGGCTCAGGATCCTTCATGCTGGGTTGGTTTTCGTCAAATGTCAGCAAGGACAAACACATGTCAGGCGTAGAGATGGTCTCACCATGACCCGTAATAATACCATCAGCAATCAAGAAAAGCAATTTGCGATCATCAGGATAGTCGGTGGCCGACAGTGATTCCACAGTAGCTTGGATACCTTCCGTGTTTTCAGAGTAACATGTAATCAAGAGCACAGTAAAGAGATCATTGCCAACTTCCACTCTCTTACCAGCGACGCCACCAGCAGGGATCAAAGTACTACCTGAATCGTTGCGTTGCATCATACCGGGCTTGATATCAGACATTTCCATTGTTTGTTGATTTCTCATCATAACACTGCTTGCGGCTGATGCAGCTGAGGGTGGTACAGGTGGAGGCGTGCGAGACAGTTTGCGAGACAAGAACCAGGAAAAGATCAAAGCCATGGAGAAACGAGCCAACACGATAGCCAGCACAATACCGAGCGAGGCAGCCAACACAATAGTAGACACGAAACAGCCAGTGGTACTCTTGTCGATATGGCCAGCTCTGTACTTTTGAACAAGGCAGTTGATGGAAGCCTTGAATTCAGGGCGTCTAAACAGCATTTTGGTACCATCACGACCGCCTTCCGCAAAGCTGCTGTTGAGCAAACCACGAATCACTCCATCCAATTCATCATTTACAATAGGTTGAGGGTGTGCCTTGATGTAAGGCTCCATATTCAGCACGTTTCCGTCGACAACAATGAAATAGGTTAAATTGGCGGTGGCGAACTGAGTCCAATCGTAACCCACTTGACGAGAAATATTGACCAAACCATAGGTGCCTTGCAAATTAGCAATGGATGTATCACCATACAAACAGCCGCCAACACCGTTGTTAGCAGAGCAAGGGTTGCTATTGACAGCAGCAAAGGTCAAAGCCTTTTCATTGCCAGGATTAATGCAGTCAGGGATATTGGTGCCATGTGTAAAGTAGTTGGTGATATCAGTTCCAGGCACAGTAGCCAAATTGTAGAAATTGAGGTTTCCTGTTGGATTCGATTTCGACACATTAAATTGCCAGCCCAGCACGCCCAACAAATTAGCTAAATATAAGGAGTTAATTAAGGTATATTAAATCAATTTAATACCAAAAGACTTACGTGCTTGCAGTGTATCGTTATAAGAAGCGTAATTTGCTTGGTTGTTTGCCTGACTCGGAGGACACAGAACTGAATTGAGACCAATCGTGATGAATGCCACAAAACCACCCATACAGGCAATCAGGAAACAGAGCGTGATTTTCTCTCTCCATGCTTGTTGCATACCAGCATCGCCCATCTTGAGTGCCCTCAGCATAGGTGGTAGCGCCCAGAATGTCACTATACGGGAGAACAATACCCAGGGATCAAACACACTACGACTTGCTGTGGGTTTACCAGTTAAGAGTGGTGCGGGTTCTTGATAACGATCAGGGCGAATCAATGTACGACCACGTTGTATATTATGACTAGCATTAGCAATCGAGTTGCCTCCAGGTACGATGCGACGAGTGGGTGCTCTGCCTAATGTGGTTGGACGTCTACCGATCGATGAAGTTGCTGCTCCTCCATTGTTGTAGTGATAATTGTTGTCAGCGGGTGGTTGATAGCCGTACTCTGGCTGTCCAGGGCCACCATTGTTACCATAAGGTGAATCATGTCTTGCTGGAGGCATTTCTTTATATTAATATATTTAGAGTGGCAATGTCTTTTTTGTCTTCTCGCTTCCTTGTTTTAAGGGGTAATATGTATATAAAGAAATCAAGGTTTTATTATCTCAGTACAAGAAAGCGTGAAAAGAGAAGAAGGAAAGAAATGTTTGAAATGTGGAAAAAAGAGGATATAAAAGCACGGGGATGTAATAAACGATTAAAAAGCCCGAGAATATTGAATTCACTTTTACAGAGAACAAGAGGAGATATAGAGAGAGAGAGAGAGAGAGAGAGAAGAGGGTGGTTGAAAGAAGGAGGGCTATTTTTATATGACAAGTATGCACAGATTATACTGGTAGATTGCAAATTAACTTAGTACCTTCCCAAAGCGGAATCTAGTCTAGATTTGATACTCCTTATATGTATTATGGAAACTAGCTATTCGCAGATCAGGAGAGGGAGAGAGAGAGAGAGAGAGAGCAGGGATATAGACGGGGGAAGAGCATAGTAACAAAGAATATAGCATGTAGCAAATATACATCCCCTTTATCTTTATAGTCGAATTCATGATATGTCGAGCAGCACCTGTGGATAGCATCAATGTGGATGTGGGATGCTGGATGATCTCCGCTACGATAGTTTATACGATGAATGCTCTCCATGTCGATCCTGCGCTCTACATTTTGATTGTCTGTGTCCTTTGCGTAAAGCTGTGTGTGCCCTCATGTACATTTTTTTGCATCGTTTTCTTCTCAAATCACCAACAAAGAAAGCAAAACCACCAAAAGGCAACATAGCACGAATTCATCAATTATCTTGTATCACATTAAATTCCATCAGACTGACCCCCTCCTCCCCTTTGATCTAGATTGACAAAAATTACCTGCCCGATGGTTTTATTTCTGCAAGTGTGCTATTAATAAAACATGGTTTAAAATTTATTTATAAAAAAAAAATTAATAAAGAGTGGAAGAAATCCTTAACTTTACTTTGCTCGCGTGTCAATGTTTGCCATAGAATACAAAAGAATGACTGGAAGACAAGCGTTTATTGGATTCCCGGGTATGGCAATCAGAAATCATCAATTAAATACAATATATGTTATTGGGTAATTACAAACTAGCTGAGCATTAATCCATTTTCATCTCGTTTGTATTCTTGTCTAATAGCTGATCAGAAAGGTCAAAAAAGCCACGCGAAAAGCCCAACAAACAAACAATGGATCAAAGCCTCGTCATTTTCTCTCTCTCTTTTTATCTGCTCCAAATAATCGGATTTTCTGGCTCGTTTCCATGTGCGTCTATAAATGTACATCAAAAGCGGCTTTGCATGTATCCATCCAAATTACATTGGGTTTATTCGATTAAATGCTAATATTTCAAGCTATGATGAAAGAGGAAACAATACGATCTGCTGCCCCTTTTTATCCACTGTGCCTGAAAATAGTATAATAATAGAGAAACATGGCCATTGCGACAACATTGGCATCTGCAGATTACTCAACAACCAATTAGCTACACCGTTTTAGTGATATCTGAGCCACTTTTGGTCATTCAGATCACTCAAGGCTTTCCGAGTTTTATATACGTGTGTTTGTATTGATAATGCGCATAAGCATGGCTGAAGACTGTTGCAATGTTGCATTTGGCAGGCGAACATTCAACTGATATATACGAAAATGTCACTTTTCAGTCTTTTACTATCATGCGAAAGCTCTCAATATAAGCCCTGTAACTGTGGAACTGGCTTTTTTTTTAGGATGTTCCACGTCTGTATCAACGAGAGCCACTCTAAAACAGGCGGGCAGCATACGTTCATTACCTCTTACTACTCAAATGTATGCTAAAACAGCGAAATGTGGGTACATTCTGGCCGTGATTTCTCGCGTTACAAGCCGTTTTAAACCGCCAAAACCGCACCAATTGATTGCTCTTTGCTAGCACTTACTTCCTGACACTTTTGCCAAGCTTTTTTGGGATCGCCAAAAATTGATCAAAAATGGACCAAAAATCATGAGGGATACCTCATGGTTTTCATCAAAAATCAAACGATCCCGTTTTCACCTTGAAAATGAAGACTTTCACTATGGTATATATTACATCAAAATGTTTTTCTCGATCCAAAGCAGCGCCTGGAATTTTGTTTAGGAAACTTTTTGTTTGAAAAATCTCGACATTTTGGCCAAAAACCTCATTTCTTACTTTTAAGAATTGATCAATAAGCTCATTCAAAAACTCTATTGTAATTGGCACCACTGGAAGCGCCTTGAAAAGTACTTTTAAAATGTACTAGGAAGTATGGGCTGATCATTACAACTTATATAATCGAATCTTACAAATTAGATTAAAAAGGTCGAAAATAATCTAAAATTAACAAATAAAGGTCAAAAAATTGTACTCGGAGTTGTCACCCATTTTAGCTGGCAAACTTGATGATGATGCCCTTTCCATAAAGACAATCAATGTTTGTGAAGCTAACAACAAGGGACTGCAATTCAAATAAGTACTATACCTTGACATGGCTATATTTCTTGTATTTTTTTTTTGTTGATTTTGGTACATGGTAATCTGAATAGTTGCAGATTGCTCATCCAAATTCGAAATGGAATATAGTCATTCTTTTCAGCATTGTACATTGGTAAAGTATTGATTATGGATAATTTTATGAGTAGATGAAGATAAAAGAAGGGTATTGTATGATACATCAGAGTATATTAAATGAAGTAGAGGTCAGTCCACTACCAACCACCATCGCCGCCGGCCGATGCTGAACCGCCTTGATCCATGTTGTAGCGATCACCTCGAATGGCTCTACCTTTGCGAATTTCCTCGTAAGCTTTCGCCTCTGCTGGATCAGAAGGGCCCACACCTCGTATAGGGGGAGAAGTGACATGCGCACTGAATGATTGAGGACATTCTTCGATACGTTGACCAAAGAGAGGAGCAGGATGAGGTTCTGCTGGATGCACCTCCTGAGTGATTCTTTGAGCAGGCAACTCGTATCTAATGTTGAGCTCCGTCATGATATCCTTGAGAGCGAGCATAAATCTTGTCTTTCTTTGGAATCGTTTACCCAGTTCTTGCCAGTTGCCTTTATGCGGCAGCCATATGTTCAGAATGAGTTGATTGACATCGACAATGTCAATGACACGTAGATCAAATCCAGGTCCAAATTCACGGCTTTGGCTGGTGACCCAGGCAAGCAAACGGTCGTGTAGCTCCCAGAACTGATTGGTGGTTGTACGGAAATCAATGTTGATCTTGATGGACTCCCCCATGCTTCCAGAACGTCGTACATTGGTGATCAATTTTGTCATTAATACAGTAGTGGGTGCGTAGATGAGCTGGCCATCGCCAGAGACAAAGGAGGTGCCCATGACACCCATATTATGAACAAGCAGGTATTGGCCATCCACCAAGACATAATCACCCGCATCGTAAGGATGTGTCACGAACAGAAACAAGATGCTTTCAAATGTATTCTTGGCAGTGTTACCAAATACAAATGTCAGAGCCAACAGGATGGAGCCCAAAGGGACAAGCGAGTGCCACACCTCAACATTAAAGATGGCAAATGAGGTCAACAAGAGTGCCACCAGACTGATGGCGAACAGCATATAGTCTATCTTGCCAAGCGCTTGGCCTGTATCACGCATGGAAATGGCAATATCTTTACGCTCACGGTAGATGTGCACTACTGTATCACGAAACTCTCGGCGGGTAATATCACCGTTGCCATCTCGATCAAAAATATCAAAAGCGACTTTAGCGTCCTGAGTGGTCTTGAAGTAAGGTTCGAAATCAGAAATGAGCAAGCAACGTCGTGCCTGATTTTCTCCTGGCAAGATACCGTCTGGATAAGCTAGTGATATATAAAGTTTTTTGGCATTTTTCCTTGCATATTCATCGCTATTAATATCCATATCTTTTCGCATATGACGGCTGACATGTGGTTGTTCATTGATGACGGCTCGCTTCAGATTCTTCTTGAATGAATATAGCAGATCACTTGAGCTAAGTTGCCTGTAAGTAAGATCACCTCGACCAGACATGTATTCACTGGTACTGACGCTGGGAGATATGCCTGTGCTAAGGCCTAGGGAGCTTGCAGTAGCAGCAGCAGCAGCAGTTGTCGTCGCGGTATCTAGGAAATCACTAGTGGATTGAGCTGATAGATCGGGTCGTTTGCGGTTTCTCATTCTAGATGCCGCGGTGGATGCTCGATATCGAAACTCGGCCTTACCAAGTGTGTCTAAAACTAATCAGAAATTGGAGTTAGTAAGTATCAACAATCCAGCGGTGCATTCAGGAGAGGATTGACTGATTTACTCTTAATGGCTCGCCTATTAGCCTTGGCGCGATCCTTGAATGCAAATCTATGAAATCTTGAAGCTATGTATTTTTTTTTTAGAATTGAAAAGGAGATGTGTATATAAATTAGATACAGGCACTAACCACATTTATACATGGATAATGTTTCTTACCTACAACCTGAATAATGGTTTTCTGTACTAGTAGAAACACCGAGGCTACAAACAAACAAGCAAAGACTCTCCATAGTGTGGTTGTGTACGGCTGCTTGAGAACAGACTAGCAGGCCATGCAATCCGATCAGAAACGACAATCCAATGGCAATGGTAATCCCGATGAAACTTACCGGATAAGCAATTGTGATCAAAAAGGCCCAAGTTCCCCAGTTCCAAGCAGTGATTACCAAAAGGCCAATGTAGTATTTTAGGCTCATGTAATACTAAATATCATGAAACAGAATGTCAGACGCTGGAAAAAGCTATTTTTATACAACACATTTGTTACCTCCATGTAGCTCTTGACCTTCTCGGATCTGCGACCCTTAAAGAACCATACCCATTTGGTTACTATATACGGAACTGCTTCTGTCATAAATGTGCTCAACCATACAATGTGCCACATAAATGCAGCCCAGTACATCCACACCTGGACGTTGTCTCGAATGTTTTCAAAGCTGGGATCATCCTCCTCCCTTGGCGAGGGCCGAGGAAAGTAAATATAGACACACACGCCCACAGTAATAAAGATGGCAGAGCCAATGGCTGCAATGACAACACGCTTCATAAAGAGAGATAGGTAATGCCAAAAACAATATTTTCGGTATAGTCTCTTGGCTCGCTGAAACGTAGTATTTCGTTTAACGGAACGGGCGCTTTGTTTGTCTGCATTGCCATCACTGTCATTCCAATCGAAATTATGGTCCTTGTCATCGTCAATGTCGTTGGATGAATCACTGCTTGATTCCAGTTCCTGCTCCAGTTCGTCTTCAAGTAATGTGTTTTTGTGCGGCTTTGGAAAAGGCGGGCTGCCTTCAATGGACGTAGCATTGCTGTCACGGTAGTGCATGTTATGGACATCTTGAGCACTATCAACACTCCATTTCTCATTGTCTACATGCAATGGCGATGGCGTGTAGGCGGCGTAGCTTACATGTTGGTCTTGTAGGGTGGGCTCCAAGTCTGTCAAATCAGCTTGTGGTGCTTGTGTCTCTCTGCTCATGTCTACAGAGGTAAAGTAGCCTTGCGCATCCGGATGATGATCCTGATTGTTGCTCTGCGTTTTCATGTAGAAATGTAATCAAAACGAGAAAAAGAGGGTCTTGAAGAGATGTAAAATTTGACAGCTCATTTATGTGCTTATATGTATCAGATCTACAGCAGTATTTCTCAATGGACTTTCGGATATCGCTAAAAGTTTCATTCACTACATCATTTCGCTCGCCAAAAAGGAAATTACCAGGCCAGATTACATGGTTTTATCATGATGTTTCAGTAATTAAGGTATAAATTTCAAGATCATTGCATTGATTTACGTGTGTTACTAGCAGAAATCTGACAGCTCTCAAGAGTTTGAGTATCCTTCTGTCATGGATTTCAGATTGAATCCCTTTAATGCCAAACGGGTCCTCCAAATGTGCCACTCCAAATATTGTATCAAACACAATTGCACCTTTTATAATCAAATTGCTGTAGTTACTGCCTCAGTGAATGCTTGCCGTAATGTAATGTCAGCTCAGGTACTCTGTAACCATCATATCATCCCCACTGTTCTCTTTTACATAAATCATGCCATTTATATTTGTAGTTGCAAGTGTTTATGCTTCGGATGGCTCTCTATCTTCATTTCGCTTTGGTGGGAACCAACCTGCAGCGGCAGCTCGCGCTACCCATTGCCCTTGCGTATCTTGCCAAAATACGACTACTTCCATTTTGATCCTCTACTTACACATGAAACCCCTTCATATTATCTGCGGACCGGATTCTTATGTTATGCTCTACATCCATATATACGTAGCTACTTCATATACGGGCAAGTATCATACTGGTATCTCCCCTTTTTAGTCCTTAGCGCCCCTAATACAGCAAAATCCGAGTGCATTTGAGCTGCATTTTCTCGCGTTCAAGGCCGTTTTAGATTGTCAGAAAAGCACCAAACAATTGCTCTCATCTGGAAGTTACTTTCTGACACCTTTGCTCAACTTTTTGGGGACCAAAAAAACATGGACAAAAACCGACCAAAAACCATGAGGTACCCCTCATGGTTTCCATTGAAAATCAAACGATCGCGTTTTTGACCTTATTACCGAAGACTTTTACTAAGGCATACATTGAATCAAAATGTTTCTATCGATCTAATGTAACTCCTGAACTCATCTTTGTGGAACTTTGATATGTAAAACTTCGACTTTTTGACCAGAAACCTCTTTTCATATTTTTGTAAATTACTCCATGAGTTTATTAAAAACATCTATCTTACTTGGTACCATTGGATGCGCCTTGAAAAGCACTCTAATAACGCTTAAAGAAGCAGAGGATGATCATCATGTTTTACTTAGTCGAATCTGCAAAAGTAGTTCAATCGGGTCGAAAAGCATCAAGATTTGGCCAATCTGGAACAAACTATGAGTCTGGGTTTGAGTTGATTTTGGCTGGTGGGACCGGCTGGCAAACTCAATGCCCTTTATCATGAAGGCAATACAGTAATTGACGCTTTTAAAGCATATGGAAAGTAGGTAGCAAATTACATAGCACTACCGTTAGCTATGCTATTTTTTTTGGATTCTATTTAATAACGCCAGTCTATCAAAATACTTGTCAGATTAAATTCTTTCCTTGTTGGGGCTTTGAAAGTGTCTAGGGTCCATAAATTTATTGCGTTACGTTGGGCGTTTCGACTCTTCGGTTGGTTTCCTGACCTACGCTTCGTTTTGGTGGAAGCCATTCTACGTTTAGGTGGCTCGTGCTGCCGTGAACCTTTGGCTAATATTGTAAAATCAGTAACAGCTAAAGTGTTAGAAGAAACTCGATTGTTGATTGATAGAAATGTAATATAACATCTTAAATCATATATGAACCATGCCTGACAAATGCCTGGCACTCCGCTTTCATATTAAGGTTGTAAAAATGTTTATGGACTTTAGATTTATTATGTTATGATGTGTTTTATCGGCCTACTACTTGACCCAGTCAAAAGTTGCTTTGTTTGGGGATTGTTGCTAATGAAACAGATTCGAAATGTGCTTTGCTGAGAAATGATGCCATAACTTCCCAAAAAAGGCTCAAAGCGCTCAAAAAGGTGCTCTATAGCTACCCGTAGTTGAATAGCGGATGGCAATGAACATATAGTGCTTGAAAGAATGCCTGTACTACTAGCAGTAGAGTGCTTACATGAGATATGAGCAGCATCGGTGGTGTGTGTATCAATGCGCCTTTATTTGTAACACTAAAGCAAAAAAAGATGATAATAACAACAACAACAATAGCAGCTTAAGCCGTTATTTGCTTGTTTCTCTTTCTTTTCCTTTTCCTTCTTTTTTCTTTTGGCATTCAAACATGGATTTCTGGTTATTTTTGACAACATTTTTGATATTGGTTTCATTGCCAATTTGCGTGTATCGACAATGGATTTGGGATCAGATTAAGGTTCAACTAAGGAGAAACACAGGGTTTGTCGACATAGATCAGTTGTGTGTGTTTTATGACAAGCAAAACAGCAGAGCAACACTACATATGATTGGAATTACATTCGAGCAGACTATGGTAGCCAACACCAATACTACGCCAGATGTCTTTACTGTAGAAGTGCTAAAGAAATGGGTTCAAGCTACATCTCTCATGCGATTATTGGTTGAAGTACCAGTCATTGCCGTCATGTCATTTATCGTAAACCATACTGCAGTCCGTATTGACAAATTGACATTGATGGCCAACAGCAAAGACTTGGTTATCACAGTGGATCACATCTACATTCAATCCTCCTTAAATGTATCACAACGACAGCAATCTGGCAAACTGTTTCAGGACCAACAACGAGTGTTTAGTGTTCAATTGCAAGTGGGTCCTGTAACTGTGGCTGACAATGCTTCAAAGCCATTGGTGGGAATAACTACTACTTGTCTTGTGATGGTGTCCTGTCAACTGAACAGAATCTTGCTTGAAGGCATGGACGTGGATATCCAGCTGGGTTTTATCAACGTGTATATGGATACCTGTATAGCTTATTATCAACAGTATCAAGCCGTGCAGCATCCTTCACACGCCTGCAGTCACCAGCAAGATCTCGACATGTCAGCATCTAGATTCATGCGCTTGGGTATCAAGATCAATTCAATCAGTGTAACAGTCCAAAAGATGAATATGGAAAATCAACAAATTGCGATGCGGATGGAGATCAACACGCTGAGGATTCAGGCACTGCTTGAGAATAGAAGGGAGCCTTGCTTGCAGCTCAATACTGACCTGATTTTACTGTGCTTACTCCAGCATCGCCTTGTTGAGATATCTTCCATGGAAATAACTGCTGCGCTTCCGACACCAGAAGACTATCATCATGCAGCAACACCCACATCATCAGATACTTTGCCACATACTGATCTGCTAAGTGTAACATGGATTATAAACATGCCGCTACTGACGCTTCCCTTGAAAAGTCAGACGTTTCTAGACACACTAGCCCATGTGCAGCAGTTACAGCAGCCCATTACCAGCACAACAACAACAAACAGTAGTCTGCCCCAAAAGAGAATATCCAATGTTCCTACCTGCTCACTTGCTGTTGTGTTGAACTCTGCCAAAATGGATATGTTGGATGTGGATAACGAAGAGCGTCATGGCTATATGTCGAGTAAAAGCTTGATTATTCGTTTTGCGGGAGAGTACATGAAAAAGAGCAATAGAAACAGCAGCAGCAGTTTTGACGATGTGCCTTCGACTTCCTCTTCCTCTTCAGCTAGCAGACTGGACTCGTGGTTTGCTCAGGAGGAGTACAAGTGGTTGTCTGGTGGCGGCTCTTCTAGTAGTCTGACAGCCAGAAACAGAAGCTCTTTCCACGAGACTACTCCCAACAGCAAGTCCTCAATACCTACCCCACCTCACACGCCTACTACTACTGCCAGATGGCTCCATTTGCTTGGCCGGGTATCGCGCAGACATCAGCCCAGTAGCAGCCACAACAACAGCAGCCCTGCACCCTTGATGCATCCTCAACAACGACATCAAAAATGGATCTATCGTTTGTCTCTCAAGGCCATAATGCAACATGTCAAGTTTGGGTATCAGTGCCATCAACAAACGCATGATTTTATTCGAGTCAAAAATGCCGTTTTCATTTTCAAATCAGGAATGCATGTTATCCAAAATCATGTTGTGCTCACGCCAGGTAATGTGATTCAGTCTGAAGCAGCCATTGATAAGCCATTGATCAATGTATGCGATACACACCACGGTACTGCATTGAGCGCAAGCGTTTTTTGGTTGACATCTGTGCCTGAAGCCCTTCAATCATTGAGAGGAAACAACAACAACAACAACAACAACAACAACAGCAGCAGCAGCAGCAGCAGTACTGAAAGCAGCAACACGGATTGGAAGCAGGTAGTGGTTCAGAGTATCAGCTTTAGCTTGGATGTGACACAGGGCTCTATTGTCGCTTGGAGCGTAGATACTGCTCGGCAATCAGGGACTGTTCAAGTGCCTGAGGGCTATATTGACAATGCACCTACTCACGCTGTGTATACTCGCATGGTACTAGATACTCAAAAACTGGCTTTTGTCTGTGAGGGGCCCTACGCAACAGTGGATCAGCACTTTCACAATGAATGGAAGGCACGGTGTCACATGGAGAAGCTTTACCTTCATCAATCATCCAGCTGTATGCAGCAAGATGTAGACATTTATGAGCTACTGAAAAAGCCAGAGAAGCAGCATGTCATTCTTTGGATCTCGCAGCTCAACTTTAATACCAAGTACTGGCAAGCTGACGACACGCAGCTGTCTGTTGTGTTCAAGGTCAAAAAGTTTGGCATCTCGTATTCCATTCGGAATCATTATGCTTGTTTGTTACTGTTTAGATCTTTGTCTGTCATGAAGCATCAGCTCAAGACCAATGGCGTGGACAGTGAAAGCGGTTTGAAGCATCGGCAATCCACAGCAACAACGCCAACGCCACTTGTTTCGCTTGATGTATCTGTTGGAAGAGGGGATATCCAGATAGGCTTACCTCAAGAGATCAAACTCTACCTCAGAATGGATGAACTGAACGTCAACTACACTGCTGAACACAAGAACATGGTTCAATTTCGAAACATCATGCTACTGGGTGTCTCTCCGACTCACCAAGCCAAATGGGAGCAGCTAGTGGAATTGGATCAGGTCAAGATTACCAAAACAGAGGCTTCTATTGAACTCAAAGCCAAAAAGATATTTGCCTCTGTGCCTTACAAGTTTGTCCTGTCAGAGGTGATTGACAGCGTGATCGGGTTAGTCAAGGCGATCAAGGAGCTTCAAGCAAGAATACTGGAGCAAGATCCCACCAGACGTGTGTTTACCTACTTTGGCCCCTTGTTAAAGAACAACCCTATTGCTATTCCTCACATCAAATTGCGAGCCAAGGTGTTTACCATCCATTTTGATGATGATCCATTTGAAGCAAAGCTGAGGAATATCCTAAGGACGGGTTTGCAGGAACAGCAGAGAAGATTAGCTTACAAGGAAGCATTGGATGAGAAAGTCTACGACATGTTGCACTCGACATCACTAGCATCTCCTGAATCAGCCTCTATCAATTCGTCCACACACCAACGCACATCCGTGTCCGATGATTTCCAATCCATTCGCACGTCCTCTTCCACCATCAATCCTCAACGAGACGACACGAGCGACCCCAAACCAAGTGTAGACCAAGCCGAACTCTATGTTCAAATTGCTAAAGCGCAACAGAACCTGCTGGCGTATTACTCTGAATTTTGGATAAAGCATATAGACGAGACAAACCTACAAGAAGCACAGTTTTTTGAAGCGCTGCATAGCAGGAACAACTACCGAAACGCAGCAACATCCGGTGCTATTGATCATGCCCTGGATGATGGTGATAGTCGTAGACATGATCGTTTCTTGCTCTCCAAGACATTTACCATTGACATTGTGCCCAGACCTCTACATCCACCTTTGGCGAATTTCACTGCTCAGTGTGCCAAGGTGAGCTTCAAGCCTGCCAATTTCAGACTGGAAGAGACGCGGTCCTTTATCCATATGGTTGGAAGAGGTGTGCCTTTGGACTATGATTTCTCCATATTGATACCGTTTCATCTGTCAATCAAAGCCTCTAAAACGTGGATCAAGGTGCGAGATTACCCTTTACCTTTGCTTTATGTCCCTCCCTCTGAGAAGACGGGTAGAGTTGCTTGGACATTGGAAGGTGACTATGTTGTAGGCGACGAGCTGGGTAACTCAGGTGGAAGTCGTATTATACCCATTACCATCATTCCCGGATCAAACTCAACGGCTGGCTACTGCTTATCCGCTGTTCGCACTGCCTCTCCTCTCAAGTTCTATTCTGTCATTGATTACCATGTGTTGACACAGGGCATGTCTATGATTTGCTGGTCCGTTTCTTACAACCCTGCTATCCAAGATATCTTGCGTGTGTTGGATACTTTGACAGCGGCACAGGTGGATCCTTCGCCTCGCATTGGGTTCTGGGACAAGGTTCGCTTCATGATCCACTCGCAAATCAAGATCCATTTCACGGGTGGAGGTAAACTGGCGTTCGTTATCAAGGGAGCAAGAGACCCATATCAGTTGCTGGAAAGAGGCGCTGGTTTAGCCAAAGTTTGGAGCGATGATGTCGTCTGGTTGCTTGGTTATGAAAATGAACAGAATGAGTTTATGCAGATAGTCAGCCAAAGCTACGCTTTCGGCGTGCCTGACCTGCTTCATGGCGGATTTGTGCCTCAATTGCCTGATTCTCTGCAGTACAAGCAGGACAAGATGTGTGCTGATGATAGTCGTGTCTTTCTCAAGATTGCACTCAGGCTATCAGACGGTGTTCGTATGGGTATTGGCTTGAGCTATGAAAGACTGTCTTGTCATGCGAATGATGTCAGGAAGCATAGTCTGTGTGATACATGTCGATATCAGCATCCGCATATGATTGATAGGTGCCGATCTCAAGTGTTTATGCCTCACTACCATGTGTTGTTTCAATCAGTTCAACAAGTTAATACACATTTTGATATGGTAGATACATGCATTCATATGAGGAGAGCCTTCTTTTACTTACATCCCATTGATTTGTAGGCCACATATGACGCGTTTCGAGGATTCAGATCTGATTTCATACACTTGTCGTTCAGCATTGTCAAACTGGAGAATGGCGATGGTTCTCTTGAATCGCCCGACTCTTTTCAAGACGATCCTTACTTGAGCCACTCTGGCAATATGTCTCAAAACGCCATGTATCTCAGTCCCTGCTTTGTCAACCACTTTCAGCAATGGTTCAGGCTGTTTGGTAGTCCTATATCTATTCCTATTCGGCAAGGTAAACTGTTTCCCACTGTCGAGGAGAAGGCCAGGTCCTTTGGAGAACTATTGAACACGGTTAAATACAAAATTGCAGTTAATCCTTTAGCTATTGGCTTCTTCATTTCTGATCAGGAGACGTATCTCGACATGAAGGGCAGCGGATCTGTTGGATTGAAGGCTCGAGTCAACTCTTTTAGTGTAGATCTGCATTCTAGGCGAGAGATGATTCAACCAAATGACGTGGAAGCAGTACAAGACGACTCGATCAAGACGGAAATCAACTTTCATGAAGCGGAAGTAGAGCTATCAGACATTGATCTGCGCGTAATCAGGGCACATCATCGCAACACGGCAAATACATCACCGGTATCCAAACCCCAGTCAGGCAAATCAGTCGCTGAATCCACTGCCTACAGCGAAGAACAGAGCTATCAGGGACAAGAAGCTTCTTCCTTTGATGAAGAGAGCCGTTACAGCTTCCAATGGATTGACGCCAAAGATTTTGTGATTCTAGATGCTGTCCACAAACAACCTTTTCTATCACGATCCAAGATTGATGTGCTTCCGTTTGCATTTTCACCGTTGTTCTACTACATGAAGCAACACGACGAACCTGGCGCTGAAAAGAGAGACTATCTCAGAAGGACGCATGATTGTACGATTGGCAGCGGCATGGGTAAGTTAATCATCGCTTGCTTTTTGATGGTGGAATGACTGATATCGAGCGTGCCATACAGACAGCCATGAATTCCAAAAGACATATCTCAACCAGCGAGCAGCAGATCTTGATAAAGTCATTGAAAACCACGATAAACAGCTCGACATTATTATACATGCGATGAATGTGTACAAGAACGAAAAGGAAGATCTTACAGATGAGGTATGTGTAGCAAGATTTTAAGCTATCCCCAGACTAACATGATGTATTTCACAGCATGAATTCCTCGTCAAAAAGATTGACCACCTTCGAGTCAAACGCTACATGCTGCACACTTACATTGCCCAAATGATCTTGGAGAATGAGCTCAATATGACGACAGAAGATGCTGATACGCGAGGCTCACCCCACACAACGACTTCCTCCATCTGTCGCAGAGACGAACTGTCCAGGTGGGAGTTACTCATGGGTCGCTTCAAGGACCGCTATTTTGTGCACAACCCGCAAATCATATGGAACAGCTCTGTGAGAGATGCAGTCTATTACATGAGGGATATCTACAACCATCGGTCAGTGCAAAGCTTAAATCTATCTGCCAGGTGTTTCAAGTTCTTGGAGGATCTGGTGCGAATGGCCGAGAAGCAGCAGCAGTGGAAGCCAGATGTGCCTGAGGCCACAGCCGAATCATCAACCTCACCCGCCGTATCTTCTGCCAGCACACAGGCGCTGATTGACAGACTACTGGCCGAACGTTCCAAGAAGTTTGTAGCCTACAATGAGCGTGAAGAAGACAAAAGGCAACCCAGAGACGACATCAGCAGCCCTTCTTCCAATACGTCATATGACGGCATCCATGTGCTTGATGACAATGCAGACAATGTCAATGATCCAGACTACCAATATGAAAACATCCCCGATTCGTATGAAATGCAAAGCAATTATCTGATTGACATGATTAACCCTCAGTTCATCTGCCAGAGTGAACGAGGTCTCGACCATTTGATCCTGCTGACAAACGAAAGAATTCATATCAAAGGATTCCGCATCATTGATAACAGCACAAGCGGCGCTGCTGACAAAGATGTTCGCCTGGTCAAGAGCCGTATCATTGTCAATCTGGACAATGCTCAGCTCTTGGTGGCTAAAAGGATTGAACCAGTGCACTCTTACCACACTTTAGCGCCCAATTGCTACGGCCAATTCCAGGAACGACATTGGGCTGTATGGACGCAGCCAGAACAACTGTGGTACTATCGAGAGCTCAAGAATTTCGAAAATTTCCAGAGAATCGCAACGCAATTATCAGGCACTATGCAACTCGACCTGTACAACCATCTGCGTATCAAGATCAACAAGTATAACAACACATTGCGCAAAAGCCCCTTTGAGGATCGCACCAACACTATTCAAATGCACTTTCCACACGTCAAACTCACACTCAACTCGTTGCAGAGCCATATTCTGTACTACACCGTCATACACCTTGTGCTTGGAAGTGACAGGTCAGCGCGTGAAAAGACCAAGCTGAACAAATTTCGAGACGTTATGCTGGCAGCAGAGCGCAGTGATCTAGCAGAAACTGTCAAACAAGTGGGTGTGCTGCAGAATAGATCGCGCTATCTGCTTGATTTGCATAGCCGATTCCTCAGCGAGCTGCCTTACCTGGATACATTTGGCCTGCAAGAATTTAACAAGAACAAAAAGAAAATGAGTGAAAGCCTAGAGAAACTATACATGGTTGTAGAAGCCATTCGGTCCATCCAGACATTCAGAAGAGATATCCATTTGGAGGAGTCAGATAGTGCAAAGCGATTCATATTCACGTCTGATGAGATTATCTGGGAGGCCACCATGGACAATGAAATGCAAAGCTCGTTGTGTGAGTGGAAGTTGACCAATACAAAGTACGTTCGATTGGACAAGCCAAATGGATCGCACAAGAACACGGTAGAAGTGGATCAGTTTCAGATCAAGAATACCACCGAGTCGCCTGTTTTTGTCAACGTATTGGATGCCTATGTCGATCCTTCAAACACATCGCATCAAGAGCCTGATTTCTCTCGCCATAAAATGCTCAGCGGTGTACTGGATTCGCTACCGCCCGTGGGTGGCATTCCAGTGATTCAGCATCTAGAGATCAATCTTCTGCCTCTGCATCTACAAATCAGCACTGCTTTTGGTACAGCCATGAAAGACTACTTTTTCCCAAGGGTGCCTTCCACCACTGCTATGGACCAGCAGGGCCAGAATCAAGATCAGGATGTGTTCTCAGGAGACAAACTGGAGGAAGAAGAGGAGGACCAAGATGAAGCTGTCATGATTGACAATTGGAGCACTACCAGAACAAACAGAAACCATGCCAGCGTCCGCTCATTTGGTAAAAGAGAGGGCAGTTTCGCCAGCTTGGACATGATAGCAAAGAAAGTCAAGGAAACGGTTGTCAAAAAGCGCAAGGGAAAGGCAGATGAGCTGACCATCATGAAGAAGAGATCTTCCACTAACCGCACCTTTATCTATGTGCGCATTCCTGCTGCCAAGCATTGCATCAGCTTTCAGGGGCCAACTCAAAATACGTTTTACAACCTGTACAATTTCCCGTTCAAACAGCCCAAATTGGAGTATAGAAACAAGACATGGTCAATCGCTGAAATGACAGAAGAGATACAGAAGCGTGAGTATGGTGCTGGGCTCTTTGATTTGCATGCAGGCTAACCATGTCTCCCTCCCCCCCCCTTACGTAGAATTTGTCAGAGCTATCTTGAGACATAGTCCAGCATTGCTCAAGAAGAAACTGCTGACCAAGAATAGCAGGGAGCTGCCAACTCCATCTGTTCCCGTCTCGAGAGCAGTGAGTGTTACGTCAAAGCAATCCTCCTCTGCCAGTGTTCATTCAAACATTGAACTCATGGACGACTCTGTTATCTATAACGAATATGACGATACCACAAGCCGAACCAAGTCTGTCATCTCAGCCTACACAGAGGAAGATGATGTGGATGTCCAATCCTTGTATTCCAATGCACCAGAAGATGAGCAGCAACACTTGGCAGAACTGCAGACCATTAAAGGAAAGAAATCGCACAATGTGGATGAGGAGTTGCTTGAATTCTATGCAGCCAAGCACAGGTCAGAGCATACAGATGATGAATTGGCCAGGAACAGCCAGATTCTGTTTGGCTCAAGCTATCGCTAAGGAAGCATCGGATGTCGAATCAACGCGTATAATGTGAACTTTTCGGTACGCGCGATTGAAATACCTCTTTTTACCTTTTAAATAAAAAAAAATAAAAAAACATTACATGGCAGTGAATTCCAAAGTGAAAATAAGGAGATCAGTGTACAATATCTTTACTAAAAAGTATGGATTGCATGTACAAACAGACGCTACAAAGTATCTCGAAGGTCTACTGGAGAGAGAAGATGATTTGGTCGACACATTGGAAAGAATTATCAGGGCTTACAAGAAGCGTTACAGTGGTATATAGACATGTATAATGCAAAAAAAAGAAAGCTCCCGTTGTGGACTAACTCCTGTCCATTCTAGAGGAAACACTCGTCATTGTCAACGAATCCACCATTCGAGATGTCATTACGACCATGCAGAGTTCAGCAGCCATTGCAGCCTCGTTGACGCCATTTCAAAGAGTGGATGAAGAAATCAACGATTCTTTGCAAGACATGTCTATCCAAGAAGCACCAGCAGAAAAGGTAGATGTGACACAGCACTTTCATGTAGTCGATGCCTTCAATCTGCCAAAGCTAGTCTATGACGAACTCACAAGATCATTCCACAAGTAAGTCTGTGCGGCGGATGTCAGTGAGGAGAGTCTAATGCTGCTGCAGGAGTAAGGATCGTTCTACTCTGTTACCAGAAGCCAACGAAAAGGGCGACATGTACCGCGAAAGATACAAGCTTGTCAAGCAACGATTGCTGAGAAACGAAAACTTTTGTCCGCCAAATATGTCTGACGCATCCAATTCTGATATTATCAAGGTAAACATCGCAGTGGAGATGGTGTGAGGATGCAGTTAAGCTGATGCGAACAATGCGATAGATCACACCTATAAAAGCGCTCATTGGTCATGACGAGGAAGAGTTTGTAATGTTTGGTATGCTTACACAGGTAGAGGAAGGAAAGTTGCATTTGGAGGATGAAGATGCGCATATAGAATTGGTCATGCACGAAGCTGTGAGTAGGATATGGTGCTGTGGATCAGAATAGAATGACTGATGTGTTTTTGTAGAACTATGATTATGGGCTATTCACGGATGGTGCGTTTGTGTTGGTGGAAGGCGTTTACAGAGATCACAGATTCTACGTCAAGGAGATCAATTTACCGCCAGCAGAGCCTCGCGAGATGACAGAGTAAACTAGTTGCAGATCAGATGCATGGGAAGGGGAACTAACAAGCTTTTTTCAGTGCACTGTTCAGCCATGTTGATTTTATGGGTTTGCCGAAACCACTTGTAGACGAGGTAATTGAATGGAGACAGGCGTTGACAAAACATCATGAAACTCACGCGGAGGCATAGAAACTACTAAAACTCGAGGAAGCCACCAACGAGGACATTACATTTGTCATTCTATCCGACGTATACCTGGATCAACCCAAAGTGATGGCAGCATTGAGGATCATCTTCGCTGGATACTCTGCAGCACAAGTGCCACTGGCATTCATCATGATTGGCAATTTCTCGAGTAAATCATTTGTATATGCTGGATCAGATTCGGATGAATACAAGGACAACTTTTCAGCATTAGCAGATTTGATCAGTGAATTCCCAGACCTAGCAACACATTCAAACTGGGTGTTTGTGCCTGGACCAAAGGACCCTTGGGCAGGGAAATCATTACCACAGAGCCCCATCTTGCCCAGTTTTGTGAATCGTGTCAAACAGAAAGCTAAAAAAGTTACTTTTACTACAAACCCATGTCGTATCCGATACTGTACACAAGACATTGTTATATTTAGAGAGGATTGGTTGCAGAAATTGTGGAGAAATACCTTGCTTACAACAAATCTCGAAGAAGATCCTGAGCCAATTAGACATGTAAGCTTAGATTTGGACTGTAGCAGCAGTGGCTGATGTTTTGCCATCCCATAGTTTGTACATACCATTGTGGATCAGGGTCATCTAAGTCCACTGCCATTGACAATCAAACCCGTTTCTTGGGCATTTGATAATGCTTTGAGATTATATCCATTACCACACGCAGTGAGTATGACACAACCAGGAAGCTGGAACATACTATTGATATCTACAAAACTAGTTAATTATAGCAGACAAGTGTGAGAATTATGGCATAACCTATGAAGGAACTCACTGCATCAACCCGGGAAGCTTCCCTAATTCCGACTTCACATGGACCGTCTACTATCCACATTCACGCATATCCGAACGATGGTAAGTCCTCTTTTTTTTTAATTCTTCCCCTGAAATCAAGATTGCAATGTGTCAGATCTCTCATTGCTTGTTCATGTAGTAATCTACCAGGAGACGTATGGTAATGATTGTCAAGTATAATGGAGAGTGAAACGTTAATTTCGGTCGTTGAATGTAAACTACCCCTTATTGTATCACCAATAGCATCAGGCTATTTAATCAACAATAAAAAAGTCTAATACTTGTTCTTTCCCTTCTTTGCCTCTCTCTCTCTCTCTCTCTCTTTCTCTCTTGATTTTTTTTTATCAGCATGGCAGCCAAGATATCAAGGGACCAGGTCAAAAGGAACAACACTGAGGGTTCTTGCTGGGTGATTGTAAACGATAAAGTATATGACATTACAAGTTTCTTGGCAGACCACCCTGGTGGAGACGGAATACTGTTAGAATTTGCTGGCACTGATATCACTTTTGTTCTAAACGACATCAACTATCACACACATTCGGATGCAGCTTACGATCTTTTGACTGAACATTATATCGGCGATCTTGCAAAGGAGGAGGAGAAAGATGATGCAGTGGAAAGCTTGAAAGTGAATGATCCCAAGCAAGGACAAAAGACAACTACAAAGGATAAGATGGTTGTGGGCTCAGAACGCGATGAACAATTTCTGGATCTTCGCAAAGCCCTGTTTCCGCAACTATGGAATGCAACCTACTCAAAGGAATTCTATTTGGAACAAGTCCATCGACCTCGATATACGCCATATACGGTGCCTTATTTTGACCATCCACTATTGGATAAGTTATCTAAAACAAATTGGTATGTAGTACCGATGGTATGGTTACCCTTTGTGTTTTACCAGGCGTGGAGATCCCTTCATTGTTCTGGCGCCTCTACCGAGATTCTGATCCAAGGCTTTGTCAGTGGCATCTTCTTTTGGACCTTGTTTGAATACATATTGCATCGATTTTTGTTCCATTTGGATGACTTGGTACCAGATCATCCCATATTTCTGTTGATCCATTTCACATTGCACGGTATTCATCACCATATGCCAATGGACCGGTAAGTTTCTTTTATACGAAGCGAATTGCCATTATGATTGAATGTCTTGTCTACATAGCTTGAGATTGGTCATGCCACCTGCATTGACAGTAATTTTAAGTGTGCCCGTCTTTAAAATAGCACATGGCCTGTTTTACCCTGCATTTGCATTTGCATTTGTTGGTGGCACCTTCTTTGGCTACATATGTTACGACATGATTCATTACTATCTTCATCATGCAAAGGTTCTGGAGATTTACTTCAAGGAACTCAAGAGATACCATGTTGCCCATCACTACAAAAACTTCAACAGTGGATTCGGAATCACTTCAAAATTATGGGATTATGTTTTTGGCACAGTGTTAACCTATGAAAACTCTAAATCATAAACATCTCCCCACTTTTTTTTTCTCGTATAGTTGCATTACTTAATTTCTAATCATTCATTTTCTTTCTAATAATAATAATAATAAAAAAGGGTATACACTGCTTGCACCAACCTCTTTGTTCTTGTTGAAAAAGCATCAGGATGTTTTCGTGTATTTGTGCAGTATATTCTGCGAAATTCTATGGTGTCCACCTCCAAAAGCAGTGGATCAAAGATCAGAACCGAAATCAACACAACGATGATGTATATATTTATATATAAAAAAAAAATAAAGGGAAAAAACTGCCTGGCATGCCACATGCTATCTAAGATTTGAATGAATATTTATATGTGTAAAAAGGTGTTGTTTCTTTTAGATGGGATAAGGAGGGATCCAGTATTCTCTAGCAGAGGATAAAGGTAGACTTTGGTGTCTCCAATTTTGTTGGTGGGGCTCTTGTTGTTGCATCATGAAAGCCTGTTCCATAGATTGATGCGACGAGGCAGCTACAGAGGCAGCAGCAGCGGCGGCGGCGGCGGCAATAGCATGATGGTGGTGGTGCATTGACGTGGACGAGGGAGGAGGCATCATCATATCCACAGCAGTCGGAAATCTTGTTAATTGACATAATCGTTCATCCATACCCGCGATGGCTAATAACTCTTGACGAAGATCAGCAGCCAAACCGCGCACAGTATGACGCAGAACAACGGATGCTTGCATGCCTTCAGTGAAATCACTGCATTGAACCCAACTTGAGTTGTTTTCCATAAAGAAGATAGGGGCTTCGACTAAATCCATATCGATTTGAGCTGAAATATGGTCGTCTAATACATTTAATTCAATCGATGCAATGTTGTCAAATGATATCATCATTTTGAAATGATAATTACTGTCACGAATATGCCAGGAGAAAGCACGTTCATTTAATTTATAATAACACATTAAATCCTGTTGACTGATCTTCATTCTATGCCAGGATCCAACTGTTACTGCAGTAGCAGTAATTAAACCGGTTGTGTTTTGACTCATGAAGCTAGTCGATGTTAAGGGTTCACTCTCTGATAACATTTAGTGAGCATGATACATGTGTCCTAGTGCTACAACTTACCCATTCTCTTGGGCAATCCGCTGTTATTGCTAATGAATGATTGTGGGGTAGGTGAAGGTGAAACAGTGAGGCTGTAAATGTCTTCTTCCAATTCACTCGTTGCTGATGGGCCTGTAACAGAAATCGATGGCGGATGATCGTAGTGTTGTTGATGCTGGAACATTTGGGAGAGTGGAGGAGGGGGTGGAGGAGGAGGATAAGCAGAGTTGGGTACCATGTCCGTACTCCAGGCACGATGAATAGGTAGCTTCTGTTGTCTGTTTGGTAGATGTGAGTACCAGTATGGATAGCCATGTTGCGATGTTGCTTCAGCACATAATCGAGCTCTGGCAGCTTCTTGTTCTTGACGTAACAGGACTCTTCGTTGTAACATTTTGACTTTGGCTCTTCTATTTTGGAACCAAATCTGAATGGATCTCTCTGGCATTTGTAATTTGAATGCTAATTGCTTTCTCATCTTTGAATCAGGTGTAGCACTCACATTAAATGTCTCTTCCAAGACACTTAATTGAGAAGGTGTAACACGAGTTCTCTTTTTGCTATCATCTGTTGTCGTAGCAGATGCTGTTGATTGTTGAAGGGGTGGAGTTAATTCTGACATAATGAAAAGGAAAGTGATGTGGTGAAAGGAATGTGGAAGAAAAGAGAACTTGTTATAAAGAGACTATGATTAAAAGAGGGAGTGGGCTTAATTTATTTTAAGGGGAAAGAGAGAGAGAGAGAGAGAGAGAGAGGATGATAGTAGAGGGAAGAAGAGGAGATGATGCGATTTAAAGGACTGGAGAGTTGAAAAGAGTGGAAAGAGAGAAGAGAAGAGGAGATGTTGTCTTGAATGAAGAGGGAAAAAGAAAGAGAGAAAAGAGAAGGGGCCGTAGGGGTTTTTTTTATGAATCAATCCTTTCCTTCTCACTCTTTCATTAAATGAATTTGTGAGCGGAGACACTTTGCTTTATTGGTTTTTGCCAAATCAAGCTTTTTTGCGCACACAAGAATCTTGCCAGATACCTATTTAAAGCCGCTTTAAAAACTACATCTATATAGACTATGACAGCATCGAGTGCAAGGCACAGTCTTGGGCCAAACGCATAAAGCAAGCCACAGATATTGATAGTCTACATGTATGAGGATGTAATGTGGATATTAAACTGCGGTTGAGATGCTGTTTGTCCTCATCGTAATGCAAACATCAAGTGCGCATCATTTGGCCCAAAAATAGACGGCCTTCGTCAAGCTGACAGACATGTAAACGGGGCAGCAGACATTTTGATTGTATCGCACACAATTGCTGTGCCATTTGCTATAAAATGGCTTTGCATCGATACGGCTACTCCTAATTCCAACATTTTGAATGCTGCTCTTTTCAAAGCACAATCAAATTACATGACATTTGTCAATTCTGCATTTCGCCCAAACACGTGTGTTCAGGATTATACCGCAAAATTAGTTTTTGCAGCAAAACGACCGAGAATATCTGATGACAGGCAGATCACCGGCTTGAAAGAGGATCAAAATGGTCCCTGAAAAAAAACAGAATTTTAATTTATACACCGAAAAACGATCGTCAGATGGCCTCAACTGATGTAAATGACGCTTTCAAATAGACTAGCGATTCACTCGAAACAGCTACTGTTCTGATGAAGCATTTTTTCAGGACATTTAGTTTAGATGATACTAAAGGCTAGTTTGATTAGATTTAAATTATTTCCACACAATGAATTGAGGTCAATGATCCACCAGACGCATCACCGAATGCGTAATCGACTTGCATCAAGTTGGCCCAAACATACAGCTGCTTCAGTTTTAGGAGACCTCGTTCGCCTTTATTTTTAACCATCGAATAAGATGGAATGTTTCCATTCAGATCCATTTTATCTATAAGGCTAGCACACTTTAGATCCCACTGCCTCTAGTTCAATCCAGATTTTGGCTAAAATGAAAGCCCTTTTAGCTCTGATTACTGCTGGTGTTCAATCAAAGCTATTTTTGGTCTACAACAAATCCATTTGTTGTGTATCACAATAACCAAAAAAGATTTCTCTCCCCTATACTTCTTTTCATTTTGACTCTTACCCCTATTTTCCGATATCATGTCGCATCAAAGTCAACTAGAGGCTATCAACCAACAGATACAGTCGATAGATGCTTCTATTGCCATGCTCAAATCAGATAGACAAGAGCTAATAGCACGAAGAAGCACATTACTAGACACAATGGCGCAGGCAGCCATCCAATCCAACGCCCAAGGTTCAGACACAAACCGATACGATTCCTCAGATTTTCCATGGTCTCATCAGTTGAAAACACTCGCTAAAGACTATTTTAACATCTCGTCATTCAGAAGCCTGCAACTCCCAATCCTCAATGCTGCACTAGAGCAAGAACGCGACCTATTCATCGTCTTACCAACAGGTGGAGGTAAATCCTTATGTTATCAGTTGCCAGCGCTATTGGAAGATGGATTCACGCTTGTCGTTTCGCCCCTGGTATCGCTAATCAAGGACCAAGTGTATCATCTGCAGGAAGCCAACATTCCATCTGTCTACTTGACTGGATCATCCACCAAAGAAGAAGTAAACACGATACAAGACGGCATGGTGCCAAAACAGAACCAAGCCACGCCATTCAAGCTACTCTATGTCACACCAGAAAAGATTGCTAAAAGTAAACGCTTTATGGCAAGACTGAACAAGGCTTATGATGCTGGTCAACTCACAAGAATCGTTGTCGACGAGGCGCATTGTTGTTCACAGCAGGGACACGACTTTAGGTACGATAGTGTGCATAGCTCGCATATGCTGGATCATGGCATTGACAATCATCCTCTCTTGTAGACCTGATTACAAGCAATTGAATATACTTAGAGTAAATCTAGCCATGGCCATGGAATGAGGTGTTCATGTACACTTACTCAACATACCCTCTATAGACAGTGTTTCCCAAAACCAAGATCATGGCACTCACAGCAACCTGCCCATGGTCAGTGATGAAGGATGTGATGAGAATCTTGGACATGAAACAGCCTCAAGTTCCAAACGGCACACTGGTGTTTAGTGCGCCACTTTATAGTATGTGTGTTGGCATTATCAGCTACTAGCCCATAGTTACCTTGCATCTATTTAGGACCAAACCTTGTGTACAGTGTGGTACAACGGCCGGATTCAGCGGATGCAACGATCCGACACATTACAGACTGGATATTAGAAAACTATAGAAATCAATCTGGCATCATTTACTGTCTAAGCAAGAAGGACACCGAGGTTGTGGCAAAGAGTATATACAAGGAGAGTAAAGGAAAGATCAGATGCGGTACCTATCATGCGGATATGGATGAGGAAGACAAGGAGATGATCCATCAAAACTGGAGAGCGGGGTCCATCCAGGTGATTATAGCTACCATTGCATTTGGTATGGGTATCAATCATCTGGAGACAAGGTTCATCATCCACCACTGCATGTCCAAGTCAATGGAAGGCTACTACCAGGAAAGCGGAAGAGCTGGACGTGATGGTGAAACTGCACAATGTATAATCTATTATCGTGGTACAGATGGTAATATAAAAGTATAAATATGAAAACAACAGAGACGTTTCACTCACACTGTGTAGCTATGCGATTGTCCTCACTGTTAGTGGGCGAAGTCAGTGGATTGCATGGATGTAAGTGTTGCAGCTGCTGTCGAGTCTATGTCTACTCATGAATGTGCAGTGTATGAAATGGTAAAGTATGCTCAAAACTACAAGACGTGTCGCAAAGTGTTGTTTGAAAAGTACTTTGCATTGGATTCTTCTGTGAGCTCGGAAGATGCGTTGGTAAACAAAATTACACCTGATCAGCCTTGTGGCATTTGCGATAATTGTACACGCCCCGAAGGACAAATTGTAGTAGAGGACATTCGTTCAACTGCTGAAACTATCATTCGCCTGTGTACCGTTTTACAACAACATAACGAAAGGGTGACAATGCCTAAATTAGTGCAAATGTTGTTGGGCAGAGGACTAGGTATTGTGAAAACTCGCGTCATGAATGACAAGAGCATCCAGGTGCCAATTCGCAAATACAGCGAATACGTATGTTGCATGTTGTGTGTAGAGAGAATCTGTTTCTCACTGCTCTCTATTTGCAGGATATTGAACGTATCCTGAATCATTTGATTGCAGAGAACTATCTCAACCAAGATTTCTTACTCACAGCGTATTCCAGCATCTCGTAAGATGGGTGTGCATTTGTAGTTGGTACCTTTATTGATCTGCAATTTAGGTATATTATCGTGGGTCCATTGGCTAATGATCTGATTGCAGACCCCAATATGGCGCTTCGCTTCAGCTTCCTCCAGACTGAAATGCAGTTACCAAAGAAGCGTAAAATGAAGGGCACTGTAGCCACAACAGCAGAGGTGATTGATTTAAGTGATTAAATAAAGAAACCTATTGTCTTGACTATTTGTGAAACACATGTACAGAAAAAGTGTATTTCCCCAACAGTTTTTTTTTTTTTTTAACCTGGGAGTCAGCAGGTGGATGTGAGTGAATGTCATATAAATAAATACAGCGAGAAAAAAGGGGGCAACCAACAACAACAATAAATAGGAAGGCTGATCATTTCCGAACACTATACCTTTTTTCTTCTCATTTCCTTCTTTTTCATATTCTCTGCTATGCTTGCCTCTGATTTAAATAAAAGCAAATTGCGACCTAGACTCAAGGTTGTTTCTACCAAATACTCTCAATCAACACCTACCACAACACATGTATACCAAGAGGACAGCGATCCACCCTATTCTCCTGCCGATTCATCTAGCTCTTTCATGTCGTCCGTCTCTGGTATTGCTGAGAAATCAGCCTCAGAATTGGGCTCGTTACTCAAAAATGCATATAAATCGCTTAGAGAGAAGGAGAAAAGTGAGTGCTACATCAACAAGAAATTGCATTAAAAATGGTTTACTCATTAAAACGCATTACATACAGATTTGTTGTTGGCTGCAGAAATAGGGAAATCGCTGCTAGAACATAATCAGAATCTGAAATCTGACTACGACAAACTACTACAAAACGCAAAAAATTGTCAATTCGATACTCGACATGAGCATCAAGAATACGAAAACAACATGCGACTTATTTCAAGCAAAAAAGCATATGATGCCATCATTGAGTCGCTGGAACGCAAGAATCAAGACCTTGAACATATGCTAGAACACACACAGCAGCATTTTGAATTAACCAATCAAACCAACTTACAAAAGCAACGGAAACTAGAAGCAGAAATTGAAACTTTGAAGGACAATTTGGACTTGGCCGCACAAAAGGTACAAGACTTGGAAGAGAGTAGACTATTCCAACAAGAAAGAGCCAGACAATTAGACGAAAAAAGAGATTATGAACAGCAACAGAACGAAGATTTAGAATTGCTGGAAGAACTCACCATCAAGATGGAGGAGCTATTCATTGAAAACAAGCATTTACAGCTATCCAAAAAAGCCGTTGAGGAAAAGTTGATTATATCACTAAGAGATTTGGATTCCCTTCGTCGTGATTTCGAGAACTTTGAACTGACAAATCAGTGCTACGAACAACTGCAGGAAGCATTCGAAAGACAGACCATTCACATCAGGGAACTGAACGACAGTCTGGAAGATCATCGACTTGTCTTGTCATCACTACGAGACAAAGGGTTATGGTCACCGCAACAATCAAATACACCAAGCGTATCAGGCCATCATTCTGTGTTCTCAACATGTGTTTCAAAACAGAGTCTCATGGGCGAATTGGAAAACGCTTGGTCCAAGCATTGCTTGACGAAAAGTAAATCCGATAGCAATCTGTCCACGTTGTCAGGCAAATTATTCGATCTCGCTAGTATAACAGAACGTAACCTTACCTCATTTTATACCGCTCCTGCCGACTATGCTCTAGGAACAATCCTTTCGACTATGGGTGTTGATGATCGCAGTATGTTGGATGAAGCAGAACATTTTTTAGCAGCCTCTGCAACGAGCACAGATGACTTGTTTGGACCTGAAGGCACAGTTAATCTGTACAAGGAAGTTGATTTATACCCCAATTACCACTCATTACCATCATTGACAACCACCTCCACCAAATTACAATATGAAGATCAACCCAAGAAGGGTCTTATTAACCACATCCTGTTTCAAATCCGCTATGTATTTCGCTCAATATTCCGTTGGTGTCGCTTTGCCATCATTCTGACCACTGCTATTTTTATCAACTTATGGAAAGGACCTGACTTACTTTTGGATAAGCAATACTGCTAAGACCCCCATACCTTCATTTTTGCACATGTACAATAGAGAATAACGTTACCCCAAATTTCTTTCCTTAGTATTTCCTGTATCAGCCAGACTTTATGTTCACACGATGAACGACTAATGTATTTATATGCATCTACATTTTTACTCCCTTCTTTTCAATCAGTCATTCCCCACTCACTCATTCACTCTCATACACTGTAATTTATATGACAAATCCTGAATAAAACTAAAATACTTAATGCTATCCAGTGCTTGTTAAAAGATGTGGATTCATGCGACCAGTAAATTGTAGGGGTAAAATGCCTGATATCGTGTAACATCCAAAGCAAGTAGAGATGATGATATGTTACTACAATAAAGAAGATATGGTAGATTAATGCGCTAATAAGAGTACTTGAAAAGCGCGCTCTACGTTATGTAAAAATAGTATGCGCATGATAATCAAGTGGCTGGTGTATGCCATTGTGTAAGATAGGCATTATTTGTTATACAAGACTCGCTATGTATGAAGACATGCATAGCAAAGTATACATGTTATATTTCTCATACATGCAAAATTATTTCTCCTTTGACGTGGTTTGCAGATACATACGTACATACTCCAATAACAGATGGTCAGTGCTGATTGCAATTTACGCCATTCCATTTTGAAGAGTTTTCCTTGTCTATTTTTAAATATCTTTTTTAATAATTGCTTCATCATGACATTGTCTACATTTGTAAATGTTGGTCCATGCTCGTCTAAAAGAAAAAAAAAAGCTATATTGGCTACAGCGTTTAGGTCATGCATGATGTATATACACATTGATGAAAAAACACAATAAACAATCCACAAGAAAGCAGTGTCATGCAAATTCTCGTTCTATTACACTTGAAAAGTAAGAAAAAAAGTGTTTAACATGTACTTGATACGACGCATTTATAAATTGCACCAGTGTACATGTTAATAAAGACCTATAATACTCATACGTAGCCCGCTGCTGAACAGTATCTCTGTATTGTTGAGGGGCGCATTGCTGCTCATATTAGCCATAAAAGAGTATATCTCCATGCCTCGAGATGATGCCAAAGCGTCAGCATTCGTTAGCTCCGAGTACAATACTGATGACTACAGATCGTGTCAACAACATATTTTTTTTTAATTGTCCTCCATAACTGATTTCGTAGGAATATCTTATTGTAAGCAATTGGCTCCTCTAAAAGCAAAATATTCGTAAAATTTGTATGGCATTACCTTCAATACAGTAAGATCCGATCATAGCTTTCAAACTTTCAAGTAACAAATCCGAATAACAGCCATAATGCTTACTTTCATTGCACCGTCAGCTATTCTCTTTTAATAAATAGCTGACAAATTTGAATTTGGATTCTTTTTGTAAAAGGAAACGTCTAGTTTGTATCTATCAATAGAAAACAACATGGCATATTACTATTATGTATCGGTACGGCGGTAACGCCAGCTGAAAAGCGAAATAATAGATTCTTGATCACTTCAAAATTTCTTGAGACTAGCAAAAATACTTAAATTTGGTATTTTATTACATTTCATTGCTATGGGGTCTTATCCAATCAGATCGCTTGAAAGCGGTCTACATACACCACAAATCCTGGAAAAAATTTGCGAGGGTTTCCCTCTGCTTTGATGTGAGGCAAAATTTTAAGCTCCGCTATATAGCAATATAGCCGTTACTATCATCAAATTTCCCTCAGGTGCTAGAGCATGCCTTACTTACACCACCTAGCTTTAAGTTCAGGCATTGAGACCCTCAATCATCACTAAAGTAAGTAGCGATAACCAAGTGGAGGCGGCCTATCTACCTCCTAGCCTCGGATAAAGTCTTGTTGAGCTTCAGGGATAGGCACATCCACACAACGTAAAAAAGGTATGCTTCAAAGAAACATAATAATAAAAAAAGAATGAAGAAAAGAACATGCTACAATACTATAGGAGTATAGTAGTATGTAAGCAAAGAAGAGACACTCACACGAAGCGAGTCAAAAAAAAAGCATAACAAGCACAACATCAAAGATGTTCAGAAAAAGCTCGTTGCTGTTGCAAGAAAAATGCATACATGAGCAACGTGCATGGTAGTAATAGTCGGATGTAAAGCAACATGGCACAAATACGCACAACTGCAAAAGCAACAGTGGTATTATAAGTTTGCGATACAACATAATGACTAATAATGTCTCATGTAAAGCTACAGGGGAAACACTACCAACAAAAGAAAAGAAAAGAAAAAGAAAAAAAGCGCAACAAGGCAAACATCATGAATGCATTATCACGAGAAAGGAAGCAATCATATAAGCGTTCAAAGAAGTTTTATATCATTGCAGCCGGAAGAAATAAGATATCTACCACTTACCACAGCCATACATACACCAGAAGAGTATAGGCAATCACTGGAGACAGACCACAGAACGAGCATGCACCAAATACAACAGTAGACCAGAAAAGACAGATTAGCAGCATCAACACCAGCACCATAAAAGAATCAAAGAACGAGCGACACCAGAGAACGAGCATACACCGAATACAGTAGACCAGGAAAAACCAGATTAGCAGCAGCAGCAGCAGCAGCAGCAGCAACAGCAGCAACACCAGCAACACCAGCACAATAGAAAACCGAAGAACGAACGCCATCAGCAGAGACCAGACAATGACCAAAAAAGCAACCACTAGACATGATAAACCAAAGAAGCAGGCAGCAGAGATAAAAAGAGAAGTAATGGCAGCAGCACTCACGTCAAATAGGCAAAAAAAAATTATCGAAACCTAATAAACAAATTTATTTAGTGCTGATTCTACGTTTTCCAGTGCTAGTTATCGAATGGTACCTACTATATTCCTCTTTAAAGAAGCAGTATCATGTACTCGTAACAGTGCAAGACCGTGCCATTAAAAGCTAGAGTGTTGTTTTCAATCAAAAGGGTTCCAAAACCAATATGGTTTGATACTAAACGCGTTTTGCAAAAAGGATAAAAAACGGAGGTATAGAATACTGAGAGGACGCCGTATCCGACGTCACGACCAGTAGATTCGGCCTCAGTCTTCTGCCGTGGTGGCAGCCGTAAATGCTGCACTTTAATTTGAAATTGTGCAGTGGGTATTTCCGTGTTCAGATTTGACTTAATTTCAGATTCTCTAAACGTTTTTCCTAAATTTGACTATGAAAATTGTCGTTGTTATACTTTATTTTCTAATGCATCTATAAAGAGTCAATAAAGGCGCATCGATTGATGCTGGTTATATTCAGCTTTCACTCCGAAAATTATGAGCAATTTGCAAAAATATGGAAACAACATTTTTGTGAATATGTCAACATTTAGCATATAAAAGTTTCAAAACAGCAGTTTCCAATGTTGCATATCATCATTATAATGAATTTGATCTAGTATGTATCATAAAAAAAGTCTTCATTTTTGGGATGAAAAACGCGATCGTTTGATTTTCAAAAATTTTCCCTTACTAATACTCATCCAAAAATGAGGATTTTGATAAATTTGCAATGACCTGACAAAAATTGAGATAAAGCATCAGTAAACAAAGCATAATCAAGAGGAGTCGTTTGGTGCTATTTCAAGCGCTCAAGACGCTTTGTGGCATGAGTTATTTGTGTTTGAAAATAGTTAGATTTAGACAGAATTTGACCTATAAATAAGGCGCTGTAGGTTGTACTGCCAAACAAGTCAATAAATAGCATCAGTACTTGATGGTTTAGATATTCAGCATTGTACGAAGCTTAAGCCTTAGGTGATAAATGCTTTTATTGTAATTCTGAGGCATAAATCTTTCTTTTTGAAATGCGCTATTACAGTAATTTGAAGACTTGAGCGTCAGTGATATTATACAAATTTGGGCCTAACAGCTTATTTGGATTGAATGAGATGCTCGTTAGATCAGCAGAACACTTTTGATGGTCGTCCAAAGCGGAGATACCATATCTAACCGTAAAACTAGACTTAAAGCCTATCCACAATGTTGGGCACTCATAATTATTAACGAGAAATGACTGACAATAGTACCAGACACGTTGAGTGAGTCCCAATACAATATAGGGAACTGTTGCATACAAGCATGCATCTTAGGCTACATTCACTTTCTCCTCAAGCCACCTTTTACAGTGTAGCAGCATAGATGATGTTCATCGTATCACATCACATCTATGTTTACAAGTCCAGTCAATTGTGTGTGCACAGGTGCCTCAGGAACTACAATACATTCAATCTCCCCAATGTCAAGATATCGAGATCCACCTACACTACATGAAACATATCGACTTAGGTGGCCTCTCAACAAGCTATACCAACAATCCATAAGGCCCCAGTGGCCTGCTATTTATATACCATCTCAACGTAGTAGTCATTGACCAGGGATCTACCATATTTAAGCAAGCTAGATGCCCTGTAATAAAGAAGCTTTTTGCTTTCGTTTTAGATACAGTTGACACCTGATTATTATCATCGACTTATTATTACGAATTCATCAGGAACAAACTGTAATGAAATAGCCACCTAAAAACGACCTCATTAAAAGCCGGAATTCAACAAATATCACTTATTCAAACTCATGCTATTTGAATTTATTAACAGGTAGAGATTAGGTCAGCCCAAATGGGCCGAGTAGAAATATATACTTTTATGCTTGTTCGCATATTTTTTCCATACTTCTATATGACATTCATAAACTATAAGAGCCAAGCAATTATTTTATACCTTTTTTGAGATTATTTTTTTGAGCAATACCATTGTTTACATTCAATTCAATATTAACAAAAATTTTAAATTTCAAATTATATATTATGCCTCCAGCCAACACCAATCTCGATGTTAACGTACTTGTTTCTGTCAACAAACGTTTTATCAACAGGGCAGACGTAAAAACTGTTTTTCAAGCAAAGCATGACTGGAACACACCTGGATTGTGCTTTAAAGGGAAAACCGTTGGCCGTTCAACAGTCAATGAAAAGGTCAAGTACCATGTTATTTTGGATGAAGCACCTGGTATCACATTGTCCCTTTCCCGCGGTTGCCTCAAATACATTCGACGACTTGAGTCTAGCACTTCCAGCAGCGCCAGCACTCAAAGCATCCCTGATAGGCAAAAACCGAGGATATGCTATCGAAGGGGACAACGAATAGGAAGAAGAAATTGATTTGACTTCTGGCGGGTGGACCGAAGGTCAAGTATATGTCGACAGCCGTTTACGACAATCTGGCTCTGACTTTTGCTCCAAGTCCACACTAAGCATGAACTATGCATCAGTTTCTTCCCCTTTGGACTATTCCTTGTTCTTCTTGCCTTTATATCACTTTCATTTGATCATAGGAAACACTAATGTTCATGCAAGAAATATGCTTGATTCTTGGACCTATATCACTTTTGCCGAGTACTTGATGTGGATTGCTCTGTTGACCGTTATGACAGTGGTCAAGCATGGTGACCGCAAAACTTACTGGAAGCAAGGATCTAGTCACTTTACGATGACAATAGATTTCAGCGAATATATGCCATTCAAAAGATTCAACGATATCATGAGAATGCATGTTTTTGAAGTTCCCGGCAAAGAAAACCAGCTAATCGACCCCACTTTATCAAATCCGATCTACGATTAGCGCTTTTAACTGCCATATGCCCATGTGCATCTCACCAGGGAAATATTTGGTGATAGATGAATCAATGAATTAATGGCTTGGTATAGGTATGCCAAATATAAAGAAGGTCCCTCGCAAGCCTCATCCTATCGGCCAAGAATTCAAAACGCTGGCTGATTGCCATACGAGCTGCATCCTCAGAATGGACACAGTCAGCGACCCAGTATCTGAGTTTGGCAATGAGCCTGGCATGAAGAAGTTGACCGCCACCGTTAAGCGTTTGGTGCAACCCTGGTTTGGTAGTGGAAGAACGGTAATTGCTGACTTTTGGTTTGGGTCTCCAGATATGGTCAAAATGCTTTTCAAACTTGGCTTGTTCTTTATCATGCAAGTGTGCAAGCGCCGCTACTGGCCTCGTGGAATGCCTCAAACAGACATTGTGGAAAAGGTTGAAGAAGCCTATGGTAGCTGCTACACCATGAGCAAATGTCTAGGTAATGGCAGTAGTCTATTCACTTGTGACTATCGCGATCAAAAAGTCAAAGCCTTTGTCTCATCATGTAGCACAACAATACTTACTGGCAAGAAGGTGCTCGAAGGAACTCACGTTAGAATAATTACTATTCAAAGGCCCGAGGTTGCAGAGGAATACGAGACACACAAAAGTAAGTAGATAGTAGCAGTATATAGTGGCATGCAAATTTACATTTTAATTTTAGGCTCTGTCGATGCTGCAAATAATTTGAGAGATAATATGGCCTCGTATCACGATATCATCTCAACTGAGAGGTGGAAAATGCGCTTTTTTGGATTTTTCTTGGGAATATGCGAAGCAAATGCCTTTAGTTCATTTCGGGTCTTTGCCAATGATGGAAAAAAGGGCATATCACATGCTTCTTTCAAGGATATATTGGCATGGAATGTAATGAAATAGCCACCCAAACGCAACTTAATTGAAAACCAAAGTTCATCAAATAGCACTCATTCAAATTCATGCTGTTTGGATCTATTAATGAAAGCGCTCAAATGTACATCAAAAAACCATTCAAAAATACTAAAGTAAAGATGCATGCTTATATCGCACATCGTGTGAATGAATCACTCCTGATCACAGTGTATTCAATCACACCCATGATGGTCGCAATAAGTGATGGTATCTTTATCCAAATAGAATCAAATCAATAACAAGCATATTCACATATGACAATTATGCCCTGCTGCCATAGTTGCACAATATCCCAGATAAAGGATTCCATACTTCAATAACAAACATCACACTTTAAGCCATCAAGGTTACATTAAATCATGCTATGACGATAGCTCACCCAAGCCCATCAAGGTTACTCAAATCGACCCTTATGGCCAGTGCTCCTGCATTGATTACCACTTTAAATCAAACATCAACAACATTTGCCAGATATCGCAATAGCAGCACCTATTGCTCTCTATCATCACTAATCCTACAAGCTAGATGCAAATGTATAAATAATCTTTTTTTTTACTCAATTCCAGGATCTTCAGTTCATTTTATACACAAAATAAAATACAGTTGATTTCTATTGTATTTTACTATTGCTTTATTTTTTTTTGTGAAATCTATTTAAACCTGATTTCACTGCATGGAATATGCTGAAGCACTGCCAAAAGCTGGCTAATATCAACGCCGAAGAAGCAGAAGAAAGTCGAAGACCACTCAGAAGATGCATGACTCATACGCTTGTGTCAATGAGTCGAAATAATGGAAGCAAGCGTGTTCGATTATCTTGTAAGACTTGCCACATGTCAGGTAACAGTAGCACCAGAGTCGAGAAATCGTGCAGCTGCAACCCCGACACACCAATTTCTGAGGCTTGCCATAAACAACATTTGCATGATATTTGGAAGCTCCAAGCACAACTAAATAATTCTTTATAGTTGTTGAAATGCTTTAACTTTTTTTAATTGAGTTTTTTAAAGTTGTACACAAGTTATTGTTGGTAAAAGAATCGGCCCATTTGGGCCGATTGGTTTTTACTCAAAACTTCCCTCAGTAAAATGATGACAGTAAAGTCAGTTTTTGACTTTTTTCAAGAAAACCAAAACGTACTGTATGCAGAAAGGTTTAAAGCTTATCTAGTTAAATTTAATTTTTACTGAGAGCAATATTCATAGATGAAGCAGTTTTTATCGAATCGGCCCAAATGGGCCGATTGGGGTAATTTGTACTTGTTAATAGATTCAAATAGCATAAGTTCGAATAAGTGATATTTGTTGAATTCCGGCTTTCAATGAGGTCGTTTTTAGGTGGCTATTTCATTACAGTTTGTTCCCTATATTGTATTGGGACTCACTCAACGTGTCTGGTACTATTGTCAGTCATTTCTCGTTAATAATTATGAGTGCCCAACATTGTGGATAGGCTTTAAGTCTAGTTTTACGGTTAGATATGGTATCTCCGCTTTGGACGACCATCAAAAGTGTTCTGCTGATCTAACGAGCATCTCATTCAATCCAAATAAGCTGTTAGGCCCAAATTTGTATAATATCACTGACGCTCAAGTCTTCAAATTACTGTAATAGCGCATTTCAAAAAGAAAGATTTATGCCTCAGAATTACAATAAAAGCATTTATCACCTAAGGCTTAAGCTTCGTACAATGCTGAATATCTAAACCATCAAGTACTGATGCTATTTATTGACTTGTTTGGCAGTACAACCTACAGCGCCTTATTTATAGGTCAAATTCTGTCTAAATCTAACTATTTTCAAACACAAATAACTCATGCCACAAAGCGTCTTGAGCGCTTGAAATAGCACCAAACGACTCCTCTTGATTATGCTTTGTTTACTGATGCTTTATCTCAATTTTTGTCAGGTCATTGCAAATTTATCAAAATCCTCATTTTTGGATGAGTATTAGTAAGGGAAAATTTTTGAAAATCAAACGATCGCGTTTTTCATCCCAAAAATGAAGACTTTTTTTATGATACATACTAGATCAAATTCATTATAATGATGATATGCAACATTGGAAACTGCTGTTTTGAAACTTTTATATGCTAAATGTTGACATATTCACAAAAATGTTGTTTCCATATTTTTGCAAATTGCTCATAATTTTCGGAGTGAAAGCTGAATATAACCAGCATCAATCGATGCGCCTTTATTGACTCTTTATAGATGCATTAGAAAATAAAGTATAACAACGACAATTTTCATAGTCAAATTTAGGAAAAACGTTTAGAGAATCTGAAATTAAGTCAAATCTGAACACGGAAATACCCACTGCACAATTTCAAATTAAAGTGCAGCATTTACGGCTGCCACCACGGCAGAAGACTGAGGCCGAATCTACTGGTCGTGACGTCGGATACGGCGTCCTCTCAGTATTCTATACCTCCGTTTTTTATCCTTTTTGCAAAACGCGTTTAGTATCAAACCATATTGGTTTTGGAACCCTTTTGATTGAAAACAACACTCTAGCTTTTAATGGCACGGTCTTGCACTGTTACGAGTACATGATACTGCTTCTTTAAAGAGGAATATAGTAGGTACCATTCGATAACTAGCACTGGAAAACGTAGAATCAGCACTAAATAAATTTGTTTATTAGGTTTCGATAATTTTTTTTTGCCTATTTGACGTGAGTGCTGCTGCCATTACTTCTCTTTTTATCTCTGCTGCCTGCTTCTTTGGTTTATCATGTCTAGTGGTTGCTTTTTTGGTCATTGTCTGGTCTCTGCTGATGGCGTTCGTTCTTCGGTTTTCTATTGTGCTGGTGTTGCTGGTGTTGCTGCTGTTGCTGCTGCTGCTGCTGCTGCTGCTGCTAATCTGGTTTTTCCTGGTCTACTGTATTCGGTGTATGCTCGTTCTCTGGTGTCGCTCGTTCTTTGATTCTTTTATGGTGCTGGTGTTGATGCTGCTAATCTGTCTTTTCTGGTCTACTGTTGTATTTGGTGCATGCTCGTTCTGTGGTCTGTCTCCAGTGATTGCCTATACTCTTCTGGTGTATGTATGGCTGTGGTAAGTGGTAGATATCTTATTTCTTCCGGCTGCAATGATATAAAACTTCTTTGAACGCTTATATGATTGCTTCCTTTCTCGTGATAATGCATTCATGATGTTTGCCTTGTTGCGCTTTTTTTCTTTTTCTTTTCTTTTCTTTTGTTGGTAGTGTTTCCCCTGTAGCTTTACATGAGACATTATTAGTCATTATGTTGTATCGCAAACTTATAATACCACTGTTGCTTTTGCAGTTGTGCGTATTTGTGCCATGTTGCTTTACATCCGACTATTACTACCATGCACGTTGCTCATGTATGCATTTTTCTTGCAACAGCAACGAGCTTTTTCTGAACATCTTTGATGTTGTGCTTGTTATGCTTTTTTTTTGACTCGCTTCGTGTGAGTGTCTCTTCTTTGCTTACATACTACTATACTCCTATAGTATTGTAGCATGTTCTTTTCTTCATTCTTTTTTTATTATTATGTTTCTTTGAAGCATACCTTTTTTACGTTGTGTGGATGTGCCTATCCCTGAAGCTCAACAAGACTTTATCCGAGGCTAGGAGGTAGATAGGCCGCCTCCACTTGGTTATCGCTACTTACTTTAGTGATGATTGAGGGTCTCAATGCCTGAACTTAAAGCTAGGTGGTGTAAGTAAGGCATGCTCTAGCACCTGAGGGAAATTTGATGATAGTAACGGCTATATTGCTATATAGCGGAGCTTAAAATTTTGCCTCACATCAAAGCAGAGGGAAACCCTCGCAAATTTTTTCCAGGATTTGTGGTGTATGTAGACCGCTTTCAAGCGATCTGATTGGCTCAGAGGTCGTAACAGCGTAGGTCTGTAACTAGTTGATTCTCTGTTAATCTGCCATCTAATATAATTTTGTTTTTGTAATAATAAAAGCGTAACCAAGTGGATACAATCTTAAACCTTCCTTGTTCAAAAGTAATATAAGGTGTAATCATTTGATTTATCATTCACCACACAGTTTAATGTGAAGGATATTTATTGGATTTATAAACTGGAGAAAGTTATATTTTAATAATAGGCACAGCAATACATTAAATCCAGGTCCTCCTAATACTAAATGCTCCGTCAAATATGTGTCCTTTATCATTGATTTCCAACATGTTTGGTTGTCATTGATTGCTGTTTCTACCTCCTGATATCAAAGATTCTGGATGTACAAGTATTTTCCGTTTGGAGGCTTTGGCCATCCAAAATCAAACTTTGAAATATTAATGTTACAGCTCTGAAAGTAGCTTGTTTTTTTAGCAAAGTTTTGCGCTGAAGAAAACAATAGTGTGGTTGAATTTTAGATTCGATGGTGGGTTGTTGTTCAGAAACGGATGGTTTTCGAAACAAGACAATTTTGAGCAAAGAGATATGTATAAACCCTATTGAAAGCTGTTAATTACAAGTGGTTACGAGTCATAGATGGATAGACTAGTTGCCGGTGAACGTTGTATTAAAACCATATGGAGATATCTTGCTTTGGTGTGGTTTGGCAAAGGTTTGAAGTTGTTGTCTTGCTCAATGCAGGCAATTTGAGTAATGAGTTTCATGTAATAGGAACCTGTGTATTATGAGCAATTACGCGCGATAAAATTCGGCGCCTGTTGCACTCTTTTCATGTCTACACCAGTTAAAGTAACGTAACTCAACCGTTCTCGGATTAGGATATCTTTTTTTTTTTTTTGTAGCAAGATATATTACGTACTTTAATAATCGTGTATGTGTTAAGCAAGATCAAGTATCGCGCTTTGTCTGATTACCCTCTGAGATGTTTCTATTATAATTGTCTGATTGATTTAAATATAGCAGCAATTTAGTATAAACAGCTGTGCTTGACTCAATTGATAGAGTCTTTAGTTTGTGTATTATATCGTTCACTTTTTCGTTAAAGTCTTTACCTTAGTTCACTGCTCTGTAGGTTTATATTTCTTTGCCTCCAAAACTCACGTTTTCTTGACATATCAGTTTATTCATAAAACAGCGCTTTATGCGATAGAGCTATTGCATTTCTTTACTAGCAGTGGGAGTGATGATAACGCTTTCATTTAACGCTTCTGCAATGATCTCACTATACCAAGAGGCATAAACCTTTCGATGATGATGGGCCAATCGTTGTATTTTCAGGGAAATCGATTGCAAATGACCTCGAACATGATCCAAGCCATTACTGGATAAAACTGCATCCGTTACAAATTTGTTGCTTTGTATAGTGCTCTTGATCACCATAGCTACACGCCGTGAGAGCAGAGAATATACCGTATCGTTATGATTGACTGTCTTATCCACCATGGTTCTTACCATCTCTCTTCGTTCGGGTCGTACATTCACCGAGCGCTCTATTTCTGATGCCAGATTGTCGATAGAAGTTGAGTCATCTTCCAACATGGTAAATAGTTTCACGACTAAATCAGATAATGTTTGAGGACTTGCAGAGCCAAAATTTCGGGCCAGCATGATTAGAGCAGCCACCATAGTTGTCGCTTGTACTTCATTTTGGAATTCGGCCATGCGTTTAGCGTCCAAAGCTAAGGTCTCAGGAACTTGGTCCAGTTGAGTGATGGGTTGGGTCTGACAAAGCAAAGATACAAATGCATCTTCAAAAATAGCATCATGTGAGGGCTTGTTGTTCTTTTGAGGTTGAACTCCTTCGGGATTTCGTTGAGCAGCCACTTGACATAACTTATCTGCTGATTGAGTAAGCCAGGCTTTTGTTCGTACAAGTTGGATAGTGCCGTCATTCAACATGGATGCAAACTTGTTTCTTTCATATTCCACTGCCATGGACATAAGGTGTGGCCGCAACGATCTCAATCTAAAGTTGGCGAGATCCAGACTCATATTCTCCAAAATTGAAATCACTTGTTTGATCTGTTCCATCAAGCTGTCATTGGAGGTGCGAACCTTTTGGATCTCTTCATCACGCACTGGAGCACACATGCTCGCCATTGTATCCAAAACGTAGTGGACCATAGATTGCATGTTGAATGAGTTTTGTTTCATTTGCTGTTCAATGATCGTCAAATCAATGGCATCATTAATGCTATTGTACATGGAAGTACCAGAGCGCACCAATGACAACAAGCGCTAATAGTTGAACAGTCAGTTTGATTCATCATATTCAGTAATGCACATTAATAGCTTACGCTCTTGACATCCTTGATCAAAGCAGGCAATGATGTGTGAGCTGTACCTTGTTCAATGTCGTCAGCTATCTTGTCAAAAAATGCCTTTTCAGCCATCATGCGAACACGCTTTTCCAAGTCATTGCTGGGCGCGTATCTCTTTAATTTGAACTCGGGATCCATGATCAATTCATGCGCCAATTGCTCATTCGTCAAGCCAGAGGAGGGTACATAACCATTCAAAAGTTGGCCCAACTGCTCCGGGTTAGCATTGCTGTTGTTGGCATTCTGTTGAGATTCGTACTCGACATCCATTTCTGGCGAGCGAGGAGTGTTCTTTTGCTGTTGTTGTCTTCGTCCGGTTGATGTCGATGAGGCTGTAGCTTCCAATGCTCTTTGCAATCTCTCCATGGCGTCAGGTCCACCCAGTTTTTGAAGCTTGGTCTTGATTTGATCCAATTGCTGTTTTAATTGCTCTCCAACTGATTCGTCTCCATTTTGTTGCGCAATGACAGTTTGTCTCAACGTTGAAAGCTCCACATAGTAGTTGGTCATGTTCCTGACGAGCTGATCACAATCTCTGGATTTCCAAGTTTCAAACAATAGATTGTAATCATTCCAAGCATCCACAAAGGCAAGACGAGCAGCCGTGGCTCCAGGGCGGCCATGAGCACGAAGCCAGATCTCAAAAAGCTGTAGCATGTTCTTGGCTGCAGCATGCAGTCTCTATCATAGTAGCTGTTTAGTCGTATTGAATCCAATGAGTCTTTCATGCTAAAAGTTTACCTTCTCCTCGGCGCCATTCACATCCTGCAATACCTCCTTGGGACACATGAGGGTCATGTATGAGGTCAAAAGAACACGGGCACGATGTCTGCTTTCCTCATCAGTCAACTTGAGAGCTGTATTCAGAACTTTTGTAGTGACGACAATGACTTTGGCTTGATGAAGCAGCTTGCCAAGTGAATTGAATTCAAGCCAAGTATCAGGTTGAGATGGCAATGGCAAACCCAGATCTCGGAATGCTCTCAGAATGATGGACCATGATGAGGGCTTCTTCTTGGGAGCTTGCAATGCTGGCGATAATGGAGGTGATTTGATAGTAGAAGTGCTTGGCATGGTTGATTTTACTGCGGGCAAAGGTGATTCAATAGTTGTAATAATTGTAGTAGCAGAAGAAGAAGAAGGAGGAAGAGGTTTCTTTTGCTTTTTTTGCGCTTTATATTTGCTTAAATGGGCCAATCGTCTTGCCTCTGTCTTCTGCAATCGGCTTTCGAGTTCAGCCTTACGTCTCTCTACATGGTGATAAATGACAAATTAAATTCTTTCATTTTCTACGTCTTTCTTTCAAATGTCTACCTTGTTCCTGTTCTGATCTAAGCTGATTCTGGTGAGCAATGCATTTGGCCCTTTCAACCGTCTTTTTCGAATTGGCTCTTCGCTGTTCAATGTAGAAATTTCGATTGGTCTCAGCAGCTTGCATTGATTTGGACAATAGATTGATCTTGTCTTGCTGACGATCCTTGACTTCTTTAGCAATGCGCTTTACCTTCAGAAAGTTCTGGTTCAATCTGTGTCTTCGCTCTTCCAAGATAGCCTCCCTCTTGATTTCGACTTGATTCTTTTTGCTGTTGTGGTTACTGGAAGCACCATGGGAGATGTTTACATCCCGCATGAAGCGTTTCTCCAAATGATAGGGTTTTTTGGATGACTGATGAAGTGGGACAGCATCGACAGTATAGAAGCCATTCCTCTTTTCAGTAGAAGTCTTGTCCATTTTGAGATGCGAGGATGATTGAAAAAAAAAAAAAAAAAAAAAAAAAAAAAAAAAAAGAGAAAGAAGAGATGTATAAGACCTTTGTAAGCAAAGGGAAGTGAAAAAAGACATTTCATTTATTGAACGAGCGAGATTTCAAAGACTGAAAACCCTGTGACTCCACACGTGTGTCAGTGCATGTCTGTATGTGTCTCTTCTCTTATCTAAACCTCCTTTCTTTTTTACATTGCGTCTTCCGTGTGATATAAAAATAGATCATGTCGCATAATAGCAATGGCAATAGCAAGAACATCTTGCTGGTAGGGCAGATTTACCAAGATACCATACTCCATGTTGCCAAATTTCCAGAGGAAGATACGAAACTTCGAGCAAGCAATGCTGAACAAAGAACAGGAGGCAATACATGCAACACAGCAAAAGTACTGGCTCAGTTTGATGATATCAATGTGTGTTACATGTCTGCTGCCGGATCCCGTGAAACATCCAGGTAAACGACCTATGGAACATCAGCATCATCGCCCATTTACAGCAAATATATAGTCATATTATGGAATCACTGCAAGACCAAGGCATTGCAACCAATGATACCACGCTCTACAGGGATGACAAAATGCTGCCATCATCCATCATTATTCACAACCAAGAATCAGGTTCAAGAACTATCATCTCCAACAATGAGTAACTGAAGGAACATGATAAATTGTTTGTTTATATTAATTTCTATTTACAGTCTAACAGATCTAACCTATGAAGAATTTGTGCAAGTGTTTACTGGAATCAACAACAACAACCAGTGGTGGGTTCACTTTGAAGGTCGCAATATCGGTCAAACCATCCAGCAGATTGACTGGCTCAACAACAAAGCATTGGAGGAACATTGGAGGCATGATTTGACAATCTCAGTCGAGGTGGAGAAGCCCGAGCGAGAGAATATTGATTTATTGATTGAACGGGTACGAAATGCATAATGACATGCAGTAGCAGCAGCAGCAGCAGTTGGTCGCTTACATGTTGCCTCAACTAGGGAGATGTCGTCTTTTTTTCTAAAATATACGCTCAGCATCATGAATTCACCGAAGCGCATTCATTCTTGACTGAATCACCGTTACTGCAGCAAAAGTTGAAGCCGAGGTAAATTTCGGTAAAACAAGCAAAAACATGTTCTCATTTCATCACTCCATCAGTGCAATCGCATTTTGTACAGACGGCTCCAAAGGCGCCTCTGCACTTGATAACAAAACAAAACACACATATCAAGCGACACCACCCACTATTGAAAAAGTGATAGATACTGTAGGTGCAGGAGACACTTTCAATGCTGGCATTATTCTGCACCTATCGCGGCACACGCCTTGGAAGATGGCAGATGCCTTGGAGTTTGCTTGCAACTTGGCAACAAGAAAAGTAGCACAACAAGGATTTGATCGTTTAGCAGCCATCTGACCGTGTCCTGAATCACTTGATCGTTGCGAATAAAATGCACCAGATAATGTATTAGTTTTATGATCAGTACATGTGTTATCACATTAGACAGCTAATCAGTGTCAACAAGAGCAATCGTTTGTTGACCACTCTGATTGAGAAAATATCCCCAAATCTTGTATAATTTATGGTTGTATTTCAGGAACAGAAAGGCAGTAATCTTGATCTCTTGATGATCTGGCTAATGAGAATCACGCGCGAATAACCTGGCAAGTGTGATGCATGGACCAGAACACCAACATTCATTAGAGCTTAGCAGAGATTGAACGAATGTAACCAGCGTTACAGCTATGCTAGATATTTGATGTATTTAAACCTTGACGCGTCAATCATGGCGTCTCTTAAGCTGATCTAACCTATGATTTTAATTAAAAAAAAAACAAAGATATCGCGGCTGAATTGCTTAGCAATGTACGAATACACATGAATCCTCTATTAGGAAGCTTAATTCGAGGCAATTTCCAATGCTGTTAATCCTAATTCAGACGAGTACATAGCTGCCACACGCATGAAAATGCGAAAATTGAATATGCCTTACAATCGCTGATTTTTAAGCTAATCGATATATTCAGACATATACCAAGATGTTTGGTTGTCCATGCAAATATACATTCAATCAATTAAACAAAACTACATGTACTTTAGAATGCAAATCATTTCCAGTTTCGTTGATAGCTGCATAAATCGCAAATTCAATACGGAAAGCAGATAAGGAAAGTATTAGATAACACAAAAAGTTTATTCGAAAAAGCTTATCTATATTTGAGACCATAAACAGTAAAAAACAAAGGTTATCTATGTACACGTTATTTGATTTTTATCACTATCAATGTGCTACATACAGGCTCGTACGCACATGGTTTATAGCTGCGAGGAGGAGGAAGCAGTGGCAGGTGTACTTGTGGTAGCAGGATATCTTGATAAATAAGCAGCGGATGAACAAGTTGACGGAGGAGGAGACAATGAAGAACTGTCCTGGTGAGAAGACGAGGAACGCATGGATAATGATGGAGATGGTGGCGTGGACCTTGCTGTTGTGGTAGTGTTCGTGTCTGTTTTTGAATAGAGAGAGGGTATAGCTTCAAATAACGATGGAATGGTTTTGCTGGATGAGGATGTGGGTACTTTGCATGTGCTTTTATAATCAGCATTTGCAGCAATTCCAAGCATCATTAAAGATGTTAACAGGTTCTTTTCAGAGCTACTGCTACTGCTACTGCTACTGCTGCTGCTGCTGCTACTGCTACTACTGCTGCTTGTGGTAGCATCACTGGTGCTTTGTTTCTGAAGATTCATGATAGCCATCACCGATTCCACAGTCTTCAGTATCTCTGTTGTTTGCAAAAGTAAATGCGTGATATGCTCAAGCTCCTTCTCGAGCTTTTCTTTACGAGCTTCCAGATTTTGTTGAAATGAGGCTGGCTCCAGTATTAAATTAGATAATATAGAGGCAACGGAAGGTATAGAAGCTAAGGATTCTGCATCATTCACCCTGGATGATGTGCTTGTTCCAAGGCTGATCAAGGATCGGATTGTGTTGAGAATGATATGCTCGTTGTTTGCGTTTATATCTCTGGTCTTTTTATTGGCAGTATAGTCAATAGTAGTGTGCTCTTCTGGTAGTGAGAGACTACTGCGCTTTCTCTTTGATCCTTGCTGGTACGGGCTATGCTGTTGATGATGTTGATGATAACTATGTGAGTGATGTTGATGCTGATGGTGGGAAAGATGGCTATGCTGCTGCTCTTGTTGCTTTTGTTCTGGTGTAGTTTCTGTGCTAGTGTCGGATAAAGCAGGCGATGATGGAGGCAGATTCTCTATCACGACAAGCTGCTGAGGAAGACTATTGAATCGCTTGCGTCTTTTAATGACATTTCTCTTCATTGTTATTGGTCTTTGCACATTATGCAGTTTATAGTAGAGTCCACAGGCATTGCAAATTGTGTTTCCAGTCTCATCTCTTCTCCATAATGGCGTTGTAGTAGTCTCACAGTTGAAGCATTTGATGACGGGAGGAGTCCAACGAATGCTGCTGCGCTGCCAGCATTGACGACATCCCTGGCAGTTTTCTCTGGAATGATGATGTGATACGGATGGTTGCTGATTTTCCATTGAATGAGTAGCGGCAATAGTGGATAGCATGTAGAATACGTGAATACAACAAGAAAGAAAATAGAATCAAAAGGGAATATGGCAAACTGCATGCTATTTATACGCTGTTCTTTTATCTCGTTATATAGATACGACACTGTTTGTTTTTTTTTTTTTTTTTTTTTTTTTTGCTCATAGAAAAGATAGCCCATTCATTGATAAGATATTGACGATTCAAGGGGTTTATCAATTTCCAGCTACTATGCAGTTTTAAGCTGTAGGTGAGTCCGAACTCTTCCCCACAAAGCAATTTCTGATAAAGGATCGTGTAACAGAGTATCTGTCCATTTGTTTCAACAAAGAGAGCGTGTGATTATTTGAAAATATACTCTTATCTCTCCTCTTTCCATTGTCGTTGTTTGTTTGCAGGGTCCTCTGCTTTCTGCTTGTTGTATGTGGCAGGTGTTTCTGGCAATGCGCTCCATAAGTCTGTATACAGCGCAATGCGTTGGATCACTTTCGCTACGGCAACCCTGCAAACAGCTATTCTCTTTGCATTTGCGTACAACGACTGGCCTATATCATCGTGCGAAAATATTGGCAGTTAGGGTAGGACAATCATATCAAATCGTATAATGTCAGCATGAGGAGGACAGTAAGCTGCAATGTAATTTGTGGTGAATTTCTGCTTGAATCAACCATTGACTTGAAATAAAGCTTTTGCTCGTATTGCACTACTGTCGCTCCTATACTGATGCTGTCATTTCAGTCATGTATGATGAATACAAGCTGTTCCGTATCGGATCCTTGGGGGTTTCAAACAAACAGAGAAATAGAGGCTAGTGCAAGTTCAGGATATAATTGCCTCATAAGGATATTTATATTTTTTTTAGACTTTCTGTTTGATAAGTTACAGCGTCTGGTATCAAGATACATGCGAGTTGGCTCTAATCCAGCTGGCAATCTATGGCACTTTTGGAAAATGATTAGGTGTAGGGGGGTATATCTCACTCACAACAAAGCATACTAGGCAATGGCCGCTACTCACACTATCAACCCCATAATTTATGGCCTGCAATAGCGATCATGAGTAAATACCAACTGCAGGTAGGTTTATACAGAAGTTTGAATTAAAATTCGCATAGATAAGCCTGTCTATGACAAAAGCACTTGCCCAAGGAGCCAGAAAAAGATAGTTGCTAGACAGCATTGCATCATGTGAACATGAGAATGCACTTATCATGGATACACGCTTCATTTTTTTTTTTTGAAAATCATGCGTAATTTGCACTGCAGCAAGTCTATCATTGGCATGGTCAGAAGACACAATTTGTCAGACATTGGATTGTATTGGATTAGCAAAGCGAGCGATAAGGATTAGTACAAAAGCGGCACCGTGCCATCGTGTGTATGTATTAGTTTATTGTCATTAATAGTGAGGCAGTCTATGGGTACGGTGGAGTGATCAAATGACGAGAGTGAAGCTGAGTGTGATAGCAATGATTGCAAATGTAATGTGCAGGAAGGGCAGCGATATCGATACTGCTTCATTGGCACCCTTTGGAAATCTGCCTGAAGAAATCTGGTTGTTGAGGCCTTCAGGCGTCTTTGGATCAGGAACAACTAGAACAGAGTGTTATTGTTTGTTATGATATAGCTCGACTTGAACTTACAAGATGAGGCTCCTATGATTCTCAAGTTGCCTGACTGGCACGAATGAGGCGCTGTACCCAACGTCATGTAGTAGGCATTGGAGGGGACCAGTGTTCTTGGTAATTCAGCCTCGATTTGGCCTAATGCAGTGGATACGTTGGTAGCAATCACAATAGGTGTAGTTACGCCATCTGACTGGACCAAATGGATGCTCGGAAACACAGTTGCATGAGAATTAGCCCTATCCAACATGTTATCTTTGCTTATTATCTAATCAGCCGTTGGCGATAAATTTTACCACATAATCTTTATTTTCTCTCCAGCTGTTACAATCGTATTACCAATGGGGTTGATGACTGTTCGATAGAGTACGTGCTGTCAATGCAAGTGCAATATCAGCTTGGATGTCTTGTACTTACCTGAACAGTCGCCTACAGCATTGTTGACGAGTGCGCTACATACAGTGGCCAAAAGGGCAAACAAAAGTAGTATCTTCATGACACACAACAAGGAAAAAGAAGCCGATATTCCATCCATTGGATAGACAACATGGTTATAAATGAAAAACGTAGAGTGGATTGAAGGAATAAACATGGAGATTTATTCTTTGTTTGGACTATGGTTTCAATGCCATGTACGTTGGCCAGAAATGCTTGCTCGTTTGTTGATAAAGACGGCGTGCTTGAGTTTTGGTGTCAAGCAGACCTGTGTTGGCATCATTGACGCCATGTGGACAGCCATCCATCAACTTGACATCAAAGCAGTGGATCAGAAATCATCACTGTTCGCAATGTATTGCAATGTCAACAAACAGCCTGCTCGGAAAATGGTAGAAAATGCCAGAATGCCTCTTATGACGCATGCTACTCTGCAGGCACTGGATTGAGCCTTGCCAACCTGCCTTGATTGAATGAATGAGCTTCTCCAGAGCTGCTTGCATTGCTTCGACTACCATGAAAGGTGGTCACTACTTGGGTGATGGGCAATTGAAGCTCAAAACCGCTTCCCATCAAAATAGTCATCTCTTTTTTTCTTGTTTATTCAATCAAAGAATGTATAGGAGAAATCTAGAAACCAGTAAACGGTCGAATGGAAATGAGAATGCTGCTGAAGAGATCAATGCTTTGAAAGGCAACAAGCAATTTGGTCCTTCTGCAGCCAACAAATCCTTCATTCGCAGCAACAGCAAAGAATCCTCTGCGCTCAAGCTCAAACCACACAACCAGAAAAGCGACCAATTCAGCAAGAATACAAACGAGAAACAAAGTAAAAGCGCACCATTCAACTTGAAGAATGACTGAACTGACTCTGCATTTCATATAGAACTACGCATCTTTCAAGACAAGACCGAAAAACCAACATCCACCATTCCACTCAAAAGAAGCGAATCAGCTATTGGTACGACCCTGCGACAGAGAGCCAAAACGCGTATAAAACACCAGATGTATTGACCCCCCCCCCCTCTATTTGCCATGTAGGACAAGTTCAGCATTCCCAAGGCAAAAAGCAGGACATTCGAGTAGAACGCACTTTTCGCCACAAGGAACAGGGTAATTCCACCTTTTTGCAAACAGGCAATCTAGTGACAATATTAATCCGGTCAATTAGAACAAGAATGGACACCACAGGGGTTGGATCTTGACTTTAGTGCGTTTGACGACACAGTGCAAGAGTCCAGCTATCATATCAAACACCAATCACTGGAAAACGATCATGATGTAGATGTTGAATCATTCCCTGCGATTGAAAGACAGTTTAACGCAAAGGCCACCATTCAAAACGAGGAAGAGACAGAGGAGGAAACAGCACAACCTGACATTGAACACGACACTTCCACTGTTGAATACTGTCCCCCTAAAGAGAAAGGTAGCGTACCATTTCACGGCATCATTGACTGGTCCTGACATGGATGCATGTATAGAAATCCCGTATGAACCAGATCAGAGCTGCATCATTGATATGTCCCGCTTTACATCGTATGCTGATATGGATGCCTACGAATATATTCGCTTGAGCAAACACCACGATGAGCTTACCCTTTATCAAGATCCAGATGTAGTGAAGCAGGATATGGTGCATCCCATCAATGACGGCGCTTTGGGTAATTTGACACGAATGCTGATGAGAGGATAATGCTAACTCTATATACAAATAATAGAGTTTGACTATGATTCTGAAAGCGCTGATCAGGATTCCGAGCTATCCAACGATCTCGATTTCTCCAACATTCCCTTTAGTGATCATACATTCGATGTTGATCAATTCATTCAATGCAACTAACCTTCTATTCTCACTCTCACACACACACACACTCTCTCTCTCTTTTAGCATCCTTATTATTCCCCTCTTCAATTCACTCACTGATGACTACTTTTTTATTATTATATAATTCTTAAAAAAAAAATGAAATAAACACGCTCCATTTATTGCAGAAAGTAGATGGCATCATAAATGAATGGTTGTGTATTGTTATTTACATGTAATGCTGCTATACACTTTCAGACAGACGAGGCTTTATTCACAAACATGTCGGAAACATATCGCAACGATGACATCAAGTCTGCTTCATTATGAACGAGTTGGGCCTGAGAGATATAGAAATCGGGTCTGACCACTAGAAGCACGCCGGGTGGATTTTGCACTGCTGACAACATGTTGGACAACAGAGGCAAAAGTCCAACCTGCTTTGTAAGAGACAGTGGCGTATCAATTCTTTCTTCGTTGTAGAACGATTCTTCTGCTTCTTCCTTTTCGTCGTCTTGAATGTACGCAGGAGGACGGGCCAGATTGCAGTTGACAACAGATTGAACGACCAGACGCTTTACAGGCAGAAATTTAGTTTGGATCCAAAATTTTTTAATGATGTCTTGATTGGAAGCAGCGCCGGAATACCTCGTGCCAATGTAAATCACAGCTGTTTGCTCTGTTAGTATCAGGATATCTCGAAGCGTTTGTCGATGAATGTATCTATTTGCTTTGGATGGGGTTGCTCGAGGAAAGATGGCTTTGCGGAGAGGCTCGTGGTTGGGTAGGAATTGACCTGGCTTGACAAGTCCTTTATCAAATCTGCCCAGAATAGGGGAGTGCTCGGGATCAATGCAGATATTGAGCTAGAATTAACCCATCAGCCTTTTGTTGATACACCATTTAACCTGGCATTACCTGCATAGCCCTTTCATAGACAAAGTTGCGCACCTGAGGAACTTTCAATGCAGCAAATGCAGCAACAGTGGCTACGTAGCCAACCAGTTCGTTTCGAGTAAAACTAGCATCGCTGGAGTTGCTTGTCGCTCTGAGTGTCGCTTCAGCAAGAGGGTATCTCTGTAATAGTGTAAATGTTAAATGAAAAAGCATTTGGTGCATGCATACGCCTTACCTCAAGGTTGTATGAATTCAATAGTCTTTCTGGGTCTCTGGAGACGCCCTTGAGGACATCTGACATCTTCCATACAAGGTTGTCCGCTAAAATGAGACCTGTTAGCACTGTGCGCTTTCTCCAGAGACTTGCACTTACCATCCTGCAATCCCAAGCTTAACCCCAGTCCACCAGCTGGAGAGTGGCAATGTGCAGCGTCTATTCATCACACATATTAGATTCACAACATCATCTTTGAGCATGCACCCGCCACGCACCTCCGACTAAGAATGCTCTGTCCCTTCTGTATCCATTGGCGATTCTTTCGTTCACCTTGAATTGCGAAGCCCAAATCATTTTGCCAGCAGTTAGTTTGTAGGGATCTGTAAACCTGTCCAGCCAAGACTGAATAAACTCCAGTGTCAGCGCTTGCGTGTCGCGCTTCTTTGCCACTAAACCATGATCCACCTCGCCGCTGTTACTGATCTTGGCATTAGCAGGGTTGTATTCAGTCAAGTTGCCAAAGATGCGGTAAGTGCTGAAATCATTTACGCTTTCGTGAGGAAGAGGGTTAAGACGGATCATGCCAAAGACGTCTGTTCAAGTGCTATTGTTAGTAAAGCTATTTCACTGCGATGCAAATGCATTTACCTGGTCCTCTAGACAGTAAGTTGAGTCTCTCGCTGAATTCTTCAATGCCCTTTCCGCTCAGTTCGATATCGGCCAATGCAAACTGTGTCTTTTCGGCCGTGCCGTTGAATGTCCAGCCCTCGTTTTCCTTTCTTACTTTTGATCGGCTGCCATCAGCGCCCACGATAAATGCAGATTCCACCCTGTGCTCTTCTCCTGTCTTTTTATCTAGTACAGTTGCTACAACCTTGTCTTTGTCTTGAACATACGAGACCAGTTCGGTTTCCCAATGGACACAGCTGTCTGTATCTGCCTCTAATCTGCGACTCAGGATACTCTCCGTATTACTCTGAGAGATGATGGTAAGCTGGCCATAAGCTGTATCGCCGCCATAATCAAATTGACCAAGCTAAAGAATGACATGTGGTGGCCTTTAGCGATCCCAGTTCATCACATTCCAGCATGATCAGCTTACCAGTTTACCGTTTCTCCATACTCTAATTCCCTTGGCCGCAAATGATTCTGCAATAAAATCGCCTGCGAGGCCTCTTGCTTCAAAGAGCTCCATAGAGCGTGCTGTCAATGATGCTGCCCGACTTTCCAGCGTTGGCCCAGGTTTGTAATCACAGATAAAGATGGAGTGTCCTCGCATGGCCATTTGATAGGCAAAAAAGAGCCCAACTGGGCCTGCACCACAGATGAATACGTCGACTTTAGTTGTTGTTTGTGTTGTTTCTGTAATTGCGCTCATTATTTAGAGAAGATTGAAAAAAGAAAAGGCCTTGTGTGAGTTACTTTTCAATGCATGAATTAAATATCACTTGGCATTGAAATACATCGTCGATCTTACACGATCATTTGATTGGCGGAAACCCTGCAACGACTCTTCTGATATCATCACCTTATCATCACGAATGAGTGTCATTGGAGCCCATTGAGAACCAAATCGCACCGTTTATAGAAGTTGATGATGGTACTTATACAATGCTGAGTGTGCCCTGAAAAACTATATTTTGATATATTAAATTTGCGTCGTACGATGAATCCCAATTGTACTGCTGCTCCCTGTATTAATACCGCAGCTTTTTGGAATGACGGAGCTAGGAGAGAGATTGCATCAGGCATTGCTTGTTCACATCCGTTTATAAGAGGAAGATAGAGGGCAGTACTGACGAAGCTGTTATACAAATAGCAACAGGATTGTGATGAATGATGCAATAAAAAGTGGTAATAGCTGTCAAGGAGGCGGGTAGACTACCGGCTCCAGTAAGCATTGCTTGCCACTGCAATGTCAAGCAGCCATCTGTAGTGCATCTGTCGTCCATCCTTGGATCCTCCCATCGGCCCTCTAACAAGGTAGATCCTTACCCTTCCATTTCAATGCCTGCTTGCAATGATGCCAACAGCGAAATGAAACAGAAACAGTATCCTTTGTAACTGAAGGATATGTTGATAGGCAACTTCCCAATATATTTGATACCCGATTAGATGTCAAATGTCATAATCTGTCAAAAATGATAAGCCATCTCTCTTTTTGCAACGTTTTACTGCTTATCATGCCCGAGGCCAACAGAATCAACTCTATTCCAGCTGATCAGAAATCGAGCTTCACCTCTTTTCTCAAGACGTTGTCTTCGTTTACTGGAGATTTATCGCAATTGACGTGCCCTAGTTTCTTTTTGGCTCCTGAAAGTTTGTTGGAATACTCGTAAGTACAGTGCTCGTATCGCTCAACGTTGAGTACTCTCTCATGTCAAACAAAATAGGTCCTATTGGGCTGATCAACCTGACCATGTAAGGCTTTTCAGTAAAAGAGTGATATAACGTAGTGCTAATGGACATAAACTGCAGTTGGCAAGTGCAGGTAATGGTGTGACAGAGGAGGAGCGTTTCTACAACGCCATTAAATGGTTCATCACTGCACTGAATGGCTCTTTTACCAGCCGTGTGCCTGCTGGCGAATGGGAAAAGAAGCCATTTAATCCAATTCTTGGGGAGCAGTTTTTCTGTCAATGGGAAAATGGCACTCGAGCCATCTGCGAGCAGGTATCTCATCATCCTCCTGTATCCGCTTTTATCATTGAAAATGAAGCATCTGGTGTTTCCATCACTGTCAATGATGCCCAAAAGACACGGTTTTCCGGGACACAGATGTTGGTGGATCAGATTGGCTATTGTATGCTCGAGATGAAGCAGCATGGTGAAAAGTATCTCTTTTCACTTCCTAGTATTTCGGTACAGGGTATCTGGTACGCAGGTAAAGTGCACTGCAATGAGTCTAAAGAGGAATTTACTCATGCTGTTGCGTGTTTGTAGCCCCCTATGTTGAATTGTTTGGCACATCCTACATTCAGTCCTCTACGGGCTTCCATGCTGCAATCGAGTATACTACAAAGGGCTGGATTTACGGCGAGATGCATCATTTCAAAGCAACTGTTAGCCATATCTCACAAGTAAAGACACCCACCGTCATTGAGGGTCAATGGTCAGGCAAATCAACCCTAAAAAAAGATAACCAAGCCGCTCAACCTTTTCTTGATGTCAAGGAGAAAGCTAGGCCGCCTGTTCTTGTCAAACCCATTTCCGAGCAAACAGACATGGAATCTCAAAAGATATGGCAAAAAGTATCTGAGGCTCTTAAGGCAGGCGACTACGCTACAGCATCTGCTGAAAAGACCAGAATCGAGAACGAACAACGGGCCATTCGCAGGGAGCGTGGCGACGAAGACACATGGCAACCTAAATACTTTGAAAAGCTGTCCTCTGCAGAGCTATTTGGTGATTTGAAGGACTTTATTACCATTTACAGCAACAACAAATTTGTCAATACCTTTGACGAGTATTCATGGCGTTTCGTCAGAGATCGCTAAAATACATGGAACATACACTTGATAAACAACACAAAGTTGGTCTATTTTGATTAAAAAGAGTGATTTATACATGGATGTTTATTATATTTGATTTGGAAAAAAAAAAAAGAGAGAGAGAATTTAGCCCATATTCATAGCCTTCATCATTTGAGCCATGTCAGGCATGCCGCCGCCAGCACCTCCACCACGACCAAACATACCGCCCATCTGTCTTGCCATTCTTTGCAAGCCTTCCATGCCTCCCATTTGCTGTAATAACTGAGGTGGAACCATGTTGGCCATTTGTTGTTGCATTTTGCCCATTTGCGCCATTTGATTAGGGTTCATCTTCCTAGGATCTGTGGGCATATTCTGCATAAGACCGTTCTTGCCACCCATCGTCTTGACCATTTCAGCGAATTTAGTGTATTGACTTAAAATTTCTTGCACTTCATGCACCGTGGTTCCAGAACCACGAGCTACTCGCATGACTCGGTTGATGTCTTCAAAAGGCTTATTGTCACCATCGAGTTCTACAATCAACGCAATTAGCCAGCATCCTCCCTCCACATGGTGGTCTAGTCTTACCAGCATCTGTCATACTATCCATGATACACATCATACGCTTCATACGTCTTGTACCTTCTTGCTCAGTGCCTGCCATCATCTCTGCAGGCATACCAGGTATATTTCCCATCAACTTTGAAAGAGGGCCCATCTTTGCAACTTGCTGGAATTGTTCGTACATATCACGAAGTGAATATTGACCCTTTTCAATGTTCTTCATCAACTTTTTGCTGTCAGCCATTTGCATCGTATCCTGCACCTGCTCAATCATGTCGCGCATGTCATGCATACCGAGCACCTTGCGAATAAATGATCTAGGTTCAAAGCGTTCCATGTCTTGAAGATGCTCACCAGTACCAATAAAGATAATTGGACTATGTGTGGCTGCAACACTATGTAAGAGTTGGTCAGTTCCTTGATTTTTCCCTCGCCAACAATGCCAAAATACTTTACGCAGAGATAGCACCACCACCCTTGGCATGACCGTCCATCTTGGTCATGATGATGGAACCGAAATCAGCAGCTTCCTTGAAAGCCTTGGCTTGAGCTTCTGCAGCTTGACCAATGGTGCCATCCATGACAAAAATGGTAGTATCAGGTTTCTACAAAGCACACAGAAATCAGCACACACATTCGCTTCTCGGAAATCCAACCAGCAAATACTTACAACTGCACTGGAGATTTGCTTCATTTCTTCAAACAATTCAACTTCTTGCTTGTGACGACCAGATGTATCGACAATGATGATTTCAAACTTTTCGGCCTTGAATTTCTCAACACCTTCCAAAGCAATGGCAACAGGGTCAGTTTCTGTGTAGCTACCATAGTAAGGAATCTTTGCTTTTGTTGCGTTTTGTTTCAATTGATCAAAGGCACCAGCACGGAAAGTATCAGCACAGACCAGTGCCACCTTCCAACCTTTGCGTTGATAGAATGCGGCAATTTTGGTACAGGTTGTAGTCTTACCAGCACCTTGAAGACCAACCATCATAAAGATATTGGCACGACGCTTCACTGGCTTGTAGGGTTCGGCTTCAGGATCCACGAGATTGTATAATTCATCCATAACAGCCTATTGTTTCATGCTCGAATCAAATCTCTGCTCTACCATGTGCGCGTTTATATGACTGAATACCTTTTCGATCATACGTTTCTTGTTGGCACCGTTTGCCAATTCCTCCAAATTAACATTCTTTTTAATGTTGGCACGAAGTCGTTGTACAAGCATCACATTCACATCAGAGGCGAGCAAAGCAGCGCAAATCTCCTTGACTAAAGAGTCGAGAACCTGATGTACATGTGTTGAGTTAGTTGTGTGTCTGTTTTTGTCATGTAAACGGGACGCACTTTTTCATCAATGACGGGAGCTTTGGTCAACTCTGTGAAAGCTGAATTGATCTTTCGTCCTAAATCAGCTAAAACCATGTTGTTTTATATAACTTTCTGTTGAAAAGAAAGAAGAAGAGGAAAAGAAAATATTTTCTAAATGCCAGTTTTGCTATGTGGTTGCTAGAACTCTTTTTTTTTTTTTTTTTATTTGCTCTCTCCCAATTGGGTATGAAATTAATGAAATCTTCCAGAAGGTCATCATCAGTGGATGATCAAATCAGAGTCTCAGGCATTGCAATTTGGTGAAGGAGCAGATTTTAGTTTTTACATGATGCGCACTCAAAGACAAGTGATCATCTGGTGAAAAGAAGTTGCTGGCGTTCTGTTACAGATGAACTGATTAGATCACAGCCACATCTAAAAGACAGCATCTCATGGTGTACGATTGCTAAGTAGATGAACCATTGGTCACTGTCATCATTTTCTGCATAAAAAGACATGCTGGAAGAACGCGTGAATATACACAGTCTATTGAAATCGATTAAATTCATCTTTATCCGGCATTATACAGTCAAAATGCAACTAGCAGATCAATCTCGCTATGCTCGATGACGGCCTCGTCCTGCGGGGTCTCATCCAAGGCATTTCAAATAAGAGACAATAAAAACCTGTTATTTAAGAAGATTTTAAACAATCTCTCAATAATAATAAAAGAAAGACTATATCAGAATCAGAAAGGGAGAGGTATTTCTCCCTGCATCCTCCTCCCTTTGCTTATACACTGGTATCAACGGAAGCTATTATTAAAACGATGTGAAAGAGAGTTCAAGCTTTCTGGAGTATTTGTATACTACATTCTCCGTTTGTGCCACATTTTTTGATAGTAGAATTGTCATACCATTCGCTGGTGTTGCTCTTGAGCTGGCAACATAAAGCTGGCTATGTGTAAATACAGGACTTGTGTAAGATCTATAACGACTTTTTTTTTCAGATATTGTCATTGCAAAAGGCAAGCTTATAATGAACCCCCCCCCCCAAGAAAGTATTTGGGTTAAGCAATTGCCCTTTCAATTCCATGATTCCCATTTAATCAGCATCGCAATTATCATTGCCATCATCAGAAAGGTATTTGGGCCAGCCAGCAGCAGCGCTGCCCGTCACCGCCGCTAAAACTCATTCAAACTCAGTTAATCTTTTGTACTCAAGATTGGCCAAATTTCGTCTTTTGTCGACTTCTTTAATCTATTTTGTGATATTCGATTATTTAAACTGTGATGATCACCCTATGCTTCCTAATACATGCCCCTGGTGGTAGGGCGAAGTGGTAAAACTCCCGTATGCCAACGGGAGGATCCCGGTTCAAATCCCAGTGAACGCATTTTGATTAATTATTTACGGTCGTACTGATGTCCTCGTTTGGTGAATGTTCTCTTATCCAGTATCTCTGTATGACAACTTAGCATGATTGTATTGGCTCTAAGTGCCCACCTTATTTGTAGTAGATTTCTTTCCCAACTTCCTTTCCATAATTTATTCCCCATCATGACTGACATTGGGTCCACCAACAGTCTTGTCTATCACTCATAGCAACATTTACAGGACTTTAAATAAAAACTGGAGCTCGTCTCCCCTACAAAAAAAAAAAAAAAATGCTTCCTAATACAGCGCCCGTGGTGGTAGGGCGAAGTGGTTAAGCATCCAACATGCCATCTGGATGATCCCGGTTCAAATCCCAGTGAACGCAAGTTGTTTGATTTTTGACATAGTACTGATGCCCTCGTTTGGTGTTTTGTGCTCTTATCCAGTATCCATATTTTGACGATTCGTATGATTGTATTGGCTCTAGGTGTCGCACCTGATTAGTAGTAGTTTTCTTTCCCAACTTAGTTCATTATATATCTTATTCCCCATCATTGCAGACATTGGGTCCACCAACAGTCTTTTCTTTCCCTCAGTATGACATTTAAAGGACTTTAAATAAAACCTGGAGCTCGTCTCCCCTACAAAAAAAATGCTTCCAAATACATCCTTGAAGTGCTTTTCAAGGCGCATCCGATGGTACCAAATAAAATAGATGTTTTTAATAAACCTATTGAGCAATTTATAAAAATATGAAAAGAGGTTTTTGGCCAAAAAGTCGAAATTTTACGTATTAAAGTTCCACAAAGATGATTTCAACTGTTGCGTTAGATCGATAGAGACATTTTGATTCAAGATATACCATAGTAAAAGTCTTCATTATCAAGGTCAAAAAATGCGACCGTTTGATTTTCGATGAAAACCATGAGGGGTGCCTCATGCTTTTTAGTCGATTTTTGGCCATGTTTTTTTGGTCCCCAAAAAGTTGAGCAAAGGCATCAGGAAGCTGCTACTACTCGGGTACAATTGTTTGGTGTCATTCCGGTAGCTCAAAAAAGTCTACATGTCAAGATATGAAGGCCTAAAAACTGTTAAATTTGGCTCTATTTTTGCTCTATGGCTTTTATTACACGGCATGAATCACATCTTTAGTAGCTGAAATCTTCTGGAAGGGCAGTTCTGCAGTTTGTGCATCTTCTAATTCGAGCAGGAGGCATACTGATTTCGGTAAAGCCGATTTATGCAAATTTTGACGCGATATGTTGCTGGTAAGTTTATTAACAACAGTGGAAATGAAGACCCGAATTTGCTGCTTGAACACTATGGTTTTGCACCTTTGCTTGGTTACGGTAAAAGCCATTAAGACCAAATGTTGAATTAGATGCAATGTCGCTACGCTCGATGACGGTGTCGTCTTGCGGGCTGTCGCCGTAGACATCCCAAATCAGTAATAATATAAATCTGCTATATAAGTAGTTTTTAAACAATTCATTATTAAACTATCGTGTGATAGCCCTTCATAAACGCCTTGCGATTGTGGGTCTAGCTCGTTGACGATGCTCCATGACTGTATCAACAATAACAACTCATATACCAACGCACAATATACTTTTATTACCTCTTACCACTCAAAAGTATGCACAGCACAATGATTTTTCTATGTTTTTGAGTCGTGTTTCCTCGCGTTAAAAGCTGTTTTAGGCTGCCATAATAGCACCAAACGATCACTCTTGATCAGTACTTACTTTCCGACACGTTTACTCAACTTTCTTGGGATCGCCAAAAATCGACGAAAAAGCATGAGGTACCCCTCATGGTTTTCATCGAAAATCAAACGATCGCGTTTTCGACCTCAAAAATGAAGACTTCTACTATGGCATATATTGAATCAAAAGGTTTCTCTTGATCCAAAGCAACCCCTGAAGCTTTATTTGTAAGACATTCATATATAGAATCTCGACATGTTGGCCCAAAACCTCACTTTATATTTTCAAAAATTAACCAGTAATCTCATTCAAAATACCTTTTATAATTAGCACCATTGGAAACGCCTTGAAAGGTACTCTAAGAAAGCTTACGGAAGTACGGGCTGATCATTACAACTTATATAATCGAATCTCATAAAATAGATTTAAGAAGTCGAAAAATAATCAAATATAAACAAATCAAGTCAATAAAACAAATGCGGCATTTTAATTATTTTAGCTGCTGACAAACTTATATGATGATGCCTTTTACATGAAGACAATCAATGTTCGTGAAGCTAGCGAGAACGGAGTTGCGAATCAAAGAGTACTATAGCTTGGTCTGGCTATACATTTATTGGCTTTTGCTGTGGATTCTTGTATCTGGCAGTTTAAATGGTACAAACGACTCATCTCAACGCGAAATGTATTTACCAGCAAGCGTCAGCTTTAGTCTATCAAATTATCCTGAAATAGCTAATTGACATTTTATTAAAGAAAAGTCTGATGAATAGTTAAATTAATAGTATATATATATATATATATATATTTACTTTACTCGTGGATTCATAGGAGTAGGATACGATAACTTTAAATGGACACGTTGAGATGTTGATGAAAACGTAGAGCCTGGCCTATTTTCGCTCTTTGTATCACTTGAAGAGCTGGCCTGGCTCCCATGATATTCCACCTTGTAACCTTAATATCTTGTGCCATAGAAACATAATAAGGAAAATATGTAAATCTGTTTTAGTCAGGGATATGCCAAATGTTCCTCTTTGTACGTTTTTCAAGTGCATTTTTGCCCTAAGAAATGGATTCATCTGCCTCAATGTCAATAGTATTCTGCAATTTGTGGCTGTTGCAATGATGGTCCAGGGCGCAACAACAACAACAACAGCAAAAACAACAACAGCAACAACAACCAGAATTAGGTCGTTCTTGCAGGTTTCAGGAGATTACTGATTACATGCTGGTTTTTATAAAAGTTGTGGTTCATTCTTCACTAAGAATTTTTCGTAAGCGAGGAGCTCTATGCATCCTGCTCTTCTTTTTTCTCAGACTTAAGCTACAAACATACATGCTATTTACTTTTCGAGTAATGAAAACCTTCTGAGCTTATGACGATGTACGTAGAGCATACTTTAGTTTTCTTTGACTTCAATTTGGCTGTACGCCTGCATCAGGATTCGAATGAGTCGATCATGCTTCTTTTGAACGGAATTTGTAAGGCTTTCTAACTTGATTTGTCATGCGATCCGTGCAATGCCATGTCAAGAAATGAGATTTAGGCTTCCAATTCTTTGGTCGCATACATTCTTTGATTTCAAAGTAAACAAATACAAAATATTGATATTTAACATTTTGTGTAAATGAATCCAAATGTCAATATGAGTTTCCTTCCCTGATTGAAAAGATAAGATTTGGGTGTGTAATTACTTAAAAAGGCGATATGGCGCACATTTGGGCAAAAAGCATAATAGATGGATCGCGCGCGGGGACGGCGCGGACAAAACAAGGCAATGAAAGCATTGCTCTCCTTCCTTTTTTCAATAGCAAGGTGCAAAATTTCTAATGCGCGCACCTACCATGTTGCACTAACGACAGGCCTTTCTACAAAGCTGTTATAAAAAAACCATATTATTCTAGACATGCTCTTTATTTATATACAGTGAAACTTTATTGATTTGCAATGTAACGCAAAAAGGGATGGAAAAAATATATAGACCTGTTGGTAGACAAGTGAATTATTACAATAAACGCACGTCACCTTGTGTTTTTTCGTTTGAATTGAAACTATGGTAAAAAGGAATATGTTTGTGCCCCAAGTACGATTCTCTCTTTCTTTCTTTCTTTCTTTCTCTCTCGTCTTGGTCTCTCCTGTTCCCCCTCTCTCTCTCTCTCTCTCTCTCTCTCTTCCAAAGCAAAGCACCCTATTCCTTACACTTTAAGAAACGCAATGGATTATCCACTACATCAATCCCAATATACAGACTCCTCACATCATTCGAGACATCACCAACAGCAACAACAGCAGGATCAATCTACTAATGTAACTAATTCAACAGCCAATTACAGAACATATTCAATGTACAATGAAAGATCTGATATCTCCTCCATTATGTTTGATGGCAATTCTACCAATAATGAAGAAGACGATGCACGCTCATCCATGATGCTATTGAGTACTCGTCCACCTCATTCGATTCATGACCCATGGAGTCAGCCTCAGCTTCATCACCAACAGCACCATCAGCACCATCAGCAACATCACTCTCCATTAATAAGCAATGATTACAGACAGCATCAGCCTCTTCAGTACCATCAGATCCAGCAGCAATCTTCTCATTCTGAACGTGGGATTGCTGGCTTTGTGTCAAAGCTTTATCAGTATGTTTTTTTTTTATTTTTATTTTTTTTTTTTTTATACCCCTTTTTTTTGTCTTCCCCTTTTTTTAATATTATCATGGTATTATAATTTGGTTTTAACCTATATTCAATCTTAGATGCCTTCAATCTGTAGATAGCAATCAAAAGTATGCAAGGTGGTGCCAACACGATGGTAAAGACATGTTCATCATTGATTGTATACCAGGTAATTGAATCTCATTGATATCATGAAAAAATATTTCTAACAGTGGTACATAGAATTCACAGAATTTGTCTTACCGCGTCTCTTCAAGCACTGCAAATTTCCATCGTTTGTGCGCCAACTGAACGTAAGTTGATACTGGATCAGATCAATGAATCAAGACTAAAGAGCAACGCAGATATACGGTTTTCAGAGAGACACAGATGCAAGAAAGTCTAAAGACACAAAAGATAAGGAATCCTGTCGGTGGTATCACCCATGCTTTAGACCAGGTCGACGTGATTTATTCCACTTGATCCGAAGAAAAGCAACCCGCTACTCGAGAAAACGAAAGGCGAAAGCGTCCAATGAAGAGGATCCTGAAACAATCTTGAACTTGGGTTCAGCCGATGAATCTGAGATCGATGAGGAAAGTCAAGAAAATATGGTTCTGCTCGTCAACAATGGCGATGAACAAGATGGCCGTCGTTCGTCTTCGGTCTCGTCTGTAACGCAATCCCTGCAACATATCGACTACAATTCAGCATCATCGCAATTACAACTGGGTTTCTCAGAGCCGGTTACCGTGACAGCAACAGCAACGACAACGACAACAGCAATAAATTCACCTCGAATGGTAAATCATTCAGCGATGCCTCTGGTAGTCGATACAAATATCAATATAACCCCATCCAATGATTACCATGCCATGACGACTCCGACATTGGCCCACAACAGTAACCACAATTCCAATACGATTCTACAAGACGATCTGTCGTCGGATAATGCCGATGACAAAATAATAGACACTGGCCTAGTGGTGAGCATGCAACAACAGCATCATCATCAGTTTGAGCAACCACAGCAGCAGCAGCTTCATCAGCCTGTGATGCGGGATCAGGAACTCCGAATGCAACTTTATCACATGAAACAACAGTATGAAAAGATGCATGCTTATTTTAGAGAGCAGTTGAGCACTGCTCAGATTCAAATCGATGAACAACAAATACGTATTCAACAATTAGAAGGTGCACTTGGTATTACGACACACTCTGTGAAACAGGGCACAATCCAGCAACCAACAACAGGTGGTTACATGAGCACGGTGTGTACAACTATACCCAACTCGTCGTCCTCATCTGCGTTCCATCATGCCAATTACAATCTCCAGCAGCAGCAGCGACAACTAAATCAGAATTCGCCCGTTGTAACGCCCCGTCTTGTCACTTCCATGTATCAAATGCCACAGCAAAGCAGTGTCAAAAGCAGCAGCAACAATGCCATGGCAACGACAACAACACCAAGACCTAGTTACTATTACCATGAGAATGCCTCGTCTCCATCAGCAGCAACAGCAGCAGCAGCAGCAGCAGGCAATACAAACAACAACAATAACATAGAGAATAAAAGCAAAATGATGGCACAGATCAAGAATGAGAATCTATCTTCGCCATCCACACCATCAACGTCTTCCAATAACTGGCTTCCATACCATCGTGATTCATTATCCACTAATGGAATGATAGACCCAGCGAATAATGTTACTGCCGGCAGTAGCACAAATCCATCAACTGCAACGACAGGGACAGGCACTGATGCCGCTAGCAATACCCAGCTGAAATCAGTATTACCCTCATCCAACTCATCCTCCAATACACCCTTGATAATGCATAGCAATGTTCATAGCACCAACAACAGCAATACGAATGATAACCACGATACCAGCAATATTCATAACAACAGCAAGATAGACTTGATGGGTCACATGCATTTCACTCCCTTTCTCTAAACAAACCAGCCGTATGTTCTTTATGTCTTCTTTTATGATACCTCTTCTGTTACCTTTTGCAGCAAGCACAAGCATTTATTTTCTCTCCCATAAAAAAAATACAAAATCATACACCCGACCTATCCTTTTGGATTAGAAGAAACAAAAGGTGAACTTTACGTACATTGGAAAAATCTCCTTTAATGTGTAAGACATTGTGAAGAAACTTTGTATACGTCTTTCACACGGCCTTTGAAGCCACTTCCCGATGTATACTAACATAACGATACTAGCGTAAAGTTTATTTAAGCAAGCAAAGGGACATAAATAGGGCATTTTGTACAGCTCATACTGTGCATCCACATCAGCAAGATGCTCATACGCACATGGCAGTAAACGTTCGCTGCTATCGTGCGCACCGATGCCATGATTCCGTCATTCTTCATGGACAGACGATGGTTCATGGTGGTACCGACTTTAAATGGAATGAATACATGTACATTGTAGCTCAACAGACGCTAAAATCTGTAAAAGATAAGGTATCCTTGATATAACAACAGCAGCTTGGCTGTATAATTTAATTTATGTGCCTTGTGATGGAGGAAATGCTCCCTGTTTTTTACCAGCGCGTATATAGGCATGAAACCCCCGCCAACATGCAAATGACGATTTTTTTGCTGTGCTGCTTCTGGCCAGGGAGAAATAAAAGGTATCCCATTACTCACGGATGCGGTTAGAAACGAGCATTGTTGCTTTATTTAGAGATGTAAAAAAATGAACTGGACATGACACTTGTATTTTTGTCCATTCCCAATGCAATAATTAATGGCACCAAACTTTATTTTGAATATTCAGCATTTACAATTTACAACATACTCCATGCAATGTCAACATGCTCGGCTTGGTATTACATGCACATTTGGACAAATCTAGTCAAATCACATGAGCCAATGTGCACTAAAAAAAAAACAACAACAACAACAACCTGCTTCGGTAACAGAAGGAAGATCAGATCCGTTAGCATCAGATTTACAACATGTCGAGCATTTACACAAACCAACTTTTTAATTTTCCAAGCTATCGTTCACATTGACCCCTTTCCAATGTTTCACTTTATCTTTGCTCGCCATCTTTACATGGTCGATATCAGGATATAGTTCGATTTTGCTTTGTCGATACTACGGGTTTTGCATAACATGCAAGACATGGACGTGTGCAATTGAAATGCAGCCAGGAACACACTTGACATCCAAGTGATGAGTGGGCTATATGGGGATCCATAGAACAATTTTACAGCGCTTTAGAATAAATATTGTTCTCATGCGCTGTGTGCTTCTTGATCAGGTTTTATTAAGATGAACTTGATAATTTTTGGTCTAGATAAAGGAGAGAGTTGAATAAAAAAAAAAAAAAAAAAAAAAAAAAAAAAAAAAAAAAGTGAAGATTACAAATCAGGCAAACAGAATTCCCAAAACATTACATATCTTCTAATGTAATGTAACCTTCAACAAGGAGAGGGCTTCTTATTGTGCGATTATATTCTTTACATGACATGAGTTTTAATATACTAGTGTTTTTTTAATTGACATTGTTTGTTTGCTCTGTAAAAATGATAAATGAGAGCAGCCCACTCGAATGATAAAAATGCGAGTTTTTAACAGCTAGGGGAAAGTGTATTTGTTAATAGTAAATAACATGTAAAAAACGGTGCGGTGTTTTTTTCTTTGGCTCTGTCTCTAGACATCTGTGGGATCAGAGGCATTGTTAAATTGAGCTTTTTCTCTTTTTCCTTCTCATCCTAGAACAACCCCTCCTTTCTTCTCTCTCTTTTTCACTTTTTTTTTTTATATTTCCCAAAAAGAGATGACTATTGTGGATACAGACATCATTTCAGTGGCCTCAGCAGCAGTCGATGACAAAAAGTCAATGAACATTGAATTGTCTGATTCGTTATTTGGTAAACCAACCCATCATCACATCATTTTGAGCCTACTAACCCAGCATGCCACTAGACTATGACATGCTTTTGAAGGATGTGGATGACAGCAGCAGTGCTCACAAGGAGACGGATGAACTGTTCCAAGGCCTATTCACTCATGAGACGCATGATCTAAACAGCATCAGCAATCTGTCCTCGTCTGCCTCTTCATCTCCTCAGCAACATGTGGATTTGCAAAGGCGTCCAAATGTAATGCAATGGGGTCCTCAAGACGGTCAAGAATCCTGCACCATTGTCTCCATTGTGCTGCGACATCATCAAGAAGCTGCTCCCATGAAGATTGTGTTTGGTACATTGACAGTTGAAACAGCTCAACAACAGCACATTGTAGCCAACAGCAGCAGCAACAGCAATAGCAACAGCAACAGCAACAGCAACAGCAACAGCAACAGCGATAGCGGTAGTGGTGGTAATTCTGTTTGGATTACATTGGCAGCTTCTGTGCCTCCGTTGAAAGATATTCGCTCTGACTCTAATCAAGTCAGGATTTCCGTTTGTTTGTTTGATCGCAATGATCCTGACCTTGCTGTGGATACTTGGGACATTGGCCAGTTTACGTACATTGAAGGTAATTTCAAAACGACCTTTGTTTGCTGTTTCCACTCTCCCCCCCCCCCCCCTCCCTCACACGCACTTTCCTGTTTGTTATCGGATACTTACACATTGTATTTTCCACTCCATCTAGATGAGCAAGTCATTACTAATAGCAGCAGCCGTAAGAGAGCTCTCTCCTGTGAGCCCGATGAATGCGCGCAAAAAAAGCATACATACGACGTCAAAGCAGAGCACGAACAGGAGCAGCAGCAGCAGCAGCAAGGCCATTCAGAAGATGTAAATGCTCAGCTCCTTAAGCTACTTGCGCCATACGACCCTCTATTGACTGTCAACCACAGCGAATCCAATGCTCCTGCTGCTACTCGCACGAATGCCTGGCTATCACCTACATCGAGTAGTGACAGTAGTAGCAGTAGTAGTCTTGCACCACAGAATCACTCAAACTATTCTACATCCGTGCCACCTACATTTCCTTTGACAGTAAATCATATGATGCTTCAACAGGGATTGCTCAATAGTAAGAGACCACAACAACGCCAGCATCAAGCAAGCAGCAACCCTCTCGACATGGCTCACAAACATGACATGTACAGAATCTACTCGAATATACAGCATCAGCAGCAACGACATAACCCTTATCTGATGCGTCACCAGCAGCACTATCCCAGCCAGCCTACGTATATGTCGCATGCCATGAGCAACTACATTCAGTCCATCAACAACAACAGCAACAACAATAACGCTCTTTACAACATGTCTGAGCAGCAGCAACAAGCACAGCAGTATCAGCGAATCCAGCAGCAAAGCTTCTCCACGCCTTACGCCACGTCTTCATCATCTATAGCATCGCACGTCGTTCCTCGAAGAGCATCAGCACCATCCACCACCTCCTACACAACTACAAACAGCAACAGTTGTGCATTGAACAAGGCCCATCTCAAACTAAATGGTGATCTTATGGACATGATTACAAACTGGTCTGTTCCAGAATGGCAATCAGGTCGTCGTCTAGTGCATTTTTGGCGTCGTACTACCACGGGAGCAGATGGGAACTTGGCGTTAGTTGAATGTGGCTTCGAACCAATGGATCAGCAACTGTATCATCAACAGCGTATGAGAGACAATGTTGTTGCGGTCGCTGCTGCTGCTGCTGCTGCTGCTGCTGTGTCTCATCATTCCTCGTCAGTGAACATCAAGAGTAATACGATGGTGAGCGGCATTGGAACTCGACACGGAGGGGGAGGAGGAGGAGGAGGAGGAGGAGGAGGAGGAGGAGGAGGAGGAGGAGGAGCAAACACTACTGCACCTATTGTTATTTCATGTATATATTGGAGAGAAAGAAACGACTATTTCATCACATCTGTCGACTGCATTTATCTGCTTGAAAGCCTGATCGGTATTCAATTTACCGTTGAGGAAAAGAACAGAATCCGAAGGAACTTGGAAGGATTCAGGCCTCTGACTGTCTCCAAATGCAAGATGGAATGCGCAGAGTTCTTCAAGCTGATCATGTCATTTCCTCACCCGAAACCTAGGAATATCGAGAAAGACGTCAAGGTGTTCTCCTGGAAGACGCTGCCTCATGCATTACGAAAGATCATCAGAAAATACACGCCCTCTTACATTGCATCCACGCCATTAGAGCCCATTCATCCCCAACAGCAACAGACAAGCAATCCCGCATCCTCTTCTTCTGCATCGCATCTCCATCATAGCAACATTAATAATTTCTAAATAATAGCATGACATAAAATCAATAAACAAACATAAACGCATTCGTTTTTCCCTGTTTCGTGATCAGCATAGATACAGTCTATCTACATCCAGACGGCTAATCGTGCTTCTTCTGGAATTGCCACTGGCACATCAAACATACAAATCGCGATTGTGATGTATCTGCGGATATTAGCATCTGAAATCAGAGCAAATGCGCACGGAAGATTCTAGAATTTGTTCTTGTAGTAGTGTATCTTTCATTCTTATTTATTGTTTATCATCATCAATTTGGTATTATTGCTTTTAAGCTTTGTTGGCTTTACTATATACCAATAAGTGTCTTTTCTGGTACCTCTTTTTTTTTTTTTTTTTTTTTTTGTAACAAAACAGAGGGTAGGAGGAGAGCTCGCTTCTATAAACAAAAAGTATCTACATATATGCACAATTTACGCTTGTGTACCGTTTCATCGCACTATCCATCGGCATTGGCTGGTAGTTTTGGTCAAGACAGATAAAATACTCTACACATTGCGCTCTTCCGCTCCAGTGTAGGGAGTACTTGTATTACCTTCGATTACTTACATGCAGATGATATCAATGTCGTTTTATTCCATCCTTGCGACCAACACGAGTGCTGCTAACAATACGCGTGAATGATCAACTTTGATGACAATACCTCTCACGACTGAATCAAAATTAACGATTTGTTATTGTTGCATTCATCATCATCATTGCCTTAAATGGCCATGTCTACCCTAACTTTTCCACATCTTGTAAATCTGAGAACAACAAATCAAGTTGAAAATATTTGAGAAATGACCATGTTGTATTATGCATAAACTGAGAATAATAGGGGGGGGGGGGAGAATCGTACGTTTGGCCCATTTTCGTTTATTTGGATAATTGTGCATTTTTTTTTTTTTTGTTATTCAAGGATAGGGAATGCTTTTTTAACACTATAATCCAAGGAGAGTGTTAAAAAAAGAACTTGTAGTACGACAGATCCTTACTAGAGTTTGTGCTGATGCTCGAACGCCCTAAAATGATTTGGTTTGGGTCTAAAATGCAGTGTAAGTTTCTGGATTATGCATGATGCATGCTATAGTACACAGCAGGGATCTCTTCATTGGCACGTTCATCAGATCTACTTGCTGTACAAGATTCTTTCATTGTCGCTCATTCATTTTGAAAATCAAGGGCTCTGTATAGAACAGTTGCTAGGCCAGGTAACGTGCGCAATACGTTTGTTGTAAACTATACGATAGGGACAGATGAACTGGTACATTAGCGTATAATGTAAAATTATCAAAAGGCTCCGTGCCGTGGCGCCCCGTTACGCCCATCGATATCCGGCAAATTCCTTGTATAAACATGGAACTAAGCGCATATAAGCAGCTTTTGGGATACATATACAGTACAACAGTAGCTCCAATCATACTGTGGGTCGTCCAACAAATAATCTGGCCTATTTACATGTACAGTTATACAGCTTCAAAATAAAAAAAAATTAAAGTATCCACAAAGGATCGCCATAAATCATTGCTACTCAAGTATACATGGTATATGAGTTGACTGAAAAAAAAATGATAAGCTTTTATTATTACGCGGCGGTGGCTCGCGCTGTTGACTATCGCCGTCTATCTCGTAGAAAAACAGTATGCTGCATCAAATAGCCTACTAACTGTTCGCCATCACGTAGAACCCCTCCAATAATGCAAATTTGACTCCTTTCGAGAGCTCCACGTCTGCAACAGCGAAGGGAAAGTGTATACAAGGGCACGGCCATAATAGTGCTGCCCCTTACTATTCAAATATGAGTATTTATGCTTCGGATGGCTCTCTACCTTCGCTTCGCTTCGGTGAGAGCCAACCTGCGCAGCGGCAGCTCGCGCTACCGATTGCCCTTGCGTATCTTTTCAAAATACTGCTACTTTCATCTTTACCCTGCACTTACACATAAAGAATCTTCATATTATCTGTGGTTCCAATTCGTATATGATGCTCTGCCTCCATATACACGTAGCCACTTTATATACGGGCAAGCAGCATGCTAGTGTTTCTCCTTTTTAGTCTTTAGGGTCCCTGATACAGCAAGACCCGGGCGCATTTGAGCCGCGTTTTCTTGCGTTCAAGGCCGTTTTAGATGGTCAGAATTAGCACCAAACAATTGCTCTCATCTGGCAGTTAGTTCCTGACATCTTTGTTCAACTTTTTGGGGACCAAAAAAACATGGCCAAAAATCGACCAAAAAGCATGAGGTACCCCTCATGGTTTTCATCGAAAATCAAACGATCGCGTTTTTGACCTTGAAAATGAAGACTTCTGCTATGGTATATATTGAATCAAAATGTTTCTATCAATCTAACGTAACCTCTGAAACCACTTTTATGAGGTCTTTATATGCAAAATTTCGACATTTTGGCCGGAAATCTCTTTTCATATTTTCGTAAATTGCTCAATAAGTTTATTCAAAACATCCATCTTATTTGATGCCATTAGATGCACCTTGAAAGATACTATAAGAATGCATTAGGAAGCATGGGATGATCATCACAACTTGTATAGTCTATTCTGGCAAAATAGATTGAAGAGGTCGATTTTCGTCAAAATCTAGCCAATCTGGAGCACAACATGAGCGAAATTTTAATTAATTTTAGCGGCGGCTGATTGGTGGCAAAAGCAATGCCTCCATCACCCAGACAGGTAATTTATGTTTGTATCAAGGCTTTCAAAAGTGCTTGGCAATTACAAGTTTATTATTCTATCAAAATTGCAAAGTTAATTAATGATACAATTCTTGCGGCTTATATGGTGGTAAATAATTTAATAGGGATTTGATAACGTATGAGGGCATCGTGTAATATGTGCTTAATCCATCTTGATATCGTAGGACCACAAATCTCGTGCACAGTATATATCTTGATCTCGCTTGTCAAACACAGCAACAGCCAGTTGCCTAATTTCCTCCATCACCTCTAAACCCTCTTGAGATTCGTCTCCTTTGTAACGAGCACTGAAATGCGTTAAAATCAGCTTTTTGCATTTAATCTTGAGAGCGAATGCAGCTGCCATTTGGGGTGTTGAGTGCCCATGGTCTTTTGTGCGTTGCTCCACTTCTTCAAAAGTAGGAATAGCGTCTTCCTTGACATTCACCTTGTCCAATCGAGTCAATGCGTTGGTAGCCTCGTGTACCAGCAAGGTGGGGGAATCTGCTATGGCTAGGATAGGTGTAGGGTCCTTGGTATCACCGAGAATCACAACCTGACGACCTGGACGAAGGGGAGGTGGTATTAATTGCTGTCCATCGGGTAAATTGTATGGTTCATTGGTGCGTTGTAGTTGACCTAGTAAGCTCATTGGATTCGATATGCCTTGATCTTTTAGTGCAGCCATGTTCTTCTTGATCAGGGGAATCAATGCATTCACTTTACCGGGCCAGTTGGGTTCACGTATCACATAGCCCAAAGATGGGACTGAATGCTCAATCGGCGCAGCTTGTACACTGTAGCCCTTCTCGGCAGATGCAAACAAGGGCAGTGTAAAAGCATTGTTGCTGATCATTATGTTCTCGCCGGGCAATTCATTGTTGTGAAGATTTTCATTTAGATCTACAGGATCATCCTTGTTCAAGAGCTCATGCACTCGATAAGGTCTTCCCAGGTTGGAATACGTTGATTTGAGTGTTGTTCTCAACCAAGAGCGGATAGGCGTTGGGCCGTAAATGTCAACAGGAACCTGTTCTTGCTGATCCTTCTGAGTGCCACTAGTTCCGAGATTCAAGTTGTCTGTCATACTACATAAAAGAGGAGCCAAACCAAAGCAATGGTCGCCATGCATGTGTGTAATGAAAACGCGAGTGATCTTTCCCATTTTCAAGTTGCTCTTTTGCAACTGATGTTGTGTTGCTTCTCCACAATCAAACAGCCATATATCGCCATCCACACGTAATGCGATGGCTTGATGGTTTCTCGTTGCACTTGGCTGAGCACTGCCAGTCCCTAAAAATGTGATATCCATAGGTGCCACCATGATTGAAGAAGAAGAAGTGAGCAAAATCACAAATTTTGAAACTCACAGCTTTTTGTCATCAACGTAAAAAAAAAAACGACGCAGTATTTGATTTTACTATTAGTTTACACATGATTTATTTATTAACGTGGCCGATTGATGTGTGAGTATCTTTTGGTGTTCGTCCACTGTTAGTTTTGACTTTTTACGCTTGAGTGAGCAGCAAATGAGCAAAATGATCAGGGGTAAATAGACTGCAAATGACTTGAGAATGATCCATTTTGTGACATCTTGAACCCCACTGTCAAGAATTGTGGCGAATGGCTTTATTGTGGGATCAGTTTGTTTATAAGCGGCCCAAGAAATAGCTGTTGCACTCATCATGGCAACCATAAATAACAGAGGCATCAAGAAGAGGATAATAGCGTCCCGTCTATTCTGACCCATGATCCATGCAATCTCCTTCGAGTGGCATTTACTGCCAGTGTACACGACTGCGATGGCATTGAACAATGTAAAGCTGGCCATGATAGTTATACAGATGGCTGAGATCAGGGCTGATATCTGAGCATCAGTAATAGTGGTCTTGCATACTACAAAAGCTAATGTTGTTACTCCATAGATGGCGATGGCCGAGATGTATATCCAGATGGTAAACGCACTGAGCAGGAATGGTGTAGATGTGCTGGATGTGATAACCTCGACGTAGTTTATGTGATGATACTCGGATGGCAGCTGAAGGATGATGGTGGATGTGTCACTCATCGAATCCTCATCTGATTTCTCGTCTATCATGTTCATTGGATGCAAGCTTCCCCATCTTCTATAATTTTTAGAGGCTGTATTAATAAATCTAACGTAGACAACCTGCCAATCTACTATTCCTGCAAACGCAAGTATAGAGATAGCTGGTAGTTGAGTGACGATGGGCTCTTGATCTTTCCATGGTATATTTGACTGGGAGAAATACGGTGTAATGGCTATGTACAGATGGCCAATCATGATAAATAATGCATAAATAGCAAACGGTAAAATGTGCCAATGATGAGTGGATTGAAGCAGTAAGACGAGCGAAATAAAGCCAAATAAGAAACTAAAGGCGAGCCAGGCAGAGGCATCTTGCTCCAGCATGATGGTATATGTGTGAAAAAGAGAGGGAATGAAAAAGATGAGGAAATGGATTCTATATCGTTTTCTTGCACTATATAAAAATAAGTCGCTTGATCGTAAACAAATAAAGCCTTGCCAAGCCCAAAAGAACAAATTGTTGCTAAGAATAACAATGCTGTTCATGCTATTTCTGAGCACTCGAGTGAGAAAGCCACAAGCTTCAGTATTCGTATTTTCAAGCATTGTGGATAGAAGTCGAAAGGTATGGTAAATGACATTTGTTTATTATTTTATATGTGTAAATGCTTGATATTTTATGTTTTCGATTGAGTCTTTGCTTCTTTTTTTTAAAAAATTTCTTACAAACGTTCAATGACAATGGCAGAAGCACCGCCACCACCGTTACAGACAGCAGCAACACCGTATTTGCCGCCATTGCTCTTTAAAACAGAGGAAAGTGTAGTAATGATACGAGCACCAGAACAGCCCAGAGGATGTCCCATAGCAACAGCACCACCCCAAACATTACTAAAATACATTGGATTAGCATTAAGGCCTAGTAGTATGGAGATTGTACTTACACTTTGTCAGCGGAAAGATTCAAAATCTTCTTGTTGGCACATGCAACAACAGAGAAAGCTTCATTGATTTCATAGAAAGAGATGTCCTCAGCAGTCAAACCAGCGTGCTTGATAGCCTTGGGAACAGCAAGAGCAGGAGATGTAGTAAAACGAGCAGGAGCTTGAGCAGCTTCACCCCAACCGCTAATCTTGGCAATGACAGGAAGGTTGTACTTTTCAATAGCCTCCTTGGAAGCAATGATGAGAGCAGAAGCACCGTCAGAGAGAGGAGAGGAGTTGGGAGCAGTGACGGATCCATTCTTGGGTTGGAAAGCAGGACGAACAGCACGGAGCTTTTCTTCGTTCAACTTGGCAACCTCATCATCTTGCTCAACAACACGATCAGGCTTACCACGACCACCAGAAACGGTGACAGGAACAATCTCTTCCTTGTAGTGACCAGCAGCGAAAGCAGCTTGAGCACGCTTATAAGACTCGATAGCGTAGTCATCCTGTTGCTCACGAGAAATCTCATATTCAGCGGCACATTCCTCAGCGGCAACACCCATCAAATAGTCGTTGTATACATCAGTGAGGCCATCCTTGACAATACCATCAACAACTTCAGTGTTGCCATAGGTTGAACCGAAACGTTGCTTGGGCAAGTAGTAAGGAGTATTGCTCATGGATTCCATACCACCAGCAACGATAACCTCAGCATTGCCAAGCATGATAGATTGAGCAGCCATGATAACAGCTGCACATTGACAATAAGGCACGCGTTGTTAATTTTGGATGTTTCATCACTTTATCTGGTACTACGATAAACTTACCCTTCATGCCAGAAGCACAAACCTTGTTAACAGTGGTAGCAATAGTCTCGTCCTTGAGGCCAGCACCCAGAGCAGCTTGACGGGCAGGGTTTTGACCAAGACCAGCAGACAAGACACAACCAAAGATGACTTCTTCGACAGCTTCAACAGGCAAATTAGCCTTCTTGACGGCAGCTGAAAAAAATACACAGTTTAAGTTTGTCATTCTTATCAAACACTCAATCCGTTTTACCTTCGATAGCAATGGAACCGAGCTTGGTTGCAGCCAAAGAAGCCAAAGAACCATTGAAACCACCAAGAGGGGTGCGGACAGCAGCAGCGATGTAAACCTCTACAAGAAGCACAACATGTCAGTCTGTGTTCAAGACCGTTCGTGCAATACATTGATCATATACTGCGTAAATGTCCCAATTTTTTTGCTTCCATGTCCCTTCCTTCCCTTACATCCATAAATAGACGCAATAACTTACCACGTTGAGTCATGTTGTAATTTGAAAAAGTGTATAAAGCAAGAGAAAAAGCGAAAATAAGTCTAGCTGCGTGGACATCAAAATATATATATCTGATTTCTTTGTGCAAGGTACACAAGCTGATTTGAGACGCTTTGATTCAGCCAATGACAGGCTGGCCCCGAATCAAGAAGGTTCCCCTTTTTTACCCCAAAATCATTGATTACGACACTGCAAATGTCTCATTTTCATCAGGAATAGACAGTAAAGAGATGAATTGATCTATCGAAAGCCTTGTTCGACTTTTTTTTTCTGTTGCAAAGAAGAATTTATTGTCTATCGACATGAAGCAGATACACCCTTAGCGGAGTCGTCAGTCCTTCAATCCCTCCCTTCACAGCTTGTTTTTGCGTCACTTGCGGTAGTCTGTGCAGAATATTTAAGGGCGTATCCTACTGCTGATGGCTAATTGTGTTCAGCTTTCCTTAATGACTCATCAAAGCATCTGTTTGCTGGTGTCTGTAATTTAACATAGTAATGAGTATACTGGTAATTCAACGTGAGAAATAAAAATTGGTTAAAAAAAAAAAACTGATGCGTGGGATACAAAAATCTGTGGATTTGGAAGAAGCTCTGATCTTGATCATTTTGCTAACAACTGTAAGATTATCCCTTGGAGAGCTAAAACTACGGCATGAGAAACTTCTATTGATTAGGGAAAAGCATACTGCGACTACGAAATGTACGATATATACATCACTTAATATCAACGAATTCATCAAATGGCTGTCTTCTCTCCTCCCGGTGCTATTTCCGATAAGCCTTGTGGGTGAGAATTTATGCTGGTCATTGTGGGGGGTGTTATCAGATTTGAAGCAGGCCCTGGACCCTTAATAGTCGAAAAGTTGCGCAGTAGATGATATCTAATGATGCACAATACAATCACCAACAAGTGCTACGAATAAGCATCATGATTATGTCAAGTTGAGCTGAAGATAGTAGTCTTCCATTCCTAGATTGCTGAGAGCCGAAGAACGATGTAGATGCCTGATGCGACATTCACTCGACTCTTTGGCTTTGTCTGTTGATCCGAGAGCTACATGTGCCAACATACTGGCATTATCATTCAACCAAGTGTCACTTGTACGCAATCCATTCGTTTTGACAAAGCTTGCGCTGATACGGAAGCGATGGTGTCAAAGATGAAATTAGCCAGATTTAGACTTTAAGTTCAAACCAACGTAGCTTTACCATGAAGAGCATACCTCAAGAATGGCAGGCCTGTAGTAGTTATGGCTGCAACATATCACCGTCTAAGGTTCTTTGAGCATTATAATATATATTTTTTTTGTTGTTGTTGTTGTAAATATCTCAAAGAAACCTTGCAGGAAGTTTGGCTTACATAAGATTCCGCTATTGTTATATAATATTAAACTAGTGTAAATAGTTTCATTTGGTTATGCAACTTTGAACACGCCAAGCCCATACTTTACTTGTATTCTACACAATCGACTGCATGAGAGTCAAAGCAGGCGTAGCAAACCTGCTTAGAAACAAATGGATAAAGAAAGACGATATTTACTGCTAATAGTTTGATAAGATTACTTGTCAGAAGTGAGGCAACAGCATCATTTAGACATATTTTCAAAGAAATGGCATATCTTGCTGAGCTTAACGTATCACATTATAAAAGATCAGCAAAGCGTGCGTGTTGTGCGTCTATAAAGCCGCTGTAGGCACACCTAAAGAGCTAATTATAAACCTCGGTTTTCAGAACGAGATTTGTAAGTTGAAGCTCGTGCATTGCTTCTCAGTTGATGGAGTTTTGAAATTGATCATGGATGATCTGCAATAACAAACAGCCTTATACGAGACGTGTGTCCAAATGTAGCAACGTTAAAAGCATTGCTATCATAGAGACAAATAGGGAATGTTCATTATCATCTGATGTTTTGATGATTTTTCTATTCAAATCATTGACAAATTTCCAAGAAAAAGAGGTGATTTAAAAAACCTAAAAGGCAATTTGTATATTCAACCAACCAACCAACACCAAAAGCCCCCCTTTTTATTTCATTAATAATCTTACCCCCTACAAATTTTTCTTTTTTTTCTCTCTCTCTCTCTCTCTCTCTCTCTCTTTCTTTTCTCTTTTACTAAACCTAAACAGAATGACAAAAGAAAATCTCTCTCCACCTGCAACACCACCCACACATAGCCCTGTTCCGTATAGATTGAACCTCCAACACCAATTGCTATCGTCAACGACAACAAAAGTACAAGACACTGGAGAAAATCAAGATCATCTAGCCAACCTGAAAAACTCCTTTCACCTCCTCACAGCGACACAAAAGCAATACTTTTTGTTTGATATCATAAACAGTTGCGACAACTCACAGCTCACTTTTCTAAATAGCATCATTGCACCTCGTCTTAAAGTCGACTTTCTCAAAGAGCTACCGCCAGAGATTGCCTTGTCAATTTTATCTTACATCACCGTGCCTTCTACATTGGCTCGTGCAGCTTGTGTCTCTAAACACTGGAGCGCTTTGATACGTGACGAAACCCTCTGGAAATCCCTCTGCAAAACACACAACTACAAATCACCCAACAAAGATGGATTCTGTTATCGAGAGTATTTCAAGCGCAAATACAGTATTGCATCCGCCTGGCACACAGGTGGTAAAGTGACCACAGTAGACAATGGCTTCTCACAAGGTCTGGTGACTTCACTGCAATTCGACGAAAAATTCACTGTAGTTGGATGCGACAACCATCGTATTGAAGTGTTTGATACCAATTCTGGTAAAAAAGTTCGTACATTGGAAGGCCACGAAGGTGGAGTTTGGGCATTGCAATTTAAAGGAGGCGATGAGCAAGATCCTGAGAGAATATTGCTTTCCGGCGGCTGTGATAGGTAGGCACTTGAACGAAAGAGAGAGAAAAGAGAGAAATAAGGGGGGATTTTGGAGGTTGATTTGAAAGGGATTGCACAAGGGCTTTTGCTTATTTCATGTTTTGTTTAGGGATGTACGAGTTTGGGATCTAAATCGTGGTAAATTGAAATATGTCCTCCGTGGTCACTCATCGACTGTCAGATGTTTGAAAATAAGAGATAAACGGCTTGCTGTAACTGGCTCACGCGACACAACATTGCGAGTTTGGGATATCAAAAGAGGCCAATTACTACATATCCTTAGCGGCCATCAAGCATCTGTGAGGTGTGTCGACATTCATGGTGATATCGCTGTATCAGGTTCCTATGACTCCACTGCAAGAATCTGGGATTTGAGCACTGGTGCCTGTAAATATATACTCATCGGTCATGTATCTCAGATCTATACCATTGTGACTAATGGTACAATCATTGCCACTGGATCAATGGATGCTCATATTCGAATTTGGTCTGTTGAAACTGGTGAATGCTTATCCACATTGCATGGACATACCTCGCTTGTGGGGCAGCTACAGTTATCTGGAAATACTCTTGTGAGTGGAGGCGCTGATGGCTGTTTGCGAGTCTGGGATATGGAAACATTTGAATGCACACAGCAATTTTCAGCACACGACAATTCAATCACCTGCCTACAGTTCGACGATGACCGTATCTTGAGTGCAGCAAACGACGGCAAAGTCAAGCTTTGGGACATCAAACGTGGAAGACTTTTACGAAACTTTACACAGCCATCAAAGATTGTCTGGAAGATACAGTTTAACAACACCAAAGCGGTTGTATTGATGCAGAGACCAAGGTCAGACGGATCAGATGAAGGCAAAACTGTAATGGAAATACACGATTTTGATTTATCCGCAACTTCACCCATAGAGGAATTGTAATATAAAAGCCATCTATACATTCTCACTATCTTATATATACTATACCATTTACTTTTGTATAATTGATTCTATGCTGTCTACATGATTTTCAATAAACAAGTAATAATTTTTAGGAAACCATATTCAAGGAATACAAAATCTTATTGACAACCCGCTTAAATGCAACATGGATGCTCTTTAGCATGAGCGTAAGCTAAAGATGTAATGCTAAATAATGACATGATGCATTGTAATTGTCTCTTGTTGCATTGCGCGAATGTATGATGGAATAAAGAGACTGTATATTGCTGATAATTCCCTTCATCGTTCACAGCTCGCGCCTTTTCTGATTTGGTAGTCCAAGTTTAATACCTATGACATGTAAACTACTTGATTAAAATTGCTCAAATTAGTGAATCAACATAAAAAATATGATGCATAAAATCGATAGCCTATTTAAAGGAGTACCTAATTTGTGTAGTGGCTCTGATAGCCTACCTCCCGCCTCCCCTCTACCTGAAAGCCTTGTAATATCACTAATATAGGAACAAGGAGATCTGATTGAATGAGGATGGATTTTGCAGGAAACTGCCAGAAACTTATTTAAACAACCGATTTCAAATCCTATATAAGCTTCCCCTTTGTTCTATTCCTTTTGAGTGTTTTCAATTGCAAATTACTAGTATAAACTCTGTACAAGATGCAGGTATCACCTCTATTGACACCAACAAACTTTATAAGCAATATCAAAAAGAGACCAAGAGCAATCATCGATGATGATTTTGAGTCGCATTATTTTAAAAAAAGATTGATTTCAACAATACCAAACCTGAAGCCTCCCTCACCCACTTCTACCACGAATAAATGTAAGTGATACCTATTTGACTTCGCATAACAGTCGTCATGATTGACAGTCGTTTAAAAATAAACATAGGCTGCAATAGAACACCTCGCTCTCCTAATTTCAATGATTCATTAGGGGGAAATGTTACACTATCACCAACATTAGAGGAGGAAGAAAGCACTACATCAAATCACCGAGCATCAATCGACGATACATCACCATACCCTAACCAAATACACTTGATGGATATCAATGGAACCTTGTTACCGATGGAGCAAAAACCTGGCGAAACAAAGTACTCTATCCCGGGATTTGTATTGTCTGACACTACAAACAAACCCTTACAGTAAGTGATCCAGACTACCAAGTGTCATGAATTTGAACTAACATTTTTTTTTTAAAAAAAAAATAAAAAGACCTCCGTCAGGGCAGTTAATCTTATACGAGAAGAATCCAGTCCTTGCCTCCATCGAAAAAGAACAACAACTTCACCAACAAAGTGACGACAATGATAGCTTGACAAGCGAGGAAAACGATAATGATTATGATCCAATGGATCTTGATTAAAATATATACACTGCTTTTTTATTTATTTTTATTGAATATGATGAACCTCCCACTGTCGTAAACTGTAATACTTCTCCATTACTTTTCCGTTACCATTGTCACAGGCGAGTTGGTAGTGATGTGTATAGTTTTGATAAAAGAATTTGAAAAGCGATAGTAAATTAACTAAAGCAGATTTAACTATCTAATGAGCACTAGGTTTATAGTTGTCCAACAAGAGTAAACAAATAAACAGAAGGAAAAGTAGAAAATAGAAAGAGATGTATATAAAAGAATATACAATGAATCGATTATAATATGAAAAATATATAAAGAATTCAAGGAATTTTACAAATGACAAATGTATAACATGAGAAGTGAAGTTTAGATAAGATATGTATTGAAATGTTGGTAAAGTACAAGATGGTTTTATTCATTGATTTTTGAGATTTATGCTTTTATACTATTTTGCTATTCTGTATATATGTAATAACGTCTTAGTTAACAAGGATTGAATTGAGATTTGATAATATTCATGTATTTCGATGAACGAGGGATAGCTTAATTAATGTACTTCATGGATTAAGAAGCATCTTCGAGTCAACTTGAGTTGTGAATGGAGCGGTAAAAAGTATGATGTCATTTATTTGTTTAACGTTGAAAAGTAAATGGATGATTGTATGTAGTGACAAGAAAGTGGACATTACGACTCGTAACATCATGGATTCAAAAAGCATTTGTTGTAAATCATAGTTTATAAAGTACCCCATATTCATAAGACATGTTTGACCAATCATTCCAAGAAGGTCTATTTTATTGACATCGTGTAGGCACTGAGCAGAGTCCAATCACAACATAATAAATTTATAGTCTATGTACATTTTTTATAACTTCAATATGCAAACTGAGCTGTCAGGCATTTGTGAGACATGTTTCATATATGATTAGAGATTTTATATTAAATTGCTATCAATCAACAATCAAGTTTCTTCTAGCATTTTTGCTATTATTATTAATTTTGCGACATTAGCCAAAGGTCTGCGGCAGTGGGAGCCACCTGAAAGTAGTTTGGCTTTTACCAAAACGAAGCGTAGGTCAGGAAACCGACCGAAGAGTCGAAACGCCCATTGTAATGTAATAAATTTATGGTCCCCAGACACTTTCAAAGCCTGAAAAAGGAAAGAAGCTGATCTAACAAGTATTTTGATAGACTGGCGCAGTTAAATATAGAATCCAAAGAATATAGCATGGTTAACTATAGTGCTATGTAATTTTCCACCTACTTTCCATACGCTGCAAAAGCATCTATTATTGTATTGCCTTCATGATGAAAAGGGCATTGAGTTTGCCAGCTAGCCCTACCAGCCAGATTCAATTCAAATATAGACTCATAGTCTGCTTTAGATTGGACAGATCTTGAAGATCTTCGACTCAATTGAACTAATTTAAAGGATTCGACTAAGTAAAAAATGATAACCATCCTATGTTTCTTTAAGTGTCCCTGGTGGTAGGGCGAAGTGGTAGAACTCCCGTATGCCAACGGGAGGATCCCGGTTCAAATCCTGGTGAACGCAAGTTGTTTGATTTTTTTGACGTAGTACTGATGTCCTCGTTTGGTGTTTTGTGCTCTTATCCATGATCTATATTTTGACGATTTCCGCAAGATTGTACTGGCTCTAGGAGTCGCACCTTATTAGTAGTAGATTTCTTTCCCAACTTAGTTCAAAAAATATCTTATTCCCCTTCTTTGCAGACATTGGGTCCACCAACAGTCTTTTCTATCCCTCAGCATGACATTTAAAGGACTTTAAATAAAACCTGGAGCTCGACTCCCCTACAAAAAAAAAAATATATATGTTTCTTTAAGCTTTCTTGGAGTGTTTTTCAAGGCGCACCCAATGGTACCAAATAAAATAGATGTTTTGAATAAACTTATTGAATAATTTACGAAAATATGAAAAAAGTTTTTGGTGAAAAAGTCGAAATTTTACATATTAAGGTCCCACAAAGATGATTTTAGGGGTTACGTTAGATCGATAGAAACATTTTGATCTGATATATCCCATAGTAAAAGTCTTCATTATCAAGGCCAAAACCGCGATCGTTTGATTTTCAATGAAAATCATGAGGGGTACCTCATGCTCATGGTCATGGCTCTTCCCGCTAAAAAACAGAAAACAGGTTCAACGACCGAAAGTAGCACCTCCAAGGCTACAAATACCGTTGTTGACGCATCATGGGCAAAGGTAACGAAGGGCATCAAGCATACAACGATGACCTTCAATCCAACGATCGTAAAGACACCCATCACACCTTCCACCGCCACCAGTGAATCGAATCAGTCTCTGATGACCGAGGACGCCACCGTCAGCAAAAGTGTGGAAATGGTTCGACCCTTCCTCAAGGGCATTGAAGACAACTCGGTGCTCATCGACATTACTGGTTTGCCTAATCAACAGCTCTTACGAGAGGCTCTGCAAGCATTCAACAAAGATGCTCATCTCAGAAAAGGCTACAACGATTATATCGGCAAAGTATCTCGCACTCGCAAGTATATGAATCGAGAGATCATGGAAACATGTTGGATCCACGACAGTCCTGGCCACATCGCAATCCTGCAGGGCTTCAATCTGACGGATGGGACCTTTGTCAAGGGTTTCCCCTCTCTTCCAGCTAATGATACTATAGTTAATGTTCGTTTAGACAGACTACCCATGGAGCCAGTTCCTGTCCTGAAATCTTTGATAAAGGATAGACTGTCACATTTTGGAGAAGTCTTGGACTATGGCATCTCCTTCACTCAGGGCGACTACGTCGGACAAGGCTATGCCACTCTGAACATCACCCCCAAGCCAGACGAACCAGCGTATGAAATCTTGGATCGAATTATCTACTTCAGATTGGATAATGGCACCAACCGTCAGGTCCTTCTCAAATGGCAAGATATGCCAGATTTTTGTCGTCTCTGTCAAAAACCGGATCATTGCAAAGCCGATTGTCCTGATGCCAAGAGGTACACGCAATGCTACAACTGCAATCAACATGGACATGTCAGTCGCAACTGCCCTAGACAGGATAACACTGACACCCCCAACAAGAAGCCCACTACGATCCCCAGGAAAGATCGCAAGGTACCTACTCCGATCATTCCCCGAGAGCCCAACCCTCCCATTGGCCCTAGAGTGGTAGTAGCCAAGACCCAGGAAACCACAGACACTGAGTCGGCCAAGAAGCAACAGCAACAGAACAAGCCTGAACCCACCAAGGAGGAGGAAGAGGGTACTGATGAGGACAACATGAATATTGATTCTCCCACTCCTCAACCCAAAAGTAACAATGATGACGTTACACCAAATGCAGATGCTGCGAGCGCACAGACATCTGCCAACAACACGCAAACATTGACATCATTTAATGCAGCTGAATCAACTCTGAATGGACAAGAGCTGATCAAGCAATTTATGCCTGATGACAGTATGAAGGAGCCTCTCATTCAGGAACGACCAGATCTGGAAGATGGCAGAGATGGCAAAAAGCTCAGAACGGAGCAGGAACAGCGCGCCAATCTCACCAGGCGCTTCACCAGAGGCAGTGCAGCCAGCAAATTCAACACTGTCACCGACAAGGGCGGCAAAGGAGCTTCAGACGACTCCCAAGGGCAGGAAACATCAGAAACTGCTCAGTCCAACCCTCAACACTTAGAATAATATGATGATTAGAGCACCTAATCATCGATTGCGGATTGCGACTCTCAACTGTCGTGGTCTGACACACAAAAACATAAAAAACGCAGAAAAAAAATTCATAAAATACCTCAAAACATCAGACATTGATATTCTTGCCATCCAGGAATCTCATGCTGACAAAAAAGATACTCAAGACACTTTAGATATGCAGTTTTCCAGCAAGTCCAGCACCTACACCAAACATTGCGGAATCATATCACTTAACAACAGATACATTATTACACCCATTGACACTGGCATCGACGGTAGATTTATACTAGCACACGTACATTATGCGACGGAAGAGGAACCAAACTCCTCCAACTCCATAGCCACAATACTCAACATATACGGAAAAGCAGCATCAAGAAAAGACAACGTGGAATTCTACACGGAATTGATGCAACACAGATTTTTGATACACAAGATTACAACTATTCAGAACAACATGATTATTTTGGGAGATTTCAACTACAAATATGAGTCTCGCCGATCTAATGGAACAGTCGAAGCAACTACAGTCGAATGGACAGCCTTATTGGAGGAATATTTCATCGATTGCTTTTGGGAAAACAAGAGCGCCACTTTTCATGGATCCAACAATCTCCATTACATCTTGGACTACATCTTCTGCAACAACACTTCCTATGGAACAGTTACAGAATGTACCCAGGAGTTTATGAACTCGACATGGACAGATCATGAAATGCTGGTCATTACTTTACAACTGCAAAAGGATGCAACACAGGGGCCTGGCGCCTACAAATGCAATCCCTTTTTGGCCAACAACCACAAGTTTCGTCGTGAATTGGTGATCTTCTTGCAAGGTCTACAGCCGCAAGTTGAGCTCAAGACAGCCACCCAATCCCCTCAAGAGATCTGGGACTGGATCAAAGACGAGTTTAAGGAGCATGTCCGACAATTCCAACTGGAAGAAGTCAACTGGCGTAGAAAGGCACTGAAGACGTTACAAGCAAAACGGAATCGGTGTATGCGAGCAAAGAAGAACCGGGGACTGATATTTCAAGGGCTAGACACCATCAACCAACAAATTGGTGCGTTACAAGACTCTATCGCCGAAATTGAAGTCCTCAAATTAGGGAAGTATTGGAGAGAAAATGGAGAGAAAAATGCTGGGTTCTTGAAGAAACTCACCGTATCTAGACAGAATCAACGTCAATTGAAACAACTGAGGCATCCAGTTACTCAAGAATTGCATTCTGATCAAGGTACTATGAGCGAGATCGCTGGCAGCTTTTACACGAATTTGTACACACCAACTCCACCCGATGCCAGATCAATGCGGCTATTGTTGGATCAAATCACACCTGACATGCAACTTGACGGTGAACAGCAATCACTCCTCGAACTACCAGTAGAGCTAGATGATTTGTTGTTTGAATGTAAAAGATCGCCTAAATTTGCGTCTCCCGGCAGCGATGGCATCCCTTACCAACTCCTCCGGCTGATTCTCAAGTTCCCGCCCCTCCACTCTCTCATCACCACGGTCTACAATGATGCCCTCACCAAAGGCATATTTCCTGCGTCTTGGAACGTCTCCCTCATGACAATCCTCTACAAGAAAAATGACCCCAATGACATGGCAAATTATAGACCTATCTCCCTCTGCAACACTGACTACAAACTCTTGACACGTTTGCTTAATCATCGAATGATGGAAGTCGCTAAGCAACTGATCAACGAGAACCAAGCGGGATTCGTACCTGGGCGGTTCATTGCCCAAAACGCTCTGCGGTGTCAGGTCATAATGGAAGATGCTGAACGAACCATGAACTTGGCCAAGAAGAACAATGTGATACACCAAATGCCCAAAGCAATTGGCCTTAGTCTTGATCAGGAAAAAGCGTACGATCGAGTTAACCTCTCGTACCTTCAAACAGCACTCATTACTTATGGCTTCCCTGCTAATCTTGTCCGCTGCATCATCAACATGATGGGCCAAAATCTCTTGCGCATCAATGTGAATGGTTACTTTACTGATGATATTCCCAAGCTGCGAGGCTTAAAGCAAGGTGACCCCATTTCCTCTATTTTGTACAATTTGGCTATTGAACCCTTTCTGCGGTCTATTCTCAATGATCCATTATACCACGGCTATCAAATGCAGTATGCAACTGACCATCCCAACTATAATGCTAATGACCCTTTAGTTCATGTGTCAAAAATCCTATGTTACGCTGACGATGCTTTTGTATTTGTTCAAGACCTTCCTGATCTGGCAAGACTCGAGTACCACTTAGATGTCTATTGCAATGCAACCAATGCCAAGATTAACTACAACAAGGTCGAAGCTATCTCGCTCTCTGGTCAAAACACATGGTCATATTGGCAAGCACGACTCTCGGAAATGAATATCACAAAATTCACATCCAACAAGGATTCCAATCCAGTGATCTATCTCGGGTTTCCTCTGCTGCAATCGGTTCAACAACGTGAAGTATTTATCGGTGGTCTTGTCGACAATCTCCGGACAGCTACCAAAATCCACAGTGTAAGAAGTCTCTCCGTCGTTGGCAAAGCTACAGTGCTCAACAGTTTGATTTTGTCCAAATGCTGGTATGTACTACGAGTAACTCCGTTTGCTCAAAGTAATGTCCAAGCTATCCAGTCCATTTGCACCAAGTTTCTACGAAAAGGCATCTTTCCTGTTATCCCCTGGGCCACATGGACCAAGCCGAAGCCATTAGGTGGATTAGGTGTTCTGGATGTTGCTCTGCAACAATCAGCCCTATACTTTCGTTGGGTTCAACCGCTCCTCCATCCCTCTGACTCGCCCCACATCCTAGATCTCATGCTGGTCATGCTAGTGAATAAGCAAAATCAGAGTGCGCATGTGCAGGTTCCGTTGCTCTTTCCCCTCACACGAACCACTGGTCTCACCAAACAACGCACCAACACGGTAACAATGATCTACAAATCAGTTGACCGCCTCAAACGCATCAATGAACCAGTTCACCTCAATATTGCTACCGCCTCAATCCTACCTGTCAAAGCCATTCTGCAGCCGTCTGCCACTGTCTCCAAAATGCCGATTAGGGCCACTCAGTTGCAAGTAAAGGATCTTTATCAACCCAATCCTGACCAACCTCTGCAACTCGAAGCACGAAAAGCACCAACCATCCCAGCTGACATTCGACGCGCTTGCAAGAAAATCCTGAGGCAAATCAACGAGAACAAAGTACATATCCAGCCGTACTTTAGCCTCATGCTACAACCCCCTCAGGGTGGCACCAACCGCACAACCGACATCTCCTTCAAACCGTTTATTGACTCCTATGATTTCAACAGCCAGCAAGGCCTCACTCGACAGATTTCAACCAGAACATTCCGCACAGCATGCATCGAGGCTCACACCTCCAGCATTGCCAGGTCCAACTGGAATTTCTTCTGGTCTCTGTCCCTGAACCTTGTCCACCGTAATGTCATCTATCGCTTCCTCACCCACACCATCCCGACCAAACGCCTGCTACACTACTTTGAGATAGCTGAGTCACCTCTCTGCCCGATCTGTGGTAACGAAGAAAATGCTGTACACTTGCTTTTCCTCTGTTCCAGTAAGGCATCCATCTGGAAAGCTATCATCTTTGAATTCTTGTGGCCAACCGTTTCGATTGGTGATATTATCCAAGCCTGTTCCTCTCTTGACTTTGAAAACATCAAGTATGTCTCCAAATCATACACCACTGCTCACATGGTCGTACTGGTAACACTTGGCAACATTTGGCGAGCTCAAGTTCGTATGATCTTTCACTCGACTCCATTTATATGGATCGATGTGGTCCAGCAGATCAAGAACGAGCTCCTTCAACTACATGCCCAAACTGAAATTCACAAGCAATTGTAATTCTCTAATCACAATTATCATCTATCATCTGTTCCTGTCATCTATCGCTTTATCCTAAATACAATTGAATATCATATCAATTGCGCCCGCCTCTTGGTAGTGCCCTAGGGACCTACTTACACGGAGCAATCAATAAAAACAATTTAAAAAAAAAAAAAAAAAAAAGTACCTCATGCTTTTTAGTCGATTTTTGGCCATGATTTTTTGGTCCCCAAAAAGTTGAACAAAGGTGTCAAAAAGTTACTGTCGGATGAGAGCAACTGTTTGGTGCCGTTCTGACGATCTAGGACGGCCATGAACACGGAAAAATGCAGCTCAAATGCACACAGGTTTTGCTGTATCAGGGAATTAAGGATTAAAAAGGGAAAGCACCAGTATGCTGCTTGCCCGTATATGAAGTAGCCACGTGTATATGGATGTAGAGCACCACATAAGAATCAGATCCACAGATAATATGAAGGGTTTTCATGTGTAAGTGGAGGATCAACCTGAAAGTAACAATTATTTTGAAGAGATACGCAAGAGCAACTGGTAGCGCGAGCTGCGAAGGTAGAGAGCCATCCGAAGCATAAACACTCGTATTCAATAATGTGTCAGGTACACACAGACTTTGTGTGTAACTTTTTAATTAGTATGAATATCAAACAAATTTGCAAAATAATGTTACAAATCGACTTTGGTTTTGTAACTGAATCTCTCATTTTTTGTTGTAAATTGCCTACACTATTGAATAAACTACGTTTCATTGCTTACTATATTGGATTCTACTTCTGTTACTACAAATTGACATTAAACTCTTAAATGCTTCTTATATTCGAATATACTCTGAATCCTATCTCAAGAATGACAAATCAGTTACCACTCAGCCTCGTACCATTTTGACAGATATATATTCAAATTCTTAAACATCTCTCTTTCCTAATGGAAGCACACAAATGGGAAGCAACTCCACATTACCCATCCTTTCATCCTCTAGTAACATTATCAATATTATCATTCACCATCTTTCAACAACAAATATAGCTTTCCAGCTATAAAAACTGTTCAAGCTTTTAGGATTATTAAGGGTATCAAAATCAATTATAGAAGGGCCAGCCCTTCATTACAAATTATAGCATATAGAAACAGAATTCAGGACACATAATTCATAGAATTTAATTAATATAAACATTCAAATGATATCAAACAATAAAATATTATCTTATTCCTACCTGAAAATTATATCTATATAGCTCTATAGCTCCTTAGCTTTGTTATTTCATTGAACTTATCAAATATAAGATCCCTTGAATCCTTTGTATACATTAACGCATTGATTCATTGTACTTTATCTACTATTATCACTTTATTTACACATCTCTTTCTTTGCTTTTATATTCTTTACTGGTTGGACAACTATAAACCTGGTGCTCATTTCTATAGACGAATCTGCTTTGGCTATTTATCTATATACTTACTCTATTATCATTCTTACTATTCACACAACATTGAACCACTTTGTAACAATAATAAACGTCATCTTTTATTTAAACTTTATTCTTTTATATACGTTTGTCTAAGTCTACTCACGACAAATGGTGAAAACTAGACAGAGGGGAAAAGTAATTGTACGCTAGGTACACTACATTTTAGTTGAGTAAAAATTTCTCTCCGGCGGGGAATTGAACCCCGGTCTCCCGCGTGACAGGCGGGGATACTCACCACTATACTACCGAAGAATCAGATGCGATGCTTGGTCTCCTTCAGCATTTGTTTGATGAAGTGTCTGTTCAGGTCTTGGTGTCTGGTGCTGTTTCTGCTGGTTTTTGGCCTGGTACTGGTGTGTTGCAGGGCTCCATTTTGAGTCCTTTTCTTTACTCCGTGTACATCAACTCTCTGCCTGCGGTGTTGCGTGCTCCATTTAACCCTCGGGTGGTGGAGCGTCCTCCTCGTTTGTATAACGGTCTTTGGATCAATAGTTTGATGTATGCTGATGATGTGGTGCTAATTGGAACTGCCGAGTCTATGCCTTTGTTACTTGCTCGTGTGGAAGCTCATTCTGTGTCTCTGGGTTATCGGTGGAACCCTCTGAAATCTGTCGTCCTCAATGCTGGTGTTGGTGGTGGTGCTACTGGTGTCTCTCCTAGTCTTGGTGCTGGTGTTTCTCTGTCTCTCTATGGTCAAGCTATACCTACTGCTCACTCTTTTACCTACCTTGGTTTGCCGTTCAATGTGAAGGGTAGCTTGGACACCGATCTCTTATTGACTAGAAATAGTCAATCAGCGTTAGGTGCTATGCGTGGTTTGCAATCTCTTGGCCTTCATTCTGCTGGTTTCTCCAAGCTCCTATCTGCTAAACTGTATGCGGCCTTTATTCGGCCCAAACTTGAGTTTGGTCTGTCTATTTCCTGGTTCTTGAAACGTCATTTAAAGCTTTTGGAAAAAGCTCAAAATCAGTGTCTCCGTCTGGCTTTTGGTGGCCATCGTACCTCTTCCGTCGTGGTTTTTCGACATTTAACCAATCTTCCCACTATGGAGGAACGTGTTGATATTCTGACTAGTAAAATGCTCTGGCGGGTGCATACGCAACTGCCTGGTGATACTCTTCTTATGGTTTTGGCTCCCTCACTTGTGTCCTTCAAGCATCGTTTGAACAAGTTGGCCGTCAAAAATCCAATCTGGGATCCTACTTTTGCTGGTGGTGGTGCTGATAATTCTCTTGCTTTGGATCGTCGTGGTCTTGCTGACAAGATCAAGGTGTATCGTCTTGATTCCCTCCAATGTCGGTTACATCCTGCTCCTCCTGTTTCTCCTCCTGTTCTCCTCTCTGCTTGTCGTCCTTCACTCATGGTTGATCCCATCCTGTATCTTCCAATGTCTGTGTTTGACCGTAGTCGTATTCTCCGTTGACGCATGGGATGGCTACCTGCTAGGCCAGCTCCATGTCGTTGTGGTGCTCCTCACGCTAGCCGCAACCATCTGCTAGAGTGTCTTGGTGTTGTTTCAAAGCTTTTGTTTACTGATGATCCTCTTGGTGCTGGTTATTTGCCCAATCCTCTGGACTTTTGGCTCAACCGACTACCTCGTATGCAACCTTCTGCCTCTAAACTTGTGTCGTCTCGCTCCTTTTGGTCTGTTCGCTGGCCTGTCATGCTCCAAATCTTTTTGGATATTGACATGATCTGTCATCCTGATGCTGAATTTACTGGTAAAGCTCTGGACTTGTCTGGTTCTGCCTTTCTCGACTGGTTGACCCCGGTTTCCTCAGCTACCTCTGTTTCGGGTACGCCTTCTATCTCTTCCTCAGATAGTGCTGGTATTACTGTCGCTATTCCACATCTTTTGTCTCACTAAGATGCTGTTTCTCTGCTGTCCTTTTCCAACTGTTTTCGTTTGCCTTTTTTTGAACCAAGGATTTAATCTTTAAATTTTTTGTTATTTTTTTTATATTCTCTTTCCGAATTTATTTCCAGCTGTCATCATTTTGATCCGCACTATAATGAGCACTTTGCCCTACAGGGACGCAGCTCCAATATTATATCTCTTCAATAAACATTTCAACTATACTACCGAAGACCACTTATACTGGTAAACCAGTACGTTTTTGTGGTAGCAAAAATGAGGGAGCAGATGAGTAGGTTCAGATCAATAAACCTGGGAGATGACAACCAATTAATCTCTGTTCAATTGCAGCACCTTGGCCGACTGAAAAAACCAACTTACAATAACAGGTACCAAAAATTGATGTGTCAAATGTAGATTTAGAGAAAAGACTTTGAAGGGTGTTCGAAATAAAGTATTTCTTAGTAAAGATGATATGTTCATTTATTCAAAACTTCAAGATTATTTATAGCTTTCCAATTCCTGTATCGTTGTAACTTCATTGCTTCTTGTTCAATTCCAAAGGTTGCCCATGAAATCTCTTCGCATGTTGTTTATTCCAGTGTCGATGTGGATGTGGTGGGAATAATGATTCATCTTGACATGCGTTGCCAAGTGTCTAGTTTGGCGTGAGAGTCTTCATCCATGTGTTGCTTATCTTGTTTTTCAGTTAGTGCTTGCTTTTGTTGGGTGTGAGTATTGATTTTTGAAGTGATTGCTTGTTTGATTTGTATAAATATTGATGTTTGATAGATAAGGTCAAATTGTTGAGAAGATGAACGCCTTTTAAATGTGTTGCTAATTATAAGTTTGGTGGTTTTACATTGTTTTCCTTATGTGATGCTGTTGGTGTCATAAAATGTGTATACTGGTAATCTCCATGCGTGGACCTAAACTATCCCCTCACATTTCACATGAATTCCTCTAATTGAAGATAGGTTGATAATCTCAAATACATCCACCAAATACTGATGCAATCATGTCGTATGTTCTTGATGATTCCACATCCATACTTGAATAAACCTTCATTGATTTGCCTGCACCAGCTATTTGCCTTGTATTGATCATCCTCCCTCATCTCGAATTACTGTAACTCAACATTCTCAGAATGGTGCCTATACATACTCTTGTAGTGAATCTAGCTACGCACATGACCAGAAAGCACAAGTAAAACTAACAAACCATAGCGAACAACACGCTTATCAATACCTGTCAGATGCTAATACGTAGAGGTAGTATATGCAATCTGAGATCTGATCGAGATATAAATGGAAGTAGATATAGAGAGTGTGCAGGAAGATGTTATAGCCTTTTAGTTGAATGTATAAAAAGGTACTTACTATTACAGTGCGCGAAAAAAACGTTCCAGTGTTTTGCCAATTCGTAGTTTTACACTTACAGCTCTGTCAATTTTTTCCAGTTTTAAAACTAAAGTAAGACTACGAAAGCTTGGGTTTTTAGCCACAAAATGAGCTACTAAAATAATTGATACAGTAGATATTGAGCTAGTGCAACTGACGTGAAGTAAAAAATTTCGATTTTGTAAAATTGGAAATATCGCTTGATGACCTTATTGTTTGTATACATTCCACGAAAATAATCTGAGAGCCGTAATTTTTTATATCAGTTATGTTTAAAATGTTAGTTATCCGAGGAATGCTTAAAAAAGTATAAAGAAGCCTGAGATTTTGGTCTTTTCCCTCATTATATTTTACCATATTTACTTCATCACTTTAACATGACACGTCCCATTCCTCAGGAGGTTCAAGGATCTGTCAAGACTCTTTTCAACCAAGGTTGTTCCCTCCGTGCCATTCAAAAAATCTTCCCAGATTTGTCCTTCAGTGTACTTTCTCGTTATAGGAAGAAGTTTCTTGGTCATTCAAAAAAACATGCCAAACCCGGAAGACGCAGCAAAATCACTACGCAGAATATGAACTACATTGAGAGGAATCTCCGCAATGGTAATTTAGACGGCCCCAAGGGTGTGCAGTGCTACCATGCTCATATGGGAGTTCAGATGATTTTGAGGAATATACAGTATATACTCAAGCGCAAAGGGTTCAAGGCTAAAAGAAAGATAAAGACCAATTTCGTGTCTGCGGAGAACCGGAAAAAACGTCTTGTGTGGGCCAAGAGACATCGACATTTGACTGCGGACGATTGGCGTAAATGGGGATTTTCCAATGAAAGCAGGGTCAACATGTGGGGATCTGACGGCGAATCTTTCTACTGAACTGACAGGCCCACTGAGTTGATGCCTCATCAAACTGAGGCTCAAGTTCAGGGAGATGGTGGTGGCGTTGTTTTCTGGGGCATGATAACAGCGGAGGGACCCAGCTATGGCTCCACCATTACCGAAGGAACTGTTAACTCAGAAGTTTATGCTGAAATTCTGGACTCATCTTTGCTAGACACTATCGGGTACTATTGGCTGGACAAGAAAACGTTTAGATTCCAGCAAGATAACGCAAGACCACATACTTCTGGTCCCATTAAGAAATGGTTCACGCATCACGGATTCTCTGTTCAAAGTGTCCTTGATTGGCCCCCCCCAAAGCCCTGACCTAAACCTCATTGAACATGTCTGGCATCAACTAAAACGTCGTTTGAACAAGTGCCCTACTAGGGCCAACAGCCTTTCTAAGCTAGAAGACAGAATTAAACAGGAATGGTATAAATTCATAAAAGAAGACTGTCTTAAAGACATAGGCAGCATGCCACGCCGAATCAAAGCGGTTATCAAGAGTATAGGTGGTCCAACTAAATATTGAGCTTTTTTATAAAATTTAATAAATTCGACTGTTCATTTTTCATGAGGCTACCATTCTTTTTCTAATTACGTGAATAAAGTGCATAATATATCATCTGATAGCCAACTACTTAGGCTATTTATGAAACTAAGCAAACCTTAGTAGCTTTGATATTTGCAGAGAAAACTGGCTATAAGTGCAATTTGGCAAAACACTGGAACGTTTTTTTCGTGCACTGTATTTATAATAGGTTCTGAATGACAAAGTAGCAATTTATCTTGTACAACGTTTATCACATCTGGTGAACCTCAGTATTTAGATAGCTGAGATGCACTTCAATTATCATAGCTTGTCCATGCTGTTGCACAACACAGACATATCTACCCATCAAGAATACCTTAATCTTTATAGAAAGTTGTAGCCCTTCTGGCACAACAATTATTCTCATATGAGCCAGGCCAGATAGATGCCTTAAAACTCAGGTTCCATATTAGGGTTGTAAAGTGTCTAAAGACTGAACATTTATTATGTTATGATATTAATTCTCGATTCAGAGCAACTTCTGAAACCATGTTTGTGGGACCTTTATATGTAAAATCTCAACATTTTCGTCAAAAACGTTATTTCATAATTTCATGAATTGCTCAACAAGTTCAATAGAAACAGCTATGATAACTAGCATCATTGGATGCGCCTTGAAAAGTTCTCCTTGTAATGAAATAGCCACCCAAACGCAACTTAATTGAAAACCAAAGTTCATCAAATAGCACTCATTCAAATTCATGCTATTTGGATCTATTAATGAAAGCGCTCAAATGTACATCAAAAAACCATTTAAAGATACTAAAGTAAAGATGCATGCTTATATCGCACATCGCGTGAATGAATCACTCCTAATCACAGTTTATTCAATCACACCCATGATGGTCGTAATAAGTGATGCTATCTTTATCCAAATAGAATCAAATCAATAACAAGCATATTCAAATATGACAACTATGCCCTGCTGCCATAGTTGCACAATATCTCAGATAAAGGACTCCATATTTCAATAACGAACATCACACTTTAAACCATCAAGGTTACATTAAATCATGCTATGACGATAGCTCACCCAAGCCCATCAAGGTTACTCAAGTCGACCCTTATGGCCAGTGCTCCTGCATTGATTACCACTTTAAATCAAGCATCAACAACATTTGCCAGATATCGCAATAGCAGCACCAATTGCTCTTTATCATCACTAATCCTACAAGCTAGTTGCAAATGTATAAATACTCTTCTTTTTTTTACTCAATTCCAGGATCTTCAGTTCATTTTACACACAAATAAAATACAGTCGATTTCTATTGTATTTTATCTTTGCTTTATTTTTTTTTTGTGAAATCCATTAAACCCGATTTCACTGCACTCCTAGATAGCTTAAGGCTGTAAAGGATGATCACTACAACTTTCATAGTCGAATCTCGTAAAATAAGTCGATCGAGTTGCAAAAGGATCAAAAATCAACGAATCGTGACAGAAAGTCGAGCGGGATTGTAATCCGTTTTGGCTGGCTAAAAGAAGACTCTCCTTGATTGCTCAAAGCCCTATAATATAACAGCAATGATACCCACAGAAACGATTATAGAGAAAGCGAGACTCCTCAAATGGATAGCGTACGCAATGTGAGACCCAAAAAGGACAGGCTGGTGACATAAGAGAAGCGTGACATGATCCAAAGCAACAGAATAGCACACAGACAAAAATGATATTGCAGGTGAAGTTTAATTCAGAAACCTCCTTCTTTTGGAAATCCCACGGCCTTGTTTGATGAATTTCGCGATGTGTACTTTACTTAGAACCCTGAAAATAGTACCATTGGATTCCTCAAGCGATTTGCTTTCGAATGATGTACATACTTTCTAATAAAATATCCTCTCTTTGACCACAAATTGGCCATTTACTTGCTTATCTCTCTTCGATTCATGTCCTTTTGTTTACTTTACATGTGATTTTTTTAAAGCTCAATTTTGCTTAGCAAATGAATTATTTTGATCTTGCATGATCCGAGTACCTTCTAGAAGAGGACGATTCCTAAAAAAAAAAGATATGAAATGTGTTGACTCTTTATGGGATGCATGCTCTTGGCATAAGAACTAAAAACAGGTTGCAGGAATGATACACGAAAATGACCAACTCATTATGTAAATGTGGGCATATTGATGATATCTAGTAGCGCAAACACTTGATTGACATCATTGACAGCAACCATGATAGCTGGAAACAAGATGACTTGCACTGGTTCGAAAACAATTCATTATGTTCCATTCCATGGAGATAGCCGCAGTAATATTCATATGATACTCTTGCTTTCCGAGGTGTACGCTTGTCTCTTAATCCAGAATCAATTGTTGCACTGGCTCCAAGATGATGTAAGCAACAAGTAAGCCAACCTTATCATCCTGTATTGCCCAATTAGATGGAGAGTTTATGGCGAATACAAACAACAGAAGAGAAGGATCGGGAACTGTGTGATTTTGGAGAGAGAAATTAAGGGGAGGTAGAGAAAGATTACTTAATCAAGCAACCAGCTGCATTTGTTTCAGTGTCAAATGACATTTTTTGTTTACTTTCTGATGAGGCTGAGCCCGTGAGAAGTTGTCTGTTAATTACATCTAGGGAGAGATGGGGGAACTCGTTTCATGTGAAGGTGGAAAAAGGGCTTTTTGAAGTAGCAAAATGGACATAACTCGAGACAGAAAACAGTTGAAAGCCTCGGACGAAGCGGATCAAATAGAGCAAGTGTCAAACGTCAAAATGGTACTATTTTCACGCGCTAAAAGTAGTATATTGTGAAGAAAAGTAAAAGGAAGCGAATTTGAGTGTGGCAAGGATACTAGACTCACATAAAAGTCGATGAGAAGGATATAAATAGGGATTTGTTTCAACAGCTTTTCCCTCTTCTTCTTCATCTCATCTCTCTACAACAAGCAAAATACTCTATACAAGCAAACTCACTACAAGACATTTGGGCTCTCTCTCTCTACATATGGTCATCTAAATCAAATACTCTACTGTCTATTGGCCTCTACTACTGCTACATACAATGCCTTACAAATCCATGGTCCTCTCTACGTCTCTTGGTCCATGCTAGAAAAAGGCCACACTATCTTTGATACATGCAGACCTTGGTGAACTGTGCGAGTAAGTTATTATCTTGTTGAACGTATGAGCCATGTTGACTAACCTATTGATTACATAGTGCCGAAAAACTACTTTGTAGGGACTGAGTAGGATCACCGCTTCATAATCGTGGGTAGACTGCAGGACAAATCCATTGGTCATGCTACGGGATGATCACAAGCTTTATTGCCGACGAGAGTAGGGTTTAACCCTATGATCCGGAGATGGAGGCGGCTTGAGCGTGTCGATGATCTTGTGATGGGTGAAGCAAGTTTACACCTTGGTACCTGTTTATATAGTGTTGGTTCCTTTTATTGATGGTCAATTTTCTTTGCCCAAATGGTTTGTTACGCACTCATGCCACAGTACTTGTGTACTCATCTCATCTTTATCTAGTTACCTCTGCCATCTCATGTTCTATCTCATCTAAAGAAAGCTGTTCTTTCCAAATGCTATCAAGCCAAGTTCTCTGTGCCTTCTACAAGCTCCTAAAATGACAAGACTGTTCAAATATACCATCTCTACATCTATACAAGGTCAAGCCCTACTCTCATCTGTGCTTCCTACAAGCTCCTAAAATGACAAGACTGTTCAAATATATCATCTCTACATCTATACAAGGTCAAGCCCTACTCTCATCTGTGCTTCCTCTTACTCAATCAATTATCAAGACAATTAATGCCTGACATCTATACAAGGCCAAGTCGTTCTTATATCTCTGCTACCTCTATCTATACAAGTCAAAATAGCCTCAAAAATCTTAATCCATCAAGTATGGTGATCTCATAAACTCAAATACACATTAATAAAAAACAACCACGTCTTGTCATTAGCTTCAATATTATGCTCTTTTATGATTGCATCTTGTTTCAATGCTTGTACTGTCCTTTGATTGCTATGACCAATGTATTTTAAAGCCTGTACATAATTTAATCATATACATATAATTTAACGTCAAGAGATTTTGCCTGTATGTAATATCATAACATGATAAACTTATGGTCCCTAAACACTTTCAAAGCCTCAAAAAGGAAAGAAGTTGATCTAACAAGTATTTTGATAGACTGGCGTTATCAAATATAGATTCAAAAAGAACAGCATAGCTAACGATAATGCTCTATGATTTGCCATCTACTTTCCATACGCTTCAAAAGTATCTATTACTGTATTGCCTTTATGATGGAAAGGAGGGCATTGAGTCTGCCAGCCGGCCGCACCAGCCGCCAAAATTGATTCAAATCCAGAACATTTTTTCTGTTCAAGATTGGACAGAAAGCGTCTTTCTTCGACTTGATTCAATTATTTTGTAAGATTCGACTATATAAGTTGTGAAGATCATCCTTTGCTTCCTAATATAGCCCCTGGTGGTAGGGCGAAGTGGTAGAACTTCCGTATGCCAACGGAAGGATCCCCGGTTCAAATCCTGGTGAACGCAAGTTGTTTGATTTTTTGACATAGTACTGATGTCCTCGTTTGGTGTTTTGTGCTCTTATCCATGATCTATATTTTGACGATTTCCGCAAGACTGTACTGGCTCTAGGTGTCGCACCTTATTAGTAGTAGATTTCTTTCCCAACTTAGTTCAAAAATATCTTATTCCCCTTCATTTCAGACATTATTGGGTCTACCAACAGTCTTTTCTATCCCTCGGTATGACATTTAAAGGACTTTAAATAAAACCTGGAGCTCGTCTCCCCTGCAAAAAAAAAAAAAATTGCTTCCTAATACAATCTCAAAGTACTTTTCAAGACGCATCCAATGGTACCAAGTAATATAAATGTTTTGAATAAACTTATCAAATAATTTATGAAAATATGAAAAGAGGTTTCTGGCCAAAAAGTCAAAATTTTGTTTATGAAAACCTCACAAAGATGATTTCAGCGGTTACGTTAGATCGATAGAAACGTTTTGATTCAATATATGCCCTGGTAAAAGTCTTCATTTTCAAGGTGAAAAATGCGATCGTTTGATTTTCAATGAAAACCATGAGGGGTACCTCATGCTTTTTGGTCGAATTTCGTCCATGTTTTTTCGGTCCCCAAAAAGTTGAGCAAAGGTGTCAGCAAGTAACGGCTGGATGAGAGCAATTGTTTGGTGCTATTCTGACAATCTAAATCAGCTTCTAACACGAGAAATCACGACCTAAATGCACTCATATTTTGCTGTATTAGGGATACTAAGGACTAAAAAGGGGAAATGCCAGTATACTGCTTGCCCGTATATAAAGTAGCTACGTGTATATGAATGTACAGCATCACGTACGAATCAGATTCACAGATAATAGGAAGGGCTTTCATGTCTAAGTAGAAGGTCAAAATGAAAGTAGCAGTATTTTAATAAGATACGCAAGAGCAATCGGTAGCGCGAGCTGCCGCCGTATAGGTTGGTTCTCACCAAAGCGAAGCGAAGGTAGAGAGTCATTCAAAGCGTAAACACACGTATTTAATAAAAACATCTTTTTTGACTTGCTTGCTGGCCTTGCCCGTTTTACGGAAGTCCATTCGTCTTAAATATACCATTATACAGCTTTGTTAAAATCAGGAATGCAGCTTATGGATATTACATTTGAGCATGCATTGCTCTGATAGAGTCTTTAGGAGTTCAGCACTAGCCGCTGATTTAGAGTGCCTCGAGAATAGTTTCCTAGATTTTTCACACATCAGGAGATGTCAAGCAAAGAAAAAGAACCCTGGTAATGTATAAATGGGTAGCAAAAAGCTACTTTGTTAGTTACATACACTATGTTACTTGATCTCAAGCTTTGATTGGTTGTTATGACAGCCTCGCCATACTCGCCACTATTCAAAACGCCTAATATTGAACACATACACTTCAAGGCCAAATCTCTATATACGTTGTTCATGTTGATTTTAGCGTTTTGAGAATGACTATTGCTATCACAAAGGCTCAGAATCGTCTTATAAAACAAATTTGACGCTCCCTATTAATTATCACTGCAGCAAATCGATACTTGGAAGTATCTTTGATTCTGAACTTTTGCTTTCACTGCCCATACCAATGAATGCACATCTTAAATATAAGTTGGCTTCAGTTCAAGCCTAATCAACAAGAGCATCCGCTCAAGCATCCTAAATTCAATTGCATTCGCAATGAATCGTGGAATGAGAGACAAATCAATAGATATGACACAATTTGCTTGATATGAGCAGCATTAATATTATCATGTGCAACCTGGTTGTCTACAATTCATCCATCACTAACCTTATTTATAGGAAAACGATGATTTGCACTTCTTTATTCTACATAGTTCGAAAATGTGTTTTAATATATGAAATCACTCTAAATTTAGTCGAATTACATAGAAAATCTTCCAAAGCACTTTGGATGTCTGATACTTTAAGTCTCCAGCATGAATAATTTGCGGCCATCTCATGGATGCTTACATGATCCGTACGGCACACAGTGAAATGTAAATTTAGTATTCTGTAAATTCCATTTAGAGCGAGAATTCATAAGATATGTGGTACCCTCTCTAGAGTCTAAAGTACCAACGGTGATACGAATATCATAAGGCCTGTATTGGTTACAAATGACTACCTTAAAAGCGTTCGAGATCCCTAGGAATATGTAAGCATCCACATCTTCTTCTTTCTCCTCTGCATCATTTTATGATATCCAAATGTATCTATACTTGGTCCTGATCTACATCACATTGCTATCCCTAGCACAGGGTGGCGTAATCTTTGATAGCCATAACGAGATTCTTGATCTACACAACACATTGCGAAAAAAGCACAATTCCCCAGAACTGAAATGGAGTATTAAACTTGCCATTGAATCAAGATCTTTCGTAGATAGATGTGATTTCTACAAGATAGTAAATCACAAAAACTCAACCAACAATATTGCTCAAGGATATGCCAATTGGAACGATGCAATCTTGGGCTGGTACAGTGGGCATAGATATTACAACAAGCCCAAATACACCAATAAGGCAGGCCCTTTCATTGCCATGATTTGGAAATCATCCACCCATGTTGGTTGTGCCTCCTTTGATTGCGGTAAAGATGTAGGCCGACTGTATCAGTGCGAATACTCTCCTAGTATTCCTGTCGAATTAGTGTTTGACAATGAAGAATACATTGATAACATTGATGAATAAAGCGTATATTGTACCTTATCCTCACGTCACATTACAGCCTTTTGAGTTTGAATCCTATGGATCTTGCCTACGGGCGAATGAAGGGATGTCGGTGGAGGGGAAGGCCTTGCCCCAGTAAAATAAAATTTCTTCCTACTCCACTCGTCTTATTTTCTTTGTCTCTCTTTCCACTTGAATACTTGTTAAAAAAGATGTTGAAGCAAGTCGTGAATACCAATACCAGCAAGATTACTATGAAGCAATTCTCAACCAGCTCCATTGCACTTGCAGGCCGTCAAACTGGTGGTCGCAGAAAAGCCGAAAAGAAATTTGATGTTGATTTTATGCCAAAATTCGATTTTGATGACCAAACCACCATCGGTCATAACCTCTTTGACAATATCAGAGAGGTTCGCAAATACTTAAGAAAGACTGAATTCGAGTTGCCTAAATTAAATGGTAAGTTGTCTGTTACAACGGCACACACTTGACATTTCTTAACCGACCCCCTGGTTTTTTTTTGCTGATTGCAGCTTACGCCAAACCTTTCGAAGCACCCACAAAGGATCAAATCCTCAAGTTCAAGTCGCACATTTATCTAGGTGAAGGCCACCCTGTCGAGAAGAAAGCTGTCTTGAGCGTCAAGGTTGCTGATCTAGGATTGAGTGAGACAGAAAAGCACAAATTCTTATTATTGAGTGGACCCAGATACAATGTAAACACAGAGGAATTGGTCATGTCAAGCGAAAAATTCCCTCATCGCAAGCAAAACAAAAAGTTTTTGATTGATACTTTGCAAAAGTTGATCAAGGAGGCAAAGGTAGGCAACTAGATGGTTTACATGTGTGTGTATGTATGGCATTGATTGAGCATATGTGAATAACAGGATACCAAGGATACTTTTGCCGATATTCCTCTCGATTTACCAAAGCCCAAGCAAAGATTAGAATTTCCCAAAGAATGGATCAGATCACCAACCCCCGCCACAACTGTTCAAGCTACCACTGAAGCCAAGATCACCGAGGAATTGGGTCAATCCGCCAGCAAGCAAAAGACCGTTTAATTTTCTAGATATTATTATTTCAGCACGCAACATTTCCCTTTCAACATCTTCAATTTGTACAAAAAAAAATGACAGAATAAATTTTTATTTGATTTTTTAGAAATTAACAAGGATTTGCGAGTAGTGTAGTAGGCAGGTTGCTCTTCAAGGTGAAATTAGAATACATGACACCCCAATAAGCTTCAACACCAGTCTTGTAAGGCTCATCTCTGGCAGAAAAGTAGAGCATGTCAATGTTTCTTTGTCGAGTGACACAGAGAACGTTGGATAAGTACAGCTTTTGATTAGCAGATGAAGCAACAGAAGCACCAAAGTTACCACCACCAGATGGCCAGCCAGTCTCGCCAATACGGACAGGCTTACCATTCGCCTTTTGCTGGACAACAGAATCATAATGAGCCATTAGTGTGGAAGCACCTTGATTGGCAGTAACACCTTCCCAGTAAGGGAATGCGTTCCTATATTACAGCGGTTTGATTAAATCATGATGAATCAGTTATTTGGCATCTACTTACATTAATAAAAAGTCCAGTTTTTCAACTACAACGGGAGGGAATTCGTAGTAGACATCAGCAGTAGTGACAGAAATACCTTTGGGTTTGACCAAATCGCGAACAGTACCAATGTAGTTTGCCAATGAGTTTTCATCAGTGTCTTTTCTATAAAGTACCTCAGAACCAACAATAATAGCATCAACCTTGCTGAAAGATCCTTGCTGATTGTTGGCAAGAATAGCCTTCAAAGCAGCCATTTCAGCATCGAATGTATCGGGACGATCAATCCACATCCCCAAATAGATGTTCATGCCCAATTCATTGGCTGCACGCAATGCAAGAGCGCCTTCATTACATACAGACAGGGAAAAGGTACGCACACGGTTCGTATACTTTTTGATTTGAGCGAATTCAGCCTTGATGGTCTCGTAGGAGGGACAAGCATTTTGGTTGATACCGTAATTTAAACCATAAAAGTAGTTTTGAGCAGCTGCAGTGCTCAAAATGGAAAGTAGGATGAGGATCAAAAATTTCAACATGTTGGTTTCAATGAGTAAACAAACAAATAAATTAGATGGGTCCTTTTATACCCGCAAGGCTCTGCTTTTCTTGTCCTCTTCACCCTCGCCATCATTGCCCCCGAAACATGTCAACTTTTACCAGGTTATTTGGCTAAACAAGGGCTTTCCGTGTTTCGTTCATTGGCCTTGTTCCTGGGTGACGATCCAGTGCCAAGACTCTAGATCCATCTTATCAGTCTTATTTTGCTCAATTCGATCAATAGAAGGAATAGAATTAAATTAAATTCTAAAAAATATGATGACACTCTTAATCAAGATTGATATCGAGAGCCTGATACCTGGAACAAGGCGAAACAGACGAGAAAGGATTGAATATACACTTGCTTGATTTAGAATGTGTAAATGAGCTCTTATGTGTATATGTTTGCCAGTTGTCGTAGTCAACTAGTCTAACATGAACAAACTGTGATAGGCTCGATACAATGCGAAAATGAATTGCTCTTCTCAGGCAAACACATGAGCATTTGCAGGCAGGTCTGATATTAGTACAGAAATCAGAAGATAATCTGCCATCTGCCTTTAGTATTATTTAGAACAATTTGGCACTATTTTGCCTCTGTTTCGAAAGAAAGAAAAAACATCAGATCTATTTTTGACTTGAGGATCCCTCCCTTCAGGGCATATTAAAAATCATAGCCTTTCATGCAGTCTAAAGAGGATCAACATGGATGTGTCAGCATATACCTATTAATTTTATATATATACAAGCTTACCAACAGCAAAACGCATCAAAATTTGCATGAATTAGTCTTAACAACATCAACATGCCTCCTATTCGAATTAAAAGTTGCACAAGCTGCAGAACTGCCCTTCCAGAAAATTTCAGCTATCGAGGATGTGTTTCATGCCGTGTAAATAAAAGCTATAAAGCAAACACATAACCAAATTGGATAATTTTCAAGCCTTCATATCTTGACATGTAGTCCTTTTTGAGCCACCGAAATGACGCCAAACGATTGTACTCGAGCAGTAGTAACTTCCTGACACCTTTGCTCAACTTTTTGAGGACCAAAAAAAGAAGGCCAAAAATTGACCAAAAAGCATGAGGGGTACCTCATGGTTTTCACCAAAAATCAAACGATCGCATTTTTCACATTGAAAATGAAGACTTTTGCTATGGTATATATTGAATCAAAATGTTTCTTTTGATCCAAAGCAACTCCTAAAACCACTTTTATGAAGTCTCCATATGCAAAATTTTGACATTTTGGCCAAAAACTGTATTTCATATTTTTGTAATTACTCAATAAGTTCATCCAACACATCTATCTTATTTGACACCATTGAAAGCGCCTTGAAAAGTACTTCAAGAATGTATTAGGAAGCATAGGGTGGTCATCATAGTTTATATAGTCGAATCTTAAAAAATAAATTAAAGAAGTCGAAAAAAGACAAAATCTGTCCAATCTTGAACAAAAAAAAAAAAAAAAAAAAAAAGTGTCTGAGCGTAAATTATTTATGGCGCTGCTGCTGGCTGACACAAATGCCTTTCTGATGGTGGTTGGCTTCTCAGCCTCTTTCTCAATTCAGATACACTTTGCTTTACATAACGTTACGTAGGAGTTTTGTAAATATTAGGCCAATCGTTAAATAAAAATAAAAGTATATCTACTACAGTTACATTAAAAAAAAAAAAAAACTTTCTGATGGTGGCAACGATGATTGCAATGCTTATTAAATGAGAATCACAAATTTTAAAGGACAATTTCTTAGCTTGAATACCTTTTTCTTTGCTTTTGTTGGAATTTTTCGTTATAAAGGTGTCTTTTGCAATGACAATCTCTCAAAAAAAATTACTGTAGATCTCATTTACCCATGGCCAGCTTTATTACGACACCGCCTCAAGAGGAATATCAGCGAATGATAAGACAATTCTACTATCAGAAAATGTGGTATACCAAAGCTGCATACTATTTTAACTTTCTTTCGCATCGTCTCAATAATAGCTTTTGTTTGGTATCAGTATATAAGCAAAGGGGAATGCAGGGAAGATACCTTCCCCTACCTCCACTTGACTCTGATTTAACTTTTACTATTAATGTATTGTCTAAAAGCTACTTGATATACTATCTCTGATTTGAAATGTCTTCGGCGAAAGCCGCAGAGCGATGTCCTCATCGAGCGTAACGATATTGATCGACTAGTTGATGTATACTCCTGTTCCGTTTCCATGATGATAATATGAATTAATTGTGCAACGGCCACAATGCGTGTGAATATACAATATTGCAGGTCTTTGCACGTAATATGACATAACCTGATGAATAATTTGAAATGCATCGATAGCGTATGCTCTGCTTTTCATCAAAACCGCAATATGCGACTACTGCAAACATTTGACAAATAAAATTTACGTTAGCTGTTGCCATAATCTCATTACACAAAGCTTTGTTCTTCCGTTCGATTGATTATTCAGCAAAATGCTAAATTTGAGCGTTCATTTGTTATTTTAAGACTACTAGCTACTAACATGTTGTGAGCAACCAGGATTGAGGTGACTTTTGGGTAAAACTAGCATAGTTTGAGAGTACAAAACGACTGCGCCTGTTGCACCTTCGAGTAACACACACTGCTAATAGCAAGGTTTGCAATTGTATACACAAACAATGCAGTATTCCCTCCCAGATGTACGCAGCCCAAAATAGGCCTTGGCTATATAAATGCACTTCTTGTCTTGCTTGTTCAAAGTAGCATACAAAATCATAAATAACAATGTCTGAATTCGAGGGATCCAAAATCTATTACTTCAAGAACGTTGGCAACAACCGTAAATATCCTCTGCTCAAAAGATATTACAGAAATCTAACTGCAGTGTATAGCTATCCTGGGCCGTGGTGACCCTCTGCGATTGTTCTTTGATGATGCTGGTATTAGTTTCGAGTTTATCAGAGTTACGTTTGGAGAATGGCCAGAGATGAAGCAGAAATTGATTCAAGATGGCCATCGTATGCCCACTCTGCCTTACCTGTTTACCAAGTCTGGCAAGTTTTATGGTACTACTGCTCCTCTTCTCAGATACATCTCGAAGAAATTGAACAAGTATATTCCCAAAGATCCCGAGGATGAGTACTTGGCTGATGCTTACGCTGATGTGTATCTCGATTGGATGAGCAAGTGGGTGGAGGCTTTCCTCAGCAAGGAACCCAATGCCATGAGCGACTACGAGAACAAGTATTGCGCCTCTCAACAGGCCAATTGGAATAATATTCTTGGTGACAGAAAAGGGCCTTTCATTTTTGGTGATGAGGTATGTGATCTGCACATTTAAATGTGGATAGTTATAGCTAATAGTCGACATTCCCAAAGATTTCATATACTGATTTCTTGCTCTACCATCAATTAAACAACGATTTTGGCGCCAAGGTCAATGCTGACAAGTATCCTCGTATCGCTGAATTTGTAAAGGCTATTCAGAGCAGACCTTCGCTTCAAAAGCATTTCGAGATTGAAAAGAAAGAGTTTAATGAAATTCAAAATGAAAAAGGCCAATAAAGAAATTAAATGATCAAAACTGAATTCCTAGATATATTCCTGCTGATCTCAATGTCTTATTGCATCGTTTTTCCTCACTTTACATATTTGTAGATGTGTTTTGCTCCAGTCGTAAGCAGCAGAGCAAGTAGTTGATTCCACAATGCATCAATGCTTCATAGTGGCTTTGAGAGGGGCATAAAACGACTGTTTATACTTGTCAAATCCAGAAATACATATTCCTCGAGATTTTTTTCGTTGTTCTTTTTCCCTACATCACTTGAAAGAAACTCACCAATGGCAAAGAATAAGAGCAAGAATAAGGGAAATACGCAAAAGGCACCTGGAACTTATACCTTGCCCAAGGTGAAGAAGATGGCAGAGAGCGAAGAGCCAGTACAAAATGAAGAGAAATACATGAGGGTTGCACCTGCTTCTGAAACCAAAGTAAGTTTGACATTTTTGACATGTAGCATGGCTCTAATCTATAAAACTTAGAAAATTGCCGATAGAAAGTTAAAAGCAAAGATCACTCATCAAGAAAAGAACAGCAGAGATGCTGCTCGTGCAGCTGCCAGAGCAGAAATGTTGTTGCAAGAAGAAGGCGGTTATTTGGAAGCTGAAGGTCTTGAAAGAACCTTCAAGTTTAGACAAGATCAACTTGCTCCCAGTTTGGATGTCAACACTGTCAGCAAGGTAAGCATGCTAGTATTATTCTGACCAACTGCTATAACCAACACAACCTATCTAGATCTTTTCCCTCGATTTACCTGAATTTGGACCTTATTCAATTGACTATACCCGTAACGGCCGTCATTTATTGATTGGAGGTCATAAAGGCCATATTGCAGCTTTCGACTGGCAAACTGGTGGACTTCATTTCGAGACACATGTCAATGAGACTGTGCGTGATGTTACGTATGTTGAAATGTCAAAATGTATATGGATCATGAACTAATGACAATTGTATAGCTGGCTCCACAACGAAACATTATTAGCAGTGGCACAAAAGAAATACGTCTACATTTACGATAAATCAGGCCTCGAAATTCACCGACTTCAAAACCACACCTACGTTGACAAGCTCGAATTCTTACCCTATCACTATTTACTTGCATCGATTGGCAGCAATGGTTATCTCAAGTACCAAGACACATCTACTGGTGAACTTGTCGCAGAGAAGCGAACAAAGCTTGGGCCCTGCAACACCATGACACAAAATAGATACAACGCCGTTATTCATCTTGGCCATCAAAACGGCACAGTGACACTGTGGTCACCATCCATGCCTGCACCCTTAGTGAAAATGCAATGTCATCGTGGACCTGTGCGAGCAGTTGCAGTGGATAGAGGAGGACATTACATGGCAACATCTGGAGCAGATGGACAATTGAAGATTTGGGATATTCGCACTTATGGATGTCTCCAAGAATACTATACACCTCGTACAGCTACATCACTCGACATCTCAGATACAGGCTTACTGGGCGTTGGATTAAATCAACATGTGCAGGTCTGGAAGGACGCCTTTAGAACAAAACAACAATCACCTTACATGTCACACTTGGAAGCTGGCTCTATGATTCAAGATCTTAAATTCGTACCTTATGAAGATGTGCTGGGCATTGGTCACCAAAAGGGTATTTCTAGCATCGTTGTGCCTGGTGCTGGTGAGGCCAACTTTGATACGCTTGAAGCCAATCCCTTCCAAACCAAGAGACAAAGACAAGAGACTGAAGTACATACATTATTGGATAAACTTCAGCCTGATATGATCATGTTGGATCCCACACAGATTGGTAAAATCAACAGATTAACAAAGGCAGAGATATTAAAGAGAAGAGAGGAGGAGCAAGAAGCAAATACACCAGATACACCAGAGAAGGAAAAGAAGAGAATGAGAGGCAGAAATTCAGCATTGAAGAGACATAGACGCAAGAAGGCCAAGAATGTGGTTGACCACAAGATGGTGAGTATTTAATACGTGTATGCTTTTATATACACACTGCTGACTATTATTTATTAATTAGGCTGATATGGATGAAAAGATTGCATTAGAAAAGGCCAAGGCTGCAAAGGAACAAAATAGAGATAAACCCTTTACTACCCTTGACATTTTTGAATAAACACGGTGTACACTTTACTTGGCTACATGACAATACAGCAGAGCGAAGCCTGCTTCTCATCGTACTGCTTTTGCTTTTTGCACTTGTCCTGTTGTGAGCGCCGTATTTCTCGCACCAAGCCATGAAATGCGTCCTCAATCTTGATATTTTGCTTGGCTGATGCCTCGAAAAACTGACAGTTGTACTCTTTTGCTAGATCTCTGCCAGCTAATTCAGCGGTGGGTATGAGTCGCCATCATTTGACAGATTTTTGTAATGCAAACTATACCTGATGTAGGGACCTGTCGATCTTGCTCCAAATCGCATTTATTTCCAACCAGCACCACTGGGAAATGCTCCAAATCCTTAACTCGAGCAATCTGACCGTGCAATTTTTGAACTTGTTCAAATGTATGGTACGATGTGATGGAATACATCAATACAAATCCCTCTCCATTCCTCATAAATCGCTCTCTCATGGCACTGTGTTGTATACATTGATATTAGACACTGCTGAGCATGGCTCTTCAATGGTACGTGCCTGTATTCCTCTTGTCCCGCTGTGTCAAGGATATCAAGCATGGCACATTCACTGTCTATCAAACATTGCTTGCGGTAGGAATCTATACAGGGGGAGGGGACGTTGGTTGCAGAGTCATAAACCGAGGGCTGGTGGAAACTCACCTTCAATGGTAGGGTCATATTCATCCACAAAATGGGACTGTATGAACTGTATTGTCATGGCAGATTTACCAACACCTAATTGTCAATGTAGTCAACCAACTGTTGTATGTACTTGTACATGTATGTATATAATACCTCCGTCTCCAACCATGACAATCTTGTATCTATCAGAGTGCGCACATGTTAGTAGAGCGCACGTCATCCTTGCAGTGCAGACTACATTACTCTTTCAAAAACGCTGCTCCTTTTGTTGACATTAAGTAATGGAAAAGAAAGCGTACAATAATGAAATGGATTATACTCGGTTTTTTTATACAATTATGCAAAAAAAAAGAGAAGCGTGTCAAGAGCAATAGGAGAAGGAGGGGAGATGTGTCTTCTATGGCTCGACAAAAGCCGTGATATAGGATCAAAGAAGCTAAAACAAGAGACTTTCATAATTACTCCATTCAGAGTACTGTTATAAAATAAGAGGCAATTCATTGTTATCTATCCAAATTGCCTTCATCTCATATGTATATTTTGAATAATTTAAGAAAGTTGGCTAATCAAATGATATTAAATCAACATAAGGAGTTGCTTGTTGAATTAGTTCAAAGAGGATGGGGGGGGGGAGACAGGCAAAGAAGGGGCGTTTTCTTTGTCTTTGTCTTGTTTTTAATGCTTATTAGGAGTCTGGCTATATTCTTTGTATACCATAATATTGGATCATAAGCTGACACAAGTCTATCATGATGCGAGAGAGATCCTTTTCAGTTGCTAACGAAATTGATGGGAATTCCGTCAAATCCGAACGTGATGTTTTCTACCTTTTGATCATGCATTTCTAGATACGCTTCATGTAAGCTACTTGTTTGCCATTTCCAAGGTAAACTAATACCGCAGGTTCAAACGTGAGCTTAGATGATAGCCTTTGACGAACTTAGAATGTAAATATCCTAAGGTTGCTTTCTAAAGTATGCTACACCGCTTCATGACAGGTCAAAATATGCATCCGATTGATCGGCGTAACATTTCCAGTGCATATTACCTATCTTGTAGACCACGCAACATCCCTGCTTAGCTGGAGTCCTGATTACCTTAACCTGACCTGATAGCTTTCTTCGGGAATATGTTTACATCGAATCAGAGCTCACTGAACATTTGAAGCCTTCAGACTACAACTGCACGAGGTTACGCAATAAAGAGGGGAAACTACAGTAAAAAGCTGGAGCAAATGTTTTAGTTGAGCAAATGTTAACATAACCAAGGGTCCAGATCTATTTTTTACTGCAAGTATGATGGCTTATGGTAATTGACTTGTGCTACATGATTTACATGAGATCCGACATTGATTATAGTGAATAACGGGTGCGATTATTTGAGTCGTTTGAGGAATTGGAGCGTGAAACCCCCCCCCCCCTGTATCTGCGCAAATGGAGGCAAAGTTAGAATGAGAGGGTCTGAAAAAGCTGCTGCTTTGTAACGAAAAAGTATAACACAACTCAAATATACAATGAGCCGCATATCCGAGTGCTGAATCAACTAGTTCACTAGCTAATTGAGTGATACAGCGCTTATGGAACCCTGATCTGTTCAAAGAAAGCTTAAGTTTTTCTAGAGATCCATGCAACTCGTAGGCATATGCATCTGTATCATGTATTGTGTAGAGACTATTCAAGCATGGGCGGCAACCTATGTGCTCTACGTAGTGTCGCTGAGATACACTCAATCATACTGCAGTCAATTAGCTTATTTTTCTGTATATGGTCACTAACCTGCAGTACTGTGGTAGAAGTATTGATAGATACTAGCTACATTGTTTGATCTGAACTTTTGAAGAATATAATATGGCTTGCAAGATGCGGTAATATTCTATATAAAAAATAGCTATAGTTGACTCTCTCGGAGTCATTTGATGCTAGATACAATATGCCGGCTCCTTTTGCTTTATTCTCATGCAAAGAGTACAGTATGTATACGCCTTTGAACATTGCGCTGAACGACACGGTTTTTGATAGTATGAAAAATCAATTAATATCAGCGACTAATTCACAAATAGATTTCTTTCGACAAATATGGTTATTGCCGTAGAGTGATTGCAGATGTGCCTACTGTGAATACAAGCTTGTAAAATGCATGAACATGACCCGCATCTTATACCGATCAACAGCTTATACTAACGAGACGCTACTGGAGCTATACGAGTCCATGTCGTTGACTGATAAAGTCTGATGCCAAATGCGGGTCAGTATTATTGTCGTTTGGCACATGAATGCGAAACTAGATGATATTACAAACTGGCCTCATAATCAAGAGGCACATGTGGCTGTATACATCCATTGATGGACTCGGACATGTATACTACATATAGTAATGCATGACAAGGCTGCACATTGCATTCGGTTGTTTGTCGATTCGAGTGGTATAGCGATTACCCAGTTATTGGTCTACCATGGACCATGGGTAACATAAGCCTAGCAAGACCACGTAGCAGAGAGCGCGTACAGTGATGATGCCATATTGTAATCATAACCAAAATAGCAAAACGTAATGGCATAATAGCCAAGTATATCAATTACACAGAAATTGATCTCACAACAATCTGATGCGAAAAGAAAATGCAAATGGCGATAACCAGTGTATGGAAGACACTGGTAGAGTCGGATCCTGTATCTCGCTTCTGTCTATCCTCCCCCCCCCCCTATCCCTCCCCATCTTGATAGTATTTCCGTTGTACAAATGATTGAAAAGACGGTAAATCGATGATTAATACAGGATAAGCCATTTCCAGTGTGAACATGATGTTACTGATGGCATCATTTGCCTTGAGGGATAAGCTCAAAATTTTTGTGTCAAATTAATATAAAAACAACAAAACTACAGGCTCCCATCATATCTTTTGCAGACGGGAAACGCTGGAAAGGAAGTTCATTCGATGCAGTGACCAGTTTCCCCTCATTTCATGGCCACTCGTTTGCCACTCCGTCTCAAAAGCTTTCCTTCATTTGAACTAAATGTCTATTCATTTATAAAAGCTATGGCTGCCCCTTTCGGCCCAATCTTCCTTCCTATCTCTCTCTCTCTTTGTCTCTTTTTCTTTTCTCGCCGTTCAACATCATTCATCACTTTGGCTTAAATAGACAACAGCAACAACATTCGCAATTGATCGATATTCTCAACATCTAACATCATGATTCAATTGTCAGCTTATGGGGAGCGAGTAGTCGATCGTATCAGTATGATCGGTATGTGGATAGCAGTTACTATTTGTGTTCGAAACTTTTTCGTCTGTCTTCGGCAATATCGTCGCACGCACGGTTTAATGTAGGGAGGACCACAGTGTCATTGAATATGATCTAATATGTCATTTGAATAGCCATTTAATGAATATCGCACAAGTTGTCGTGCTGTTTATCCATCGATTCTTGTATGGTCTTGTTCCATTATTCGAAATTACAACATGTGCATTTTGGCCCTTGCTTGTCTGGTAAGTGGATAGTGTTTGTTTATGGCTGGATCATGCCCATATTAATGCAAGTACTCTATTTTAGTTTATGGCATCTGAGTAATGTATCATGAGATCATCCGAGAATTACATAGCCTGCTAACACTGTCTTGTCGCCTCGCAGACTACATCCTTGTCTATTCCATCATGTTCAAAAGATTGCTCATATTAGAGTCGGATAAACACTCAATTTGGATCAAACTTGTGGGCCTTTTCTTGATCACACTACGATTTGCTGACTGGCCCTACGAGCTAGCCTTTCATACGTTGCAACAGCAAATCATGTCGCAATCCGTTGAATCTGGATCCAATTGCCTTGCTCAATGGTAATACACATGAGCAGAGTATCAATGAATATCACTTTAACGCAGTTGTATAGGGGCACCGGTGTCATCATTCTGAATTTTGTTGCTGATGCATTAGCCAACCTGTTCCTTAGTGGAATGTTTGTTAGAAGGTTAGTACCACTACACAGACTCCAGAAACACACACGCTAAGCTGAGACTTTAGATTGTACGTGCATATCAGAAACTCTCGTAAAGTAATGAGTCATCGAAACCAAATAATCGAATACATTGCTCGCAAATCACTCGTTTGTTTGATTTTGACATTTGTGGTTAATTTAGCCATGAATCTATTCAAGGTGACCAAGTTCATTGGCAACAGATCTGATGTAAGTATCAGCACTCTAGCTCATGCATTAGATACTCATAATCGCATCTTAGTCCTTCACTGTCTATTTCGAAATCATTGAATCAACACTGCTAGTAGAAGCTCTGCGCGTGGATTATACTCGACTTCCAGAGCAAAGCTTCTGTGAACACTGCGGTATGGTGCTCAACTCTTACGGCAACAAGGATCGTAAAAATTTACATCAGCAACAGATTAATGATCAAGTCAACAACATCAATATACCGGGCAGAACATCAGCCAGATCACTTGCGCCATCCTCCATCTTTTCTGATGCGCCTTACAACTCAAACCACCAATTGCAGCAGCAACAACACCATTCGGACCAATACAGTATGAGCAATACCATAACATCGCATGGCCATATACCATCTACTACTCGAATCAATGCTGACGAAGAGGTCTAAGCCATATACACATTTGCTATAGAAAATTATACACCCACATAACATTCGCACACTCTAATAGACATAATTTCAGCAGGCCCTGAAGATACAAAACGATTCATTTAATCTTGTAACGCATTTATGCAACCCCCTCTTTTTCATTTCATTTCTACATTTCTACCTCTATTTATTATTTATATTGTATTTGAAATGCTCGTTGAATCAGTAAAACCACATCCTTATCTGGTAATAGGGCGACTCAAGCTAATTTGTTTAGTAGTAGATAATGACGAAGACTATCTCTCAGCCATGGAAAAAGTGTAATCTTTCCAGAAGACCTAAAAAGTCCCTTAAAAGCACCAAATATGCTGCACCTGATGATTACTCAGTGGCATTGATTAAGCGTGCTCAGGGAGACAGTATGTTAAGTCCAAGGACACTTGTTCAAAAGACTGTTTTGCCACGAAATATAAATATCAAGGACGTTGAGTATATAAAATGCCATTTATTGTCATTGCAACTACATTCTCAAAAAAAAAAAATACCTTTCTTTATCTTTCATCTTTCTTAACCATTGTGAGTTTGCAATGAAATCAGTCTATTCAATCTATGGTGAGTATTAAAAGCAGTAAGCGACATTGATTTTAATGGTGCCACAGTGACAGTTGCAATTCTGTCCGTAACCTACAGCAAAAGAACAGTGCAGGCTGCTGCCGCACAGTATTACGATACTTCACCCACAACATTCAATGTCATTCATACACCTAATTATCATCCCGAGACGCAAGCTCATGGAAACAGGATGGCTGTGAAATTAGAGGGCAATGAGATGTTATATCCATTGACCAACCTCAACTCCACCGATAGCCTTGTCTATACGGGCACTGCTGATATCCCATTACTACTCAGCAAGTACAAATATGTTGTTATAGATCAGAAAGACAAGGAGGTGGAGAGCGAGCCATTTTATCGTCATTTAGACCAGCATACAAATGGCGCATACAACACTCCATATGAATTCTACGGCCGTCAGCTTTATCAGCCAAACAACAATGATCTACAACCACAACAGCTATTACCGCAAGTCAATTGGAGATACAAAAGCGCAACGAAAGATTATCAGTACAAAGGAGGCCTAGATCGAAGCCAAGTTCATCCCGTAAATGAAATTCCAACATGGCACATTCAAACAAATCCAGCAGATTTCGGAACTCTAAGAGAGAAAATTTTGGAAGACGTTGGGATTACTGCAAATATCACTCGTATTACATCCAGAAATATGGAACAATTCAAGAATGTCAAGATTGAATTGAGCGGACAGACGTCTAGATTATTTAAAAAGCTATCATATAATGTTCATATCGATAAAGAAGGCTCAATCGATGGCTATCGACGTTTCAAGCTGCGTTCATGTGCCACTGATCCAAGCTATATGCGAGAAAAGCTATTTTATGATATTCTGGATGCGTCGAAAGTACCAGCCGCAAAGGCATCTTTTATCAGGTAACCCTGGCATTTGGTAGACTTAAGAGTGGAACTAATTTATATCCTAGATTGTTTATTAATCAAGAGCCTCAGGGGCTTTATTTAGTCGTTGATAATTACAAGAACCCATTCCTGAAGAATGTGCTAGGCAATGGAAAGCCAGACTACAAAAATGGTGCATTATATCAAGGCAGTATGCAGGAAAATCCATTGGCTATTGGCAAGCTACAATCAGGTGCAAATATGGGCTATTTAGGACCCTCCAGCAATGATTATGTCGAGAGTAGTGTCAATTCGAGCTCTTACAAGGTGCAGGAGGTGGCTCATGACGACAAGTCAAACGATTACTTGGCGAGACTAGTGTCGTTCATCCGCTTTATACAAGAAGCAAGTACATATAAGCACGCCAAGGAGAAGGATGAGGAGAAATTGGCTCATGAATGGAATAAACGATTCGATGTCTCCGTGTTTTTGAAGCAGTAAGTTGAGCATTTGGCGAGAGTTTGCATAGCAACTGATCATTTGTTGTATATAGCCTTGTATATGAAGTCTTGCTGGGCCATGGAGATGGATACATGGGTGCAGCACACAACTATATGCTCTATCAAGATCTAGAACAGCACGGCAGATTTGTCTGGTTCGCTTCAGATCTGGATCAAACAATGGGCAACACACTCAAAGGGAATAGATCCAGTACTGCTAAATCTGCATTTCAGCGTTTAGATCGCTATGGCTTATTTGATCAAACAGCCAACCGGCCCCTCGTGAATGAACTCTTTCAGATCAAGCAATTTGTCATACAGTTCTTTCAAATCTTTGCAGATGTTCATCGATCACTGTTCAAGTCTAATGCAATTACAAAGCACATCATTTATCTGCAAAAACTCATAGAGCAAGATGTTGCATGGGATCAAAATCTAGATACTTATCGTCCTGACAACTTTTTAAACAACAAGCAGTTATACGACGATCAACTGAACCAAAAGGTGTTACAATTGCCATTGGGCCCGGACTTTATCGATCGAATCAACACCAAGGCCATTGATTTCCGTGCAGCTATTGAGGGGCCCATCCAAGGACATCCTTCTATTACTCCACTGTTCACCTGGTTTACAGAAACAAGTCAATACCTCGATGAATTTGTTCGCCTTTTAGAGCTAAAATAAACACTTGATTGGGTAACTTGATTTAGCGAACCGATCTGATTTTCCATGACAATTCGAGTAGCTCTTCTTGTTTAACCAGGCCCCGCTGGTTCATTAAGTTTTTTTTTTTCTCTTCTCCCTCTTTCTTTCACTGCTTCTTGTTTGAGGAATTATATCATAAATGGTAGGGCTTTTAGGATTGAATTAGAGCTTGCAGGGACATGTATTTACTTCCAATATTATAGTCTGCCAGAATCATAGCACAAATTGTAGTCTCTTTGGGTTCTGTTGTAACCAGAGCTTTCGTAGCTGCATACAAGCAAGCCGCTGCCAGTAAGTCTAGCTGAACCAGGGATAAATAAAAACGGGATGGAATCTTAAATACATTTTAGATGCTGGTAAGAATGGAGGTGCACAAGCAGCATCCGGTGGAAGAGCAGGTACCAGGGAAGGTGTTGTGGATGCTTTGACCCGTAAGACCGGCATGTCCATGGAAGAAGCCTGTCAAATTTTGAATATAACAAAGGAAGCCGATCTTTCAAAACTATCAAAGGTAAACTAGCTACTTAGTTGGGTAAAGGGTCGATGAAGTTAATTCATGTCTCTATCCAGAATTACGATCACTTATTCCAAGCGAATGATCCAGCAAAAGGAGGATCTTTTTACATTCAATCTAAAGTTGTGAGAGCCAAGGAAAGATTCGATATGGAAAAAGCAGCAGAGCTGAAAGCAAAAGCAACTGAAGAAGCAGCAGCAGCAGCAGCAAAAGCAGCAGAATCTCAGCAGCCACCTCCACCTCCACCAAATGCTTCTTAACATTTTGATTTGATTCCAAAGTAGTATACGTTAATAAACCAAAAAATAGATTCACTTTTTCTTTATAATCATTGCAAAGTATGAGTATATTTGTTGTGAGGATATTGACCAGATGGGTAGCGATGCTTGCTTAAGCTCTGCATGTTCCAAAGGCTACGCAAAGTATGTTAGCAGGAGGATTTCGTAAGACAGGATAATGTTGAACTTACTTGGGAAACCACAAACGGAGGCAGCGATAAAGTATGCAATCAGCTACAAAAGATATCAGATATTTGATCTACCAATTAACCTTGATGTCCACTTACAAAACAAACCAAGCAAATCATGGCCATAATCTTGGTATTCTTCCACCACATGGCACGTTTCAATTGAGTACTTCTCTTCTTGAAAGCGAAAGCTTGTTGATTCAAATTATCTGTTTTATCAACCAACAATTCAATACGTTCACCTCTTTCCAACACTCTTTCTATGTTATGGACCATGACATCTTTGACTTGTTCGATTTCACCATGAACTTGCTTTAAACGATCTGCGTTTGGATTTGTTGAAAAATACTCCATTTGCTTTTCAATCACTCGAGAGAATTCATTCAGGCCATAGGGAGGTGCTTCCAAGGCCCTGCTTTTACCATATGTAGTTAAAAATTTCTCCTTCAAGTCTTGCAAAAAGATGAATGGTATACGACGACCAAACGAATCATCAGCCATACACATGTAGGTGATGCCGTCTTCGCAAATATAATGAAACAAGTATCTATTAGAATAAACAGCTTGAGTTACATGCAACGAAACTTCCATCTTGCTACGCATATTACCTGTCATAGACATAAGTAAGCTTGGAGTTGTTGGGTGGAATCTTTTCAAGAATAGCTTGAGTTACTACATATTTCTACAAGTTAATAAACAACATCTATGTACAGTAGCTTATCATTACCAGAAGCGAAATTTCCGCTGCTGTTGGTATGTTCTGCCAAGATGGTTGCTCCACGAGCAACAAGGCCATAAATAAGCGACATATTTGATATATAGTATTAAATGAAAAATGAAATAAAGAGGGAAAAAAGTGATACACAATCCTGAGCAAGGCAAAAAGTGGGAGTGGTTATGCAACCCACGTGAGAGCCCCGCCCACCAAACACTCAAAGTAGTAGCCGCAGAAGGGGAAAAAGCTTGTAATGATGTTGTTTCCTTATGGCACCATGACGTCGATTGAGCCAATTTCGATTCATTGAAACGGAGATCACTCAGAGTATTGATGCGTCCCTGATGCGTTTGATCTCTTCTTTCTTTTGAACAAAACGAGAATGGTCAAACGAATGAAATGCTAGACATGAAATTGCGGTAAGCTTCGATGGCGGTTTGATTTGCTTACTTGCATTGTCAGCGCGAGAGCTTGATTAAATTGATGTTTGAAAACTATGTATCATACATTTGGGGATTGTTTTATTTATTATAAAATGCATCAGGCCGCATTCATCATACATGTGTTTGTTTGTCCATGTAAACAGGCTGCACCCTTTTTACTATTGCAAACACCTCTGCTGTAGATGTAAATCTTTTTGGTAATAGAGACACAACAGTTGATACAAATAATTTAATGACATTTCAACTTGCTGGTCATACCATGACAATTGAAAATATTAGACGCAAATAGATATGATGTGTTGCATGAAACCAGTTTTATGAATCAGTGGTAGTATCTAAGCTTAAAATATGCTTTATGCTTTACATACGTACTTTCTTTTGTATTGGTCTTGGGTATGGCAAGTCAATGTGGTTTGCTTTAGATATGTGCTAGTGGTGGTTGCTTTGTTTGAGGCAACTTGGTTTTTCTTATTGGACTGATAAAGTTCTGTATAGAATGTAGTATTACACTATGGACCTTGGGCTATTCCCACGGGATCTTCTGGTGGGTAACTAATACTCATCATAATACAAAAATTACTTGTGATGAGGTAGATAATAAACGGTATTGGCTCCTTTTAGCTCATCAATATGTTTTGAATCTTAGCATAATATCAGCAAATATCAGTGCCTTTTTTCGTTATATTTCGAACAAAAGAAATCTCAGAGACCACCTAATGTTTATATCCTTGCACAATGGCATAATATAGTATTGTAAAGGTATTACTTTTTTTACTTCTTTATATACGGTGAAATTGTGCTCGTTAGTAGGCACGGTATTCTGTTGAACAATTATTTGACATAGGCCCGCAAGTATAAGAAAATAGATGAAAATCGTAGGTATTATGGATATAAGCCAACATCAACATTGCAGCCAAAAAAAATCGCCCTTTGAAAATTCCAATTCCAATATCCATTTGGGATTCCGATTTGGAGCCCCGCATTTGTCAAGATGATGATGGTGCAAACCAAATTTGCGTAGGTAGCATGGTTGTTGAGAAAAGGGAGATTTTAGAAAATAGTTCATTTTGGACAGATGCTGTTAGTAAGACTTTTTGATTAGTATATAAACCTGGATCATATGTCTATTAAAAGTTGTAGAGAATACTTTGGTTAAGTAGAGGATGTTTGACTTGAGGTTATTGAGGACAATGTGGATGAGTAATGAGGAAAGATAGTAAAAATGAACAAATTTCAAAAGGCCGTACCGGTTGACTTTACTAAGTGAACATGAGCTTAAAGCTTAATAGCTTCTGTTTCTTTTTCAATTCTCTATACGATAATATGGTTATTATAGATAAATAAAAAAAAAGTTTTGATTATCCCCTGCTTGTAGCTCATGAAATATAAGATTTTGAGCAGATTTATGAAGGGAACGTACATCTGGTACTTAAAACCCTTATATTATAATGGATATAATGTAGAGCTATCGAATGGTCCTTGTTTTGTGCGAATCCAGTGAGTATTTGTCGAAATATGGTAAAAAAAAAGGGGTATCATGCAAAATCATGGATTTTTCTTCGAAATCTGCCTGTGATAGCAAGCGAAAAAATTGGGTGGCCTTTTTTTGGTCAGGACAATATTGTCAATATTTCATGATAGAGTTATGCTAGAACTTCAAGCAATAGCTCATTCGATAGAAAATTTTTTGGTTTACAATGCTTAGTAATGCTTAACAAAATGTTTTGATGACAGATACCGATTAATCTTTTGAAAACAGTCAAAAAATCGCAAAAACAATCGTAATGGTCTATGCGAGAAGACGAATGGTACCTTGGTGCAAGCGCTGTCAAACATTGTGCGTGATGATTGTCCAGATGTTAAGAACTGGGATAAGAAGGTGCCTGCGGTATTGATGGCGTTGCGTACAATGAAAAGTGAAGGCACAGGTTTTACTCCAGGAAAGTTGCTCTTTGGCTATGATATCAGGACTCCAGGAAATTGGGCTCCCCCAAGGATTAACTTTGTGGAAGGTGAATAAAGCGATAAGATTGATAGAAGGGTGGAAGAAATCGATGCTGCTGTCAAGGAATACCGAATCAAAGCAAGAGAAGTCTCCAATGAAGGAAAGAAGCAAGATATGATGACACAGTGAAGCTTTGAAAGCAATACCGAGTTGGGGAACAAGTGCTAATGAAAGATGATTACCCTGAAAACAAGTTTGCTGACAAGTGGATTGGTCCCATGACGGTTGTGCATGTAACTGGCTCTGGTACTTGCCACTTAGCTGGTCCTAATTCAAGACGTTTGGATGGTGCTGTTAATGGTGATCAACTGATACCTTTTGCATCAAGAAAAAAACATGGTTCCTAATGTGCAGACTAAACGATTAGAAGGCTTGTTTTCATCTTGGTTGGAAAGAAGAGAAGCAAGACGCCCTGAATGAATATCAGCACTTTAAGGAGGGAGGCATGTTACGATGGTAAAAGAATTTTGTGGTGGTGCTGTTTTCAAAAGGCGGTATCAGAACTCTGAGCCTATCAGAACACTGTTACTGAACTGGTGTTGAAGCCGGTTACTCTTACATTTTATACTTTGACTTATATATTTTGATCTATTATACAACACATTGTAAATAAATTGAACTTTCTTACGTTTAAATCTTTTGGGTACATAACCTTATATACATACTGAAGTGAACTAGACTACAGTGCGCGAAAAAAACGTTCCAGTGTTTTGCCAAATTGCACTTATAGCCAGTTTTCTCTGCAAATATCAAAGCTACTAAGGTTTGCTTAGTTTCATAAATAGCCTAAGTAGTTGGCTATCAGATGATATATTATGCACTTTATTCACGTAATTAGAAAAAGAATGGTAACCTCATGAAAAGTGAACAGTCGAATCTATTAAATTTTATAAAAAAGCTCAATATTTAGTTGGACCACCTTTACTCTTGATAACCGCTTTGATTCGGCGTGGCATGCTGCCTATGTCTTTAAGATAGTCCTCTTTTGTGAATTTATAACATTCCTGTTCAATTCTGTCTTCTAACTCAGAAAGGCTGGTGGCCCTAGTAGGGTACTTGTTCAAACGACGTTTTAGTTGATACCAGACATGTTCAATGAGGTTTAGGTCTGGGCTTTGGGGAGGGCCAATCAAGGACACTTTGCACAGGGAATCCGTAATGCGTGAACCATTTTTTAATGGGACCAGAAGTATGTGGTCTTGCGTTATCTTGCTGGAATCTAAACGTTCTCTTGTCCAGCCCATAGTACTCGATAATGTCTAACAAAGATGAGTCCAGAATTTCAACATAAACTTCTGAGTTAACAGTTCCTTCGGTAATGGTGGAGCCATAGCTGGGTTCATCCGCTGCTATCATGCCCCAGAAAACAACGCCACCACCATCTGCCTGGACTTGAGCCTCAGTTTGATGAGGCATCAACTCAATTAGCCTGTCAGTCCAGTTGAAAGATTCGCCGTCAGATCCCCACATGTTGACCCTGGTTTCATCGGAAAATTCCCATTTATGCCAATCGTCCGCAGTCAAATGTCGATGTCTCTTGGCCCACACAAGACGTTTTTTCCGGTTCTCCGCAGACACGAAATTGGTCTTTACCTTTCTTTTAGCCTTGAACCCTTTGCGCTTGAGTATATACTGTATATTCCTCAGAGTCATCTGAACTCCCATATGAGCAAGGTAGCACTGCACACCCTTGGGGCCGTCTAAATTACCATTGCGGAGATTCCTCTCAATGTAGTTCATATTCTGCGTAGTGATTTTGCTGCGTCTTCCGGGTTTGGCATGTTTTGAATGACCAAGAAACTTCTTCCTATAGCGAGAAAGTACACTGACGGACAAATCTGGGAAGATTTTTTGAATGGCACGGAGGGAACAACCTTGGTTGAGAAGAGCCTTGACAGATCCTTGAACCTCCTGAGGAATGGGACGTGTCATGTTAAAAAAAGTGATGAAGTAAAGATGGTAAAATATAATGAGGGAAAAGACCAAAATCTCAGGCTTCTTTATACTTTTCTAAGCATTCCTCGGATAACTAACATTTTAAACATAACTGATATAAAAAATTACGGCTCTCAGATTATTTTCGTGGAATGTATGCAAACAATAAGGTCATCAAGCGATATTTCCAATTTTACAAAATCGAAATTTTTTAATTTACGTCAGTTGCACTTGCTTAATATCTACTGTATCAATTATTTTAGTAGCTCATTTTGTGGCTAAAAACTCAAGCTTTCGTAGTCTTACTTTAGTTTTAAAACTGGAAAAAATTGACAGCGCTGTAAGTGTAAAACTACGAATTGGCAAAACACTGGAACGTTTTTTTCGCGCACTGTAGAATGCAATAAGATATCATTATAAACGATAGCTTTATGGCCTACCACCTACTTTTCATACGCTTCAAGAGCATTTAATACTGTATTGCAGTATGAAAAGGGCGTTGAGTTTGACAGCTGGCCCCACAAGCCAAAATTAATTCAAATCCAGAATCATAGTTTGTTCCAGATTGGACAAATCTTGATGATTTTGAATTCGATTAAGCTATTTTTGCAGATTCGACTAAGTAAAATATGATGATCACCCCATGCTTCCTTAAGCTTTCTTGGAGTACTTTTCAAGGTGCATCCAATGGTACTAAGTAAAATAGATGAT